TTAATGCAGTTAGAACAACCAAATGCCATAACACTGTCACTCTGCATGTCAGAATCGATGTACGGCCTCGTCAAGGAAAATGCAAAGTTGATGTGGAACTTTAAATAGCTCTCTTCTCATGCTGTTGTTTATGGGAAGTAATGATAGGAGGGCCTCTTTATGATTGCAAATCAAGCTCTTTATTCAAAAACTGCACCGTAATTGCCTTTTCATGTGAAATGTGTAAAGAATTCAGATTTATTTGTGTCTCTAGGAGAAAACATCCCCGTGAGGAGTAACAAAGCAATAGACAGGGTTCCCCCCCTCCCAAACAAAAATTGATCCCAGCACAAAGTCTTTTGTTGACTTGGTCTTTGGATTTTATTTTTTAATCTCAGGAAAACATTTTTCATTTAGATTGTGTAAAGTACCACTTGTTTCTGGACATGTGGTGAATATAATCACAAGCAAAATTCATGCATTTTTAACCTCCCTGCCCCACCTGCAGAATTTTGTCAAATGGAGAGTTAAAGCCAAGGACCTTAATGAGAGTAGACAACCTGATTTCCCAAGACCTGCACGGCTGCAAAAACACATCAAGTAGCCTGGCTGATGTGATTACAGCAGCAATCGGGATGAGGCAAGTGGACTACATTCACCCTGCGGTGCTGCACTTTAGTTGTGCCCTTTGTCAACTCTGTATTGTCGAGGATTAAGTGCACAGGTTTGTATGACTGTAGTCCACAATGAATGAAAATCCACTAGGATTTCTGCCTCCTTCTGTCACCTCTTTACTCCCAGTGCAAGTTGCCTGTGGTCATAGCCATGGAGAGGAATAGAATTGATGATTGTACATGAGGACCTCTTTCCATAGCAGGTAATGGTCAATAATAAGTTGTTGGTCCAATGGAGGGCTGTTGACAGAGAAGGAGAGAGTTCCCAGTCCTTTGTGGGATCCCCTTCCACAAGCACATTAGAATGGATTGGCTGCTCTGTTAGTTTCTGTGATTTGGCCTGGGTCAGTTATTTCTATGTTGCTATAATAATTTTTTTTCCAACTCAGAGCTGTTAAATATGAACATATATAGGGTGATAAACATTTTTGCAGTTAAGCAGAATGTTGCTTATGTGGTGATATCTAAAGGATTGGAATCTGTACCTGAAAATATGAAAACATAGATAAAGATGCTAGAGTGGTAAATTGCTTATGCAGTATTAATAACACAGCAGCTGATTGCAAAGAAGTCATGAATGCAATTGAATTGGTGATGGCATTATAACCACTTAAGCTGATTGTTTAAAGGGCCTGTTCTGGCTACTCCAAATGGTGAATTGATTTTTGGAAACCTGGAATTTGTCATGACCAAAACAAAACTGTGTGAGTATTCCATGTTTGTTGCCTTGGATTGATTGATTGATTGATCAGTTGCCTGACCGATCTAAGCCCAGGACAAAGGAACCAAGACCCTTTATTACCATCACTTTATCTTAGAAATGAGAACAATCCACTACCCGTTTCAGAGTAACAAGCTTTTCCAGCATGCAGGCTCTCTGATTTTCCCAGAGTTAGGTTTCTGATTTGATCCCAGACTGTCCTGCTTTCCCTTTGGGCATCCCTCTTTTCATCGGATAAAAGTTGGAGGGGATGTATATCTAAGGTGTAAAAAACATAACCCCCAAACAAATGAACAAAAACACAACCCGTAATACAAATAATAGAAGGCAATTCCACATCATTGTGTCATGACCACACAGGTGCCATTGCTCTCTATATGCAGTTTCAACTAGGAATGTCCTTTGGTAGTTCTTAAACAGCGCGGCTGCAATCCTATACTCAGCGGTTCTTATTTCTGTGCTGTTGTGCTGTTAAAGAAGCAAACTGCAAGGTATTCAAATAGCTCACCATTTTACCAGGACAAACAGGAGTGTAGATATGTTTATCTTTTCCCTTTCATTTAAAAAATATTTTTATTGAAAGTTTTCAACATAAGATACAAAGAAAAACCAAACTAATCTAAAAAGAGAAAGAGGAGCAAAACTAAGAACAAGAAATAGATATAAAAACCCTCTATCACAATTGTTTCATATCCTTCATCCATATGCAGAAAAGTAGACCATCCCAGTTCTCACCTGGGAACTTCTATTTCTTCCCCTAGCCTCCCACCCTGGGACTTGGAGATCCCTTCTACCCTGTTTCCCACTTTTCCCTTTCAGAAGTGTGTCAAGTGCTCCCCTTACACTTGTAAGAATGAATTTGTATGCCACTACAGCTGCAGCTCTGAAAATGTTTGTCAACGAGGTAGCAAGATTCATTCTGATGTCTACATTACTTCCTTGCAAATGCTGACACTGACTCCTTTTCACCACTTTCTGTTTTGAGGAAAAAGTGAATTGCAGGTCCGTGTGTTAGAGCCTGAACTAAATGAAAGCTCCTTCTCCCAGCGGCCCTACTCATTTGCTCCAGGGTGGAACAAATTATTTTCTGCTGGCATTTGCTGCCACCTAATGATACAGAAAGCACGCCTTTCAACGGCAGGGTGCAGAGTCTATCTCAAATCAAAGCCAAAGAGAAGGGGGAGGGCTTGAAACCCAATTAGCTGAACTGCTGTGTTTTGCTCTGGGATAATACACCACATGGCAAGTCATGGTTATGGACTTGACTTCTGACTGACCCTGAGAAAAACAGCTGTGGAAAATAGCTATGATGGCACAAAGACATTTCACTTGAACAGAATATGGCCAGTAGTTAGTTATTGCTCTTTCTCCATCACAGTATTTCCCAGAGCTAACCAGATGGTACAAAATTAGTATATTATCAGTTTTTATAGTGATAAATACTGAGCAGCCTAGAGCAAGGGTAGCTGTTTGGATGTCCATATGAAAAAGAAAAGGATACATACAGGTGCAGTAATCTGAAAAAGCAGGATAATGCAAGGGACTTTTTACTGTCATAGCTCCTTTAGAAGGGCAGAACTATACTATACTATACTATACTATACTATACTATACTATACTATACTATACTATATACCTGTTGATATATTATTATCAATACATGATCTTGATATTGGTTACCTTTTGAATTATCAGTACAATGCGAAGAGGGAGGTTTATGGCAAGGTCACCAACTTCTTTATTCATAGAATCTATTCTTCAACTAGTGGACAGGGAGTCAGAGTGGTTAATCAAGGCCTGTATTAAAGCAAGAGCATCTAGCGACAAGGGGTGCTCAGTTACCAGAGCACATGTGCTCGGGGGTGGCAGTAGATACAGGTACATTTTTGTGTTGCCGACATTTGATTTGATTGATCATAGATCCATGAAATTGTCTAATCCACTTTAAAAGTTGGTGGCCAATACTGCCTCCTGGAGGAGCAAATCCATAGTTTAGCTTTAGTACCTTCTTCATGTGTCCTGAATCTTTCAGCGTTGGATGTCCTACTGTGATGATATAGAGGGAACCACTTTTCTCAAACCACTTTCTTCAAGTCGTGTATAATTTTATACACTTCTCTCATGCCACCTCCTACTCACCTATTCTCTAATCTGAAAAACTCCAAATGTTGTAAACTTTCCTTATTGGGGAGTTGCTGCATCCCTTGGCTCACCCTGGCTGTCCTTTTCTGAACCTTTTCCAGCTCGACAATATCCCGTTTTAGGTGAGGCAACCAGAACTGAATGCTAAACCTCATTGGATGTGCCATCTACGCTTGTTGTCTTTGTCCTCGCACTTGTTTAAATGAAAGCATCTTTCAGCCCAAATCCTATACAGATTTACTCAGAAGTAACTCCCACTAAACTTTGTGTATTCTAGCTGGCATCACAGCCAGGTTATTCCATAGCATGCATAGCCATTCACGTTGGTTTGGCTGCCATCCCATGATATTTCATATTCTTCCTTCTGCCTGTGCGTGCCTTTTTTATGACTCAGTGAAGTGCCAGGATTCATGATGGTGGTGAGTGAGTGACTAGAGAGCAGAACTAAAGCCCACATCAACAGCGAGAGCCCAAGTTAGAGCTGCCCCTTGGGGGTGTCTGTGTGAATATTTGTAGCCTGCTCTTTTGAGCATGGCTTGCCTCTAACTCTGCCTTCCTTGCATGCTACTCACCCGCTGGCGGAACACAGTAAAAAGTGATTCATCTATGAGCATCATAAGAGAACAGTGGAGCTTTCTTTTATTATTAAAATAAAAGATGGATTAACAAGAACATTCACTCCTCATTACAAAGCCGTGTGTTACTTAGATTAATGTTTGGGGGGGGGGAACTGCCACGGACGCAGCACAATACAAGCTCATGAGTCATTTGCTGTCGACACCTCTCGAGGAAGAAGTTGATCATGTTAAGCTGCCCTGAGCAATTACACCCAAGTACTGTGGCCAATGCCTGCCCCAAAATGGATTCTATAAGTACACATTTTTTGTTATGTAAATAGCGGCTGCATGGAAGCTTGAACAAGTTCAGAACCATAAGGGCAGGCAGGGGCAGCTCTTTCTGTGCCAAAAGATCCCCCCCTTAGCAGCTGCTATTTGCATTTCAATAGAAGTTCTCATTGGTGCCAGTGTAAGAAACCAGTTGGTGCTGATAGAATAGACGACTAAACCATCTCTGTCAGAACCAGATTCTGGACCAGCAACTGCATATTAGTGCCAATAATAGTTGGCCTTGGTATGTCATTGCTTTATATGCTATGGTAGTGAATGCTTGCATACTTGTCTGTAATATGGGACTCCTCAGTTTGAATTTGTTCAAATATAATTGTAAAGGCTGTGCTAATATACCCACCAGCTTGTGCATGGAAATTTCAGTCCTTCTGGTTGCTGCATAACAGAGTGCCCCCCCACCCCACATGGGTCAACTTTGACAGGAGGGCAGATCCAATCATCTATCAGTCACCTGACACCATCATGACATCAAATGATTGACAGGTGGGTGGCCCTCTAGCCCCCAAAGGTTCCCCACTCGTGTTATATAGGTATAGTAACATAAACAAAGTACAATGCGCCAAGCACACTATGTTTACCCATTTTCTTTAATTTTTTAAAAAGGAGTAAGCAGACAAAATGCTGTGCTTCCTTGAATACCAAATAAAAACATTCTTTGTGTAAAACAGTACATAAATCTGGGCTCTTCTTTACTTATGAATAATACTGCATATATACTTCAGAAAAGGGCATTATTGTTGACTGCTGCATATCAAAAGAAATAATCACAATATCATTGTTGTTTATCTTCATATTCTTTTCCAGGGAAAAAAATAACAACAGAACTAGTCAGGAATTTCAACCCTTCCCCAACACTTTAAAATAAAAAATAAAAGCACAAGTGTTAAATGGGTCAAGTATTAAATGTGCACATTTACAAGCACAGCAAATTAGAAACACTGCTTTAGACCATGCCAAACCACATGTATGTGTATAAAGCTATTAGTGAAGTAGTTCATAGCAGCAGAGTAGGAATCATATTCCATAAATCGTACCTGTTGGGATGGTTGGATGAAAACATTCCACATGTAACATTCCATATCCATGAACCATCTTCTCCCATCCACACCTATTTGGAAGTGGGAGTTACCTCTATATAGGGTTTTGGCCGAAAGATGCTTTAATTTAAATGAGTGTTGGGACTACCTCAAATTATTTGGACTATGGCTGGCTGATGTGGCAGTAATAAACACATGCATTGAAACATATCATTGCAAACTTCTTATATTCTTATATGTGAACAGTTCCGGTGAAGATGATCACTTAAAACTATTTATTGTAGGCATCCAATACTTGCAAATCACAGAGATATATTTCTCAGAGATTCACTTGAAGACCATCCCTGTGTTTGCAGGGCATTTGAGCAAATGTGTGGACTCCCAGAGAAGAGACCACAATCACTTTGCTCCTCTTTGGTTGTTTTGCTGCTGCACTGAACTAAGCCGTGGTTTGGTTTAGCATGTTAAATCCAGGTTCATGTTTTACCACTTCCAGACAAACCACACGCTGCAAACAATAGGTCAAACATTGTTTACATCTCATGGTTTGTCTGGAGAGAGCTAAACCACGAGGCCAGGTTAGGTTGCAGGGCAGCAGCAAAACGATTTGGGAGGACCAAAATAGCCACGATCTCCTCCGAAAAGCCATACACTTGCTTATCCACACTAAGCCATGATTTGACTGAGTGTTACGTGCAAACTAAGGCAGTGAATAAAATAAGTTCAGAAATGCAGAATAGTCACCTTCCAAATTAACAGCTTGATTTTCTTTTGACTCATTAATTCTAGAACTTGAAAAGGTCAGTGCATTGATTTAAGCAGTGGATAGTTGTCCAACCAAAATGTGTAAATAAGAAAAAATACCAATAATGATGATTTGTTACTAATTATTATGGTCAGGAGATTCAAGAAGAGCAAATAAAGTATATGGTTTTCCTTCTCATTTTTTTCTGAACCTATAACACCTATGGAAGGAAGAAATGAAACTGCAAAGGTGCAGTTAAGGGGTTATTTGAACCACTAGTTATAATTAGTTCAATAAGGTTGACAGGTGAGATGGATGACATATAGCATCTTTGAATATGGACCACTGAGTTCAATGAAACTTACTCTCAGGAAAATATATATAGGATTATAGCCTACAAGTAGATGGGTTTTGGTCTCTGTGTTGCTCCCCATTATGCACTTCTGAAGAACTTGTTCCTCGTAAAGTAATATACATTATGGTTGTTCTTTATAGTGGCATGCTATTTTAAGGTTGTTACCAGAAATAGTATGAAAACTGGTGCTTTAGCTATACAGTCTACAGATATGCATGGTGGAATGTGCCATAAATATTGAAGTAAATTCACTGCAAAATGCTACTTTGAGTCTAGTAGCCTAGCTGAGAGATCCTATGGATTGGCCAGTCCATTAAACAACATAACTGATGACTCTCAACTTTGTACAACATTCACTCCTGAATTCTAAGTCCATTTTATTTGTATTCAGGTGCAAGTTAAAATCACATTACCTATATTTCCCATTTGTAAAACAGGCTACATACGTATTCTATGCTGAAATGTGTATCAGTTTCAGAAATACTTAAGACAAAGGCATTCTGCCTGTGGTGGAAGATTTATGTTACCATGGATAAATGTCCAGGAGTACTCGGAATGTGTCAATATAGCTTACTTATCATAAAAATGGTTTTAATCTACTTGCCCTGTTAGACCCACAATCATGCTGATTGACTGGTAGCTGGGTGCATTTTTCCATAAAGCATTTAAGGCATGCATGCTAATGGATGGATTTGAGATTCTAATCTATTTTTTAGTAATTATGAATAGTGGGCCTGGGTGGCAGCTATTATAGATATAACAACAAGGAGTACAGTGATATATTAAAATGTCATATAAATGTTTTGTATTGTCCCTATCACATTCATCAATGTTTTTAAGAACATCTGCTTACTTTCAGTAGCTTTTAAAAAGTCCTTATGGATACCAAAGCCTGACTCCATCATCTCCTGCTGTCCAATTACCTCACTTTCAATGTCACATGCAGAATATCATGCACAAATTCATACACATTTCGTTGTGAAGACATGTAAATATCCAAATGGTGAGACATTTTATGCAGTCACTGGGGTCAAGCAAAGAGAGATAAAATGTGGAAGTTTTTTTAAAATCCTGTGATACAGCACCTGTGAATTCAAACTCTATTAAGGTCACAGCTATATTAATAGCTCTTTTATATATAAAAATAATTTTTAAAGTGAGTTCAGTAAAAAATAACTTCTACAAATGTCGTTAGCAGGTCAGGGGATGCTGGATATTGAGATGGAGTTTTCCCATTTTGCTCCAAAATGAGGAGGTGTTGCCTTCCCTGCTTTACAAGTCAAAGACATGATCCACTAAGTCTGGACATCCACAGAACATCTACAAGAGTGGCCAAGAGCTGTCTCATGTTTAGAAATAAATTAACTTCTTTTCTTGGAACAGAAGACCCCATGATATATTAGAAGCTGCTTTTGAAACCCCTGCAAGCTTCAAAGATTACTTCCATGAGGTGTGGGAGCTGCTGTTCAAGACATGCAGGTCCAAAGTCTAGCTTTGTCATCCAGCTAGTCAGTTATTTGGGCTGCGTCCAATGGGCAAGGTAGGAATCAGATCCAGAGAATTGTTCACAAAGGCATTGGGTGGTATTCAACTAAATAAATGTGCAAGTGGAATGGCTTCTACTTGTGCATCAGGACATCTTCCTACTCTCTTCTTTCATTGTGTGGTCTACAGCATCCCCAAATTTGCTCTGGATGATTGAGAGAATCGCCCAAACAGATTTTGGAGTGGGTACAGCAGGAGGAGAGTGCAAAAAAATGAAAAGTCCTGTTTCATAAGCGGAAGTCATTCTGCTTGCACAAAGCACTGCTCAGCACTACTTAGAATACAACCCTTTGCCTTCAAACCTGTGACAGCATGTTTGCAAAATGCCAGAGTTAAACATGGGCAATTCAGGTTGTTGTTTTTTTGTCACTTCATTCAGTAGAAAAGCAAAAGGTAGAGGAGGGTGGCTGGTGGGCAGCATTGGCCTCCCCCTGTTTGGACACTGATGTCCCCACTGTGTTTTTACTGTTTTATACCCCCATAATGAAGAGAAACAGAAGAGTTGATGGGAGAGAGAGGCAGCAGGCAGGTATGTGACCCAACCGCATAATTCAATGGGTAGCGCACACTTCAGAATAACACTCACATATCCACATGCAACCGAGTGCCTTTCAGAACCACACTGGTCACCACAAACCTGCTGGTTCATGCATGTTTCTGACAGCTGACAGTTGCAGTGGCAACTTGTGGCACAACAGAACTGGGGAAATCACAAGGCATAGAGAACATGAAGATATTGGGGGCAGTGGTGGAGGAGTGGGGTACACTGGCAGATGAAGGTAAGTGCTGGGAACTGAGCCAGCGGGGTGCGTGTGTGAAAAACAGAGAATGAGAATGAATTGAGGATGAGTCAGGTACATGCTTGCATATCTGCGTGAATGAAAGAAAAAGGGTCTACCTGCCCGCTTTTGATGTTGGCTTTGCCCATTGCCAGTATGCAGTTCCCATTCACCTTCTTCCAAGGAAATACGGGCCTGAACTTTAAAAAGGTTGCCCACCCTGATAGAAGGACTGCCAGGGTTTGAGTCTAGTGACATTTGGCAAACTCATTCACTGGACTGGGCCCAAATTCAGAAACAGAGCTACACATCCAAAGACAATTCCCTTAGATATTAATAGGAGGACATTGTAATCCCCTTTATATACATACAGTAGAAGCTGAAATGGTCTGAGATGCTCACAAATTAGAATGTGTATAGCTATACAACACCATACCTTTTTTCTTTTTTTAAAAAAACCAAAAGTATAAAAGTTTTACAACACATTATACAGGTCCTTCTAGGATCTATAAAACACTTACTGAAATCACCATATTACAAGGCATCACTAACAATTCTATTTCATTTTATATATATATATATATTTATATTTATATATAATCGTTACTTATATAATAATTAAAAAAATCACTTTTAAACAAGTATACAAGTTCACTTTAAAATTAACTTGTTAATAAAGTTGTGCAAAACAAGCTGGCCTCTATAATTAAGTGAAGTAATTTATTTATTTATTTATTTATTTATTTATTTATACAAAAAACAACAACAACAGAAGAAGAAGAAGAAGAAAGTTCTTTCAGAAGTGCGTCTCTTTTTCTGTGATGGCTGAAATGTTGCCATCACCTTTCAGTTTGGCATCGCAGTCATTTACTGTAGCAGCATATGCACCTGCCCCACATTTTCCTCTCATCTTCAGGTCTGGGCTGGCCACAATCAACTTTCTAAATCTCTGGGGGCAGGGAATGAAGAAAATGGAAGGCATTAGCCATTTCTGTGACCTGGTCACAAGCACACACCATCCAGATCAGGGGCTTGGAAGCTCCAGTCCTCTCTATCTGGCTCTAAGGACTCTTCCTAGCACTGGCGGAGGAAGAGGCGTGCGGGGGGAGCGCACTGCCCCTGGCAGTGCAATCCCGGCAGGGTGCCATTGCAGCTGCCCCCCCGCGCTGGGTGCCACGCCCCTACAGGCGGCACATCAGGCCCCCAGGACGTGAGCCACACCCCTACGGGCGGCGTGCCACGCCCCCGGGACATGTGCCAGCCCCGCCTGCTCTCCACCACTGCTTCCTTTTTTTTAAAGAGTTTTTATTTCACTTTAATACATCACAAAAAAGAGAAATACGAAAATAAACAAATATCCATCACCACTTGGCAACTAAAAATAACAACGACAAAGAAATACAAAAAACCAACAATACATTGAATAGTCTTGTCAGGGAACTGCCATCGGAGCTAGAGGCGGAGGGAAGGCTCCAGAGCAATGCTGGAGAGGGTCCCAGTAGAGAGAGAGGCAGCCCGTCCGCTGGGGAAGGAAATCAGCGTAACACCAGTAAAGAAGGGGGGCAAATGGGGGAATCAGAGAGGAGGCTCCAAGACTCCTTGCCGGAGACCAGCGGAGAGAGTACGGGTCCTCCGCTGCCCACACCCTCCCTGCGCAGAAGACTTCCGCGCAGGGAGTCTAGGCGGAGACTAGGCGTCAAAGAACTTTTGTGCTGGAAGAAGTTTAAGAAACGCCCACTGACGGATTCTGCCAGCGACTGAGACAGTCACGATGCTAGAGGCTGTTCAGTCAGAAAGGGTTTAACCAGGTAACCTAGCCAGGAGTGGCGGCAACGTACGCACGAGCAACCCCTAAATCCACTACAAGTGTTCATGATACTTTGGCATTAAAATGGTCTTTTTTCTGTAGACCTGACTTCCTGTCTACTCCTTCTATTTCTCATCAGTTGTTCACCGCCATATCATAACATATTTTGGTTTTAATATTATTTATTTTATCATGGGTTTTCCATCAAACTTGAAACTCCTACTGAAGTTATTCAAATGCTGCTACAGAGTTTAAACTGCCATTACTATTTTTCAAATAAATTTTAAAGACTTCCCATTTTTAAATAAATACTTCCTTTTATTTTTTATTTTTATTGATAGATTGTCTAATTCCGCATATTCAAGCATTTTTTGAGTCCACTCTAGAAGGGACTTTATCACTTTTCCAATTTGTCGCAATGAGCACTCTTGCTGCGACTGTGGCATATAGAAAAATTTCCTTTGCCTTTTTAGGGATATCTGAATCTGTGATTCCCAATAGGTAGGCTTCTGGTTTTTTGTTGAAATATATTTTTAACATTTTTTCCAATTCAGAATGAATATCCTCCCAGAACATCCTAATTTCTTTACATTGCCACCACATATGATACAGATTGCCTGGCTTTTCTTTACATCTCCAACAATTACTTGGTACACTTTCATACATCTCGGAGAGCTTCCAAGGAGTTATATACCATCAATGTTGCATTTTAAGAAAGTTCTCTCTTAAAGAATAACAAGCTGTAAATTTCCAACTTGTTTTCCACAGATTTTCCCACTGTTTCATGGTTATTGTATGCCCAGAGTCTTGCAACCATTTAACCATAGCTGCAGTGACCTCCTCCTCCTTGACTTCTCAGTCAAGGAGGAGTTGGTATGCTTTGGAGAGTGTTTTAGAGTTGGAATTCACTAGATCGTTATTCAACTCTAGAAATCTCTGTGGCAAAACCTTTTTGTTTATCTAATTTGAATGTCTCATATAATTGATGGTATTGAAACCAATCCGTTATGTACCTCCTTATTTCCTCAAAGCTTTTTAACTTAAATTTATTATCTTCTTCCTTTAGGAGTAATTTTTATGATGGCCACGTTCCCTGGGTATTTTTTCTCTTTACTGCACAGGCCTCCATTGGGACATTTTGGGTTCAAGTTTTTATATTTCTCCCACACAACAATGATTTCCTAATAATATGATTCGTAAAGCCTCTATGGATTTTAGCTTTCCCGTAAGCCAAATACGCATGCCAACCCCCTCCAGATCCAATAGGTCCGAATCCTGCAATGTACACCATTCTTTCAACCAGGTGAAGCAGGCCGCCTCATAATACAATTTCAGATCGGGCAGGGAGAAGCCTCCTCTGTCTTTTATATCAATTAAAATCCGATGTTTAGCTCTAGATCTCTTCCCCTGCCAAACAAATTTAGAAATGTCTTTTTGCCAATTCTTGAGGCAGCCTGCTCCACTCAGTATCGGAATCATTTGAAACAAAAACAATCAATCTGGGGAGCACGTTCATCTTTATAATGGATATCCTCCCTAAAAACTTCAGCTTGCTCCAAATCTCGAGGTTTCTTTTTATCTCTGACCATACTTTTGTATAATTGTCCTGGAATAGATTTATGTTTTTCGGGGTAAACGATATACCTAAATACTTTGCTTTGTTACATATCCTCAGGCCCGATATTTTTTTCTAGGTCTTCTTTTTCCTGTGAAGATGTATTCTTGACCAATAATTTTGTTTTTGTGGTATTCAATTTAAAACCAGCAACTTCTCCAAAATTCTTAATCAAGTCTAATACGCTCATTAAACTTTCTTTGGGGTTTTCAGTCATTATTAATAGGTCATCAGCAAAGGCCTTGAGTTTGTAGGATTTATGTCCCAATGTTATTCCTTTGACCAGCTGGTCTCCTCGTATCCGGATATTTAGGACCTCCATTACCATAATAAATATTAAGGGAGATAATGGGCAGCCTTGCCGGGTCCCCTTACTTATTTTGCATTCATCTGTGATTTTACCGTTGATGATTAATTTAGCTGATTGTTCCGAATAGATGACATTTATTCCTTTACAGAGATTTTCACCAATTCCGATTTCTTGAATTAGTTTTTTCATAAACTTCCAGGAAACCTGGTCAAATGCCTTTTCAGCATCCACGAACATAATAGCGGCTGGTTTATCAATTTTATAATCGAAATGTTCTAAGACATTTATCACACACCTGAGGTTAGTCTGCATATGGTGCCCTGGGAGGAAAACTGTTTGATCTTTATGGATTATTTCTTTTATAACTGTTTTAAGACTGTTTTCAATAATGTCTGCAAATATCTTGTAGTCCTTATTTAGCAGGGCAATAGGTCTGTAGTTCGCCATGCTTAAAGGGTCAGATCCTTGTTTATGAATAAGGGTAATGAAACTTTCTTTCCACGAACTCGGTAGTATTCCATTTTGTAGAATGTCATTCATTGTATCTTTCATAGGTAGAAACTGTGGGATGTAAGAATCAGGTGCAGTCAAACATAACATTGCTAGAGTAGACATGAAGGTTGTGTCTCAGTACTCCAGCCAGAAGTTCCTGCTTTCCAGGACTGAGACGAAACTTCCTATGTGTAACTTGAGATGGGTGTGGCCTCTCCTGAAGTAGAAATAACCAGAATCACAGGCTGGCGGCCATCTTGTCTCTTCTTGTCTCTATCAATACCATCTTAACAACAGCACTACTAAGATGCACCCTTGGCTCCAGGCCAAGAGAAGAAAAAGGGGGCTTTCTCCCATAAGGAGACAGTCACCACATTTAAACTATGTTCTAACCTTTTAAGTCTACCCTCTGGGAACCTTTGTGTGAACAGATGATTACTTGTGAGTAAACGTTTTATACTTTACAGAAGACTGTGTAGCGTCTTATTTTAGGAGGGATTAAATGGGGAAAATACCAGGAAATATTTAAAGAGACTCTAACGAGTCTGAGCAAGCTTTCTGCTGTGCGTGTGTTTAAAAGAAAAAAGGGGAATGTTAACTCTGCTGATTTTGTTGAACTTGAAGACAAGTTGGAACAGGATATCTTAGATAATATATCCTCCCCTGCATTCCTAAACATTCCCACAGAAACAGTGATTGTTCTAATTTTTTATAATAAATAGCCGGTATACTGTCCGGACCCGGTGTTTTCCCGATTTTCGATCTTTGCATTGCTTGTTGCACCTCCATAGCGGTTACTGGTGAATTCAATGTGGCGAGTTTCTCCTTGGGAATTATTGGCAGATTACTTTTGTTTAAGTATTCATTTATTTTCTCAATTTTCTCTGGTTCTTCTTTGTATAACTTTTTGTAAAAATGAGTGAATCTCTTACTAATTTCTTTCGGGTCTTGAATCCAGGTCTCATCCATTTTAATTTTGTTGATGATTCTTTCATCCTGTTTCTTTTTCAGTTCCCTGGTTTGTTCGCAGATTCAAAGCTTCTATGTTTTAACCATTTGATCTTCCATTCTATTTCTTCATTTATAATCATCAAAAATTGTGTATGTAGGATTTTTATATTTTGCTTTATTATTTCGTCCTCTGGTTTTTGAAATAATTTCTTTTCATTATCTCTGATTTCCTCCCATATTTCCATTTTCTTCTTCTCCTTTATTTTCCTTTGGTAAGCACTTTGTTGGATGAAGAAGCCTCTTATAACTGCTTTACTCGCATCCCAGACCATTTTTATATCTGTCCCTTGATTTAAGTTAAATTTAAAGTATTCTTCTAAAATTTGATTGGCCTTCTGTGCTGTCTTTTCATCATTCAATATATTCTCGTTGAGCTGCCATCTTTTAGTTTTTTCTTCCCCTCCTTTAAACTTAATCCATACTGGGTTATGGTCTGAGATTGTTCTTGGGTGGATTTCAACTTTCTTAATATTACCTAATATCTTTTGAGGCCCAAATTGCATGCATTCTTCCAGCTGACTTGTGAGGATCCGAGTAATGCGTAAATTCTTTATCTATTGGGTGTTTAAACCTCCCGGTATCATTCAGATTCAGGAGGTCTATTAACTGAAAAAAAGAGGTTGGGAGTTTGTCTTGTCCCGTTGCTTTTTTTTTTTTTTTTTTTGCTGTTCTGTCTATGCCTGGGTTCACTACTCTGTTAAAGTCACCTAATAAAATAAGTTTATCTCCAAGATATTCTTGGACTTTTTCTTCCAAGAACTGATAGAATTCCGCCTGCATGCGGGGTGGGGGTGGGGAAGCTTGTGTTAATAAGACAAAACACGCTCATCCAAACCAGGGCAGAGTTGAACCTACCATTGTTATTTCTAATGTTTTAGTCACTGAACATCTGTGACAATGCAACCCACTGTTGTTTTCTTTTTCATAATTATTACTATGAAACTTCCCAGGTTCACAGCCAAAGTGGATACGTGGATTGTTGACTACAGTTACATCACACAAACTGGTCTGGATGCATAGACTCCAGCTTAGATTTCATAACTTCTGAATACCTGATGGTAAGCAAAATGTGCAGCATTCAGCTCAATATGCTCACCTACTCTATCAAGCAACAATAGTCTGAAAGCATTCCTTACCTCTCCGATAGTTCCTTCTGTCTTCCACAATTGAATACAGATCCACAAAGGAATGCAAACCATGGAGGAGAGAGCCATCATCCACCCAATGCCATAACCCCAGTCTGGGTATATATAAACGTTGTTGTATTTCAAAGGCTTGTATTTCACCAGGAAAAAGATGAAGATTCCCTGAAATGGAGATGGTCATTTTATCCATTTTTGGGAACAATACATAGATATTTAGGAAACTTATTCACCCCAGTTCACTGAATTGCTACATTCAGCTTTCAAGACAGGTAGCAAGCAGGCAGGCAGGCTTCCTTTCTTCCTTCCACTGGAACTTCCTTTCACATTTAATCTCAGTCTTCATTTAAGGACCATAGAAATTGCCCCCCCCCATTTGACAACAAGTTACAGCTGTGCTGAAGAGACTCATGGGAGGGGATCTGTTCTGTGGCTTGAAAGCACTTCTGAACACACAAGAGGGGGTCACGATTCTCGCATGCCCCACCAGCTGTATCACCCCCAAATGCATCACACTGTGTATCACTTTTGAAGACCCCTGAAAAATTGCACCAAGAATGGGAACCCCCTGTGGCGTTTGTACAGAGCCCCCGGTCGTCTCATGGACTATTGACCCGTACTCCACTAATCCACTGCCACCAACCAGGTCCTCCCTGGTAAATCACTTAGTCTCAGTCTGGTTCTTAAGTTAACAGTGAAGATTGTAGTTTATTGCAAGCACAAATAAACTTTAAGTGCATTTGAAATGCTGTTACCCTTTACCCTCTTAGTCTTCTTTTATTCTGTCTCTAACTCTTCCACCTCCCCTCACACAAGAACTAGCTGAACTGTCTCTCTATTTCCATCTGTCTGCCAACTGCTTTCCCAACTGCCTTTTCCCAACCAACTAACTAACCCTCGGGCTAAGCCCTTTTATAAACAGGTAGGCTCCGCCTCTGGCTTTTCTATTGGTCTACTTATTAACTCTTTCTCTCCCCCTGTACATTTTCAAATGAACGGGAAAACGCCACCACCCTCCCCACAAAAGCCCCAGGGTGTGTGAGGGCTACTACACATAATCCTTTAAATTCCAGCCCTTAATTTGTGTTCAGTTCAGTTTCACGGTAAGTAACAGCATAGTAGCATACAATTGCTCTATTAATACCTACACATGAATTTATAATAAACACCTTGAGTGCATATGAAACCACTATGGTGTAGGAACAGAAATGTGTGAACACATAAAAAGAATTTGTCATACCTCATCATATTGTAGGGGGGTGGGGAAAGAGGAAGAAAAGAAAAAGTAGGGGCTACTGAAGTCTAAAGCCAATAGCAAAGAAATACCTAAATAATTTGAAATATTGAAATAAATAACATCTGCTTGAAAATTAAATAAGTTTTTTAATCACTTTTTTATTTAATTTATGAGGAATTGTTGCTTTTTTTTACTGATACCAGGAAGTTAAACTATTTTGCATTTTGGAGGTGTACTTCCTGTTCCAACACATGTGTGTGGCTCCATGATTATGCTCTATTTCTGGAAAATTATTTCCATAAAGTCTTTGGGAAAAGGTTCTGCCAAGGACCTTACAGATTGCTCTATCATTTTATCACACTTTCATTACTTACAGCGCAAATGCCAGGAGTGAGCAACATCCAACACCATTTAAATAATCCCAGTGGTCTGTACCCAATCATATCTTCAATGTTGTCATAAAAACGATTGCTTCCTGAATAAAACCAATATAAAAATTAATAGAAAAGGAATATAGGTCACCAGGGCTTATGCTACTGGATGTAGCTTCATTAGAATTTATGCTTTCATTCTTAGAATATTCCTTGCCTCTGCCATTGGCAAGGAAAGCCCAAAAACACAAGGTAAATGCAGTTGGTGGGAATGAGATGAAAATCTGCCCCCCCCCACAATCTCATTCACAACTAGCATATATAAGAAACGTTTTTTGGAGGGCCTGCTGAAAAAACTGAAGCCCTCCTTTACCTCTAGTGGGGTCTGCAGAGATGATACAGCAGCTCCCTTCCCAGCAGATGGAGACCTTTGGTTGACATGTTATTTCCACCAGAATTATTTACCCCTGGAATGATGCTATAGAATAACATAATGTCATTCTGAGAGAACTTGATGAAAAAATAGCAACCATATGGAGGCTGCCAAGTATTTACCCAAGAACTCTCTCAGAATGATGGTATGTTATCCAGCAGCACTGAGGTGGGAAGAAAACAGTGGCTGGAGCTTATAGACACCAGGAAGAGATTTGATGCTGTCACTGCCACAGGCAGTGTCTAGCATACCTTTTTCCAAAACCAAAACAAAAAGAATTGAAAGAGTTATCAAAGATAAAGGAGGGAATCTGAAAGAAAAGAAAAAAAACATTCCCCCCCCTTTTATGATTCTTCTTTACGTTCCAAAGCTGAGTTGTTTCAGTGAAATTTCAGCTGAGCACTAATAGTTTTAGTATCCTCAGCATTAAGAGGGAGAAGGAGGTAAAAACACAACACCTCTGCTAGGTGACTATTCTGCCATCCTTGAAGAAAAGAAGTTGTATCCAGTGGTTTCTCTCCGCTGACGGAAGGAATGTAAGTTGATTTTCATAGATTCCTCCTTTCTTCTGCAACCCCTTCACCACCAATCATGCTGTCCCAAAGGTGCCCCAACCCTCTGTGGTAGATTTGGGAAGGGCGCTGGGAATCAATTAAAGTCACCTCTTCCCATTTCTGCTCTTGGAAGCTCCCACTGGATCAAAAAGCCTTCTGTCAACAAAGGGACAAACCCAAATGGTTTGGCTGAATTTAACTGCACAAATGACATGTAGTACTAACATAAACCTTGGCATCCAGAGAAAGGCATGTAACACAACTCCACATATTACAATGGAGTAGAGGAAGAATGTGCAAGCTGTGTTTTTTCTAGCATAGCATAGAAAAAGGACTTGTGAAGATGAGATGTACAAGCTACAGGCATAAAAGCAGCAGATCTATCTCAGACTCACAACTTCCTTTTCATATGTTATATTAGATGCATAATTAGAGAAAGTACAACTTGTACTGACTCTTCTGGTACTATGAAATGAAGATTCGCATGTGAAAAGGATCCACCAGAAGGGGAAATATATACAACTTGCAATATGAAAACAAGACTGTGAAGAAGACTGACCCTTGAAATTCAAAGGATGATGTATGGCAAGGTAGGCTATGGAAAACACGGTAAGACTCATTCTAAAAATGCACGATGTGATTTCAGAATTAGCCCTAACATTGCAAGAATTGCTGACTTACCATAAAACCAGCCAATGCAGACACATTCAAATATAGCAACGAAAAGAAGGCACATTCCACTGGCTGCATAGGAATCAAACAACTGGAAAACATACATTCCACCCTGGAAGATAAACAGTTAAAAACAGGAAAAGTTGAGTGCGAATAACACTTTAGAGCTGAAATAAGGTTTCCCTCCACTTGGGAAATTTCTAAACCAGCTGATATTTTGGACTACAGCAACTATCAGTCCCAGGTGGCAAAGCCAGTGGCCAAGGGTGGTGGATGTTGTAGTTGAAAACACCTGGAGTGCACCAAGTTGGTGAAGGAAACATAAATTATGTGTGCTTGCTTAGGTTTAAGTGTCAAATGAGATGCAATGTTAAATGCATGCTTGTATTTATGGGACCATTAAAAGCAAACATCATCTGTTTGAGGTGTGACTGATCATTCTCAATGGAGGAGGGATTTAATTATTTCCTCCCTGGTTCCTTTCCTCAGGACTGGAGCAGGAAATAAAAGAGTTTTAAAAGCGCTCCATGCCTGTTGTGATCTTGAGAATTATTACTCCACCACACAAAGTATACCATTAAAGAAAACCATGGTTGGTTTTTTAAAAAAAAACCCTGCGTGTTTGTTTTGTCCCTTGGCAATCCTTTGCTTTGCTGTGTTTTATACCATGTTCTTCCCTTCTTTTATTTTATTTAAGAATTGTATTGCCAGAAGGGTAACAATATTCAACCCAAAAACTTCCTATATTGCTTTTTGGAAACAGGCCCTTTGTCCACATTAGAAGGCGAATGAAACTGTGAGAGAGACAAAAAATCTCCCGTCTTAAAGAAGTTCTTCCTCACACCTTGTGCTTATTTTTGGAGCATACACTCGATAGTGAAGCTATTTGTCCTTGGCAACAGGTTGAGACACCACGTGAATTATGAATTCTCCTCCTTCTAAACACCCTGGAATTTTAAGGCAATATCTGTTACATAAAAAGTCTTACACTGTATCAGCCCATAAGCAGTGTACATTTCCATACACATAGTAAACATCTGGAGTGGGCGGCGGGGGGGGGGGGACAGGCGAAGATGTCTTATACTTTAATTTATGATGACAGAGCACTAAGCATTGCTCTTTCGAGATGTGTTTCCAACTGCATATATTCAGGTTTAAGTTGCTAATCACTGAAAACACTTTTAGTCTCTGAAGTACATTATATGAATATTCAGATTTGTTCAGTTGTGTGTTGCATGAGCAAGTACAAAACCACAGACAGTATTCTGGGTGAATGGCATCTATCAGGGTGCATGGAACATTTTCATGAAAGGGTAAGATATGAATGTAACTTGCAAGAACATAAGAAGAGTCTTCTGGATCCAGCCAATTGGCCATCTAGTCCATAATCCTGTTCTCCCAGTGGCCAACAGATGCTTGAGAACAAGAACATTATCTTCTTCTGTGGTTTCCAGCAATTGGTATTCAGAAGCAGACTGCCTCCGAACATGGAGGCAGAGTAATCTATGCTCCTTTAGCTGATCAAAATCTTAATCTATGTGCTAGTCCTATTGTGTCGCCGACACCAGTATCTTTCTTATAATAACAGCAAGTAAGAAACTATAGATATTATCATATGAGTGCATATGGTGAGGGACTTGGGAATACAAAGCTTCCGAATCAAAAGTTAATCTTCAACAGTCAGCCCAAGTCAGAAATACTGAATGGGACACTAGCCATTTATCTCCTCAGCTAATTATTGAGGCTGTCTTGAGAGCTGGCCTAGATCCAGGCTTTGCAGTGGCAAACTGAGACTGAAATTCATTGCACAACAAACCCTCTTCAGTATTGCTTTCAAGTGCTCCCAAGGAATCAAGTCCTCTTGAACAGGAGTGAATTTCTGCACCCTACGCCAAGCTCCTTGGAACGTTTTGGAAAGAGCTCTAAAGAAATTATTTACATGATGGAATGTTGCACAACAGTGCCATTTGGTGGCACATGATGCACACTGCAACTTGATTTATACTGCAGAGTGCCTATTTCACAGCATACATTGCACTCTTCCCGGCAGCAGAAACAGCAGCAGCTGCCGTGCTGGGATTTGGAACAATTTGCTTCTCTTTTTCCTGCATCCCATCAAAAACAGTTGGGTAAGCACGAAAGTACTAACAACTGAATACTATGGGTCCATTCTACACAACAGCATGGGGAAGATGAATTAATCACCATGAAAAATAGCTTATTCCTTGATGTCCAGCCTCAAGCAGGACTGCCAGCCCAAATCCAAACAAAAACAACTAGGAGCCTGACTCTGAAACTCTGAGAAGAGTAACAACTGTACATGGAAACAAGGTGGACTTGCTTGAAAAATACATAGAAAAGGAAGGAGAAAATTGACAACAAAGCTGGATTGTATTTCTATATAGCAACTGATGGGAAACAGCAACAGTGGTGAGAGGTTTATTGCTCTCCTTCCTGGCTTCCCTTGGGCAACTCTTTGGCCACTGTGGCCTCAGTGCTGGACTGGATAGGCCTTTGGTCTAAACTAGCTGTGTGGATGCACATTTCAGAGTGCTGATGCTTGTGTGGGCAATAATGTGCCCAAAAGATTGAAACTAAATGCAAAACATATTGGGGTGGTTGCAAAATGTCTATTCTACAAAGGGAAGCAGTCATCCTGTTTGCAGAAGGGACTCAGTGGTCTCCCTTCAGCAAGAGTGAACTTTGACCAGAAGATCAACTCATATGTATATGGTTATACACCTCTCTTTTATTTTTTATTATTATTGAAAGGCAAAGGTTGGAAAGCTTGGTATTCAATTTTAAATGGACATTCAACAACCTCATTTTTTTTGTTCTAGTGAAACACTATTGTATCCCAAATTAATAATTAGCCTAATAATAATATCCAATAGAGTATGCTGTGCAGTTTTAAATGTTAACATCCTGAAGTACAAATTCAGGATGTCATTATGTAGGAAAGTAGTCATTAAGAGTAGATAATAGATATCTATAGCACAATTTCTTGGTCATATGTACAGAAAACCCTTGCAAGATGGTGATTAATGATCTGTTTTCTTCTAACAGCCTCAGGTAATGCCAATGCATGTAATGAATCTTAAATGTATACATTTGTTTATTTACATCTTACTTGTTAGGCAGGGAAGGACCTCTACTGATGCTAGATCCTGCAAACTTGTAGAGAAAATGTCTGCCCTCAACTCCCTACTCTGAGCAATTCCATCTTTAGTACATGCCTTAGCTTCTCCAAACCCTGTTTATTCATCCATTATTATAAAATATATTCTACCCTTCAATGCAACTGTCACTGTATTGTAAAAATACAATAAAATATGATGCCATTTAAAATCATAAATAAAAAACCTAAAAGGAGCAAATCTATAAAATAGCACAATAATTATTAAAAAAGAAAAACAGTTCAGCCAGATTGGAACAATAAATAGTAGTGTGCTGAACATTTTGCAGGGTTGAATTCAAAGTCACGCTATAGCAAGCTTTCTGTGTATGCAAGCATAACTGCTTCCCAATGGAATGACCCGCCTCCCACTGTGTGTTGTTTTGGGGGTTCTCCCAACACTCCCAGAGCCAATTTCAGGGAGTTTGCTGGGGGAAGGTGGGGAAGCCTCATTGCATAAACAGTAGCCCTTGCACAAGGCTTCCACTGATGGGGTTCATTAGGTGAATTCCACCAACTATTTTAATTTTCAGCAACTTAAGAGATGGTGTGGGGTGAAGCAGATGTTTAGGAAGAGGCCAGGGAGTGTGAGAATTTCAGAGACTATTCTCAGTGAGAAAGGCAACGTGTGCTATTCTTACCTTATACACTATAAAGAGGTGTCTGTGACATGTTTAGAACACACTGCGCACACTTGCAGTGGAGCAGAGCTCTTTACAAATGCAGCATCTCTCCTCACAGCACTTCCTACAGTTTCCAAGTGACCACAGGGCATCATGCGGACATTCTAGGAATTCCTGTGAGGCTGCCAGCCTATATATGAAGAGTCCTGCATTGCTGCAAGAGCACCAAGCCACTCAGCTCTTTATTTCAAACTAGACTAACAATATACCTTAGAGCCAAAAGCAACAGATGACCATGTTCAATTGCCATATATCAGATAGTGAGGGTGATGTGTGAAGTAAAAGGCCCCCGTCGCTATAATACAATAATTTATGTTCCCATATGCAGTTCCTTTGAGTTTTTTATCTTTCCAAGTATGTTGTATTTTGTCACAGAACAACATTTGATCAATATTTTGTTGCTCCAGGTGTCTATCAATCCTCAAATAGTTTTGCTTAGAATTTCTAAGGCTGTGCTCACATTGCTAATTACTGCTATTTTACTCCCACTGCTAGTTTTCAAAGCTGGGCTCACATGATGTTAGCCACAACCCACCTGCGTCCCGTAGCTCTTTGATGTGTTTTGCTTGGAACCAACTTCCATCTGATTTGAAAAGGGAAGCCATGGCTCCACTGTGCTCTAGTTCAGGTGGCTTTTGTGTGTGTGCACATGATGACATGTGCGCAGATCAAAGTTTCACTCAGCATGGGGAAAGATATCACTTAGTGTTTCAAGCCACTAGTGCGAACATAGCCCAAGTTAAAAAAAGAATGGAAACAATTTTTTTCCCCACCAATCCAAATACAAATATATATATCTTACCTCCGTTAACATGATTAGACCAAGGAAGAATGATACAATCGAAAGAGCGAGAATCAACAGCTCTCGTCTGTATCCCCTCCGGAAAACCTTTGGGTACATATCTACCACGGCTGTCACGAGACTTTCAACACACACAAACTGAACAAAGCAAATGCAGAAAAAAATGACATATAGAGTAAATGATCTACAGTACCAGTTCCTCAGCACATGTCAGTGCACTATGTGCTTTAATTTTTTTTTGGATTATTTATAGCCCGTTCCTATATAGAGCTTTAAGTATCCCCACTAAAGATAGCACCTAACTTGCCATACTTGCTCCCACCTGATAAGAGCTCTCTGCATGCCTTTCTTGCACGATGGCATTTCCTCCACGCTGACCACAGGGAAAGTACTGCATCAGGCACTAGGCACTGCATTAAATGACAACCCTGTGACATGAGTAACCTGAGGTTGGTTGGTTGGTTTAGTTAGTTAGTGGGTTGAACTAGATGACCCTTGGGGTACCTTCAAACTCTGTAGTGCTATGTGTCTATCAGTGCTCAGGAGCTATCAGACAGCTGGGATACCTCAGTTGGTAGAGCATGAGACTCTTAATGTCATGGTCATGGGTTCGAGCCCCATGTTGGACAAAAGATTCCTGCATTGCAGGGGGCTGGACTAGACGATCCCTTGTGGAACCTTCAAACTCTACAATTCTATGATTCTATGATTTCAGTTGATATTTCTCATGTCTAATCCAATACTTCCTGAACCATGCTGCTAGCCTGCTCTAGTCTTAAACGTATTTTCTGCTCTTTAGTTCATCGCCCCAGTCTTGCTAGAACCCATCCATATGAGTGTCTCTAAAGTGAGTGTGTAAGACTGTGTAAGACTGTATATTCTGTACTTTATGATTTCCAACCTTATGCAGCAGGGCTGAGTGCATGTGATTCCCCAAAACAGCTGCATTCCAACCAACTGGCTGTTTTGCATGAGAGCTAGATGCAGTCCCCACCACTTTAGCTTTTAAAGAAGGGCTCTGCATACTCATGTCCAGTATAAGATTGGGGCTCATAACATTTCATTCCTATCTTATAACCTTGCTTCTCACTCACCTGTGGGTGACACATTAAAATAATAAAATAAAATGAAGTACAGTGAAGCAAGAATTCAGCAATATTAAGCTGGCAATTTAAATTAGTTTTAAATTCAATTTAAAGTTACAGTTTGATTTAAATTCAGATCTCAGCTTAAGTTACACCTGGAAAGGATGTTCTAAAATGTCATCTTTGATCCATACCTGACTATCTAAACCAAGGAATATCAGCATCATGAAAAACAAAGTTGCCCATAACGGAGAAAGAGGCATCATTGTTACAGCTTTTGGGTAAGCAATGAAAGCAAGCCCAGGTCCTGGAAAAAAAAGAAAAGAAATTAAATAGGAATTGTTTATATGGTGGTCTTGCACAGTGGGGTGAGATATAAATTTAACAAATAATACATAATGATTAAAGTACACAATATCACTAGTATAACAAATACACTTAAAAATAATAATAAATGTATACTTTTAGTACTTACCTGATTCTGCAACTTCTGCTATGGGCACTCCCTGCTCATACGCCATAAAGCCAAGGACAGAAAAGATGGCAAAACCAGCCACAAAGCTTGTTCCACTGTTCAAGCAACAGAGCATAATGCAGTCTCTGTGGAAGAAAGAGCAATTTGCTTGTTCTCAGTGTGCGGCTTTGCTTCACATATTTTTGGGTGGCTACAACAGCTTTGAGATTTGGTACACATGTAGATCAAGACACTACAGTTATTAGAAAAATCAGACAATGAAACAAGTGTTTTGGTCACCGTAGAGCAGCAATAGTGTTCCTTCCCCTCTGCAGAGGTTTTATTATGGTTTAATCTTAAATAAAGTGGCCCTAGTTCAACCCAGCCTCTGTGCCTGTCTCTTTATTTGGCCATCAAGTTGTGATTGGTGGACTTTGCCAATAGGCAGGGCTTCCTCACTGCTTCCAATTCTCCACTCAGTATCTAGTAAGACAACTTCCAAATCACTCCTTTGTGGATCTGCAATTATTAGCTTCATGGGCCTCAACATAGCTGAGTTCATAGTGATGCAGATATGCTTCAAGGTCAACAGAGAAAACTCTTAACCTTAGAAGAAGTGACACAAACCCTTCAGAGGTCGTACATTTTAGTATTTGCAATCAATATTTATGTGCAGGGTTGCTGCCTGAAGCAGGTTTATAGTCAGCTTTGTTTCCAGTGACACACTTCAGGCAAGCAATTTTTTTTATACTGATAAACAGAACAGGCCCAAGACATTTTGGCACCTGAGGCAAACCACAAAATGGCATTCCCCTCCCTGCCAGGGAAGAAGATGTGATGGAAGATCTACATCAGGAACAAGGGAGGAGGAAAGATCTACATCGGGATCTGCTGCTCCTTTGGAACCTGCTGCCTGAGGCAGTTGCCTCACCTTGCCTCATGGGTGAGCCGGCCCTGCTGATAAATCTGTTTTACCAAATCCTGCATGTGATTCCTTCACATCTTGATGGATGCTGTTTGAAAAGTGTGAGTAAATGTTTACAATACAATATGTAATTTCACAGTAGTCTGTAAAAGAGGAAAAATGTAAACAAAACAGACTTGTGGCACCTTAAAAGTAACAGGTTTGTTTATTAGCCTTTAAGATGCCACAAGACATTGCTGTTCTTGCTACAGCTTAACAAAGCTACCTCTCTGGAATTTGTTAAGAAATGTGTTAACTTTGCCCAAGGATCAGATAAGCAACGTTCTCTACTCTCATGATAAGACTGCAATATTGATGAATATTATGAGTTGGCATGACTTACAATGTCAGGCATGACTGAATAGTTGGATCTACTACATAATATTGGTTTATCTTGTAATTTACTAAAATAAGTTCTGGCCTAAGGCATCATTTCTTAATGACTGAATTGATGTTGTTATTGTTTAGTCATGTCCGACTCTTCGTGACTCCATGGACCAGAGCACGCCTTCAACTGAACTGATAGATTCAGTCATTTTAATGTGTAAAGAGGTTCATTTTAATGTGTAAAGAATCTTACATTTTTACAGACTAGCTGCATTAAAAATCATTATAATAAATACCACTGACTAGGGGGAAATGCTAGACTGTGCTTCAGATATATGTATCAGTTACAATAACTGTATGACGTCTGTTTAAACTGGATATTCCTCCCTTCCTATTTTGCATAATAAATAGACCAACAGACCAGCTGAATTGGTAGTTCAATAAACATGGTGAGTGAACAGGATAGTGGGACTTTGCAGCCTATGAATAAAATTGACACTGACTTTATTTTTGCAGTATATTTCAATTTCCTTATAGCAGCTTAGCAGCATCCGATTTTCACAAAAACATCTTAAACTTCCCTCCCAGAAACCTTATGCAAATTTTGTTAGTGACTAGGAATTGGGATTTTAAAAAGGTAAAATTTGAAGGTAAAATAGTATCTAATTAAAATTCATGAAAAAATATATTTGGTTTTTAATGTTCTCAAAATATCATAGTTGATTCTCCATCTGAGGGAATATCTCATGCTCTGACAACTGAACTATCCCAGGATAGAAATAAAATTCCCTGATGTGATACAAATCATTTTTTAAAATTGTAATGTTTACCTAGATAATGTAGTTTTTATGAAGAAAAGCTGTTATAAGTAAACAGACAAACTGGTCCCAGAATCAAATGAGTGATCAATCACTTAATAATATACCATAGTAGTCTTAAGAAAGAACAAGCAGATGATTATTTAGAATTATGAAAGATGAAACTAAGAGGTGAATTAAGGGCATGTATTGTGTGCTGGCAATACAGTTAAAGGGGATAAGCATTAAAGTTTACACTAGAGGGAGCCAATACACCACTTTCAAATTTCTTTGTAAAATACAAGGTTATTGTCACATGGCGGTACCTAGATCTTATGGCTGCTGTGTTATAGCTTTTTAAAAGTGTTTATGAAATGGACACTATTCTTGTTCTATCCATTACCTGCCATTTTACAAACACTCAGAAAATCAGCATTCTCCAAAGGGTATACTATGTAAATTTTTCATCCCCCAAATATAGTACCAGAACCACTAGTCATTCCATGTAATTTAATGTCCTGAAAGATGATACCACACCTGCAGTGAATACTGACCAAATTCACAATTTTATACTAGTATGGCACCAATGCTAATGTACCACCATGTGGGATTCTAGATTAATCTTTGTCATAAAAGAGGGGTTGGGCTGTTAGAATTCCTGCTCCATGTAGCCATATATTTTCTGAACAGCACAATCCTCCATTTCTACTCAAAAATTAAGTCCCACCCTGTTCAGTGAGGCTTCCTCCCAGGTAAGTGGATATGACTGAAATCTAAGTACATGAAAAAATATTCACAAATGATAGCACTTGTGCTAGTTAATTTTTGTATAATGCGTGCATCATACGTGTGCCTAAAACACAGTTAATGTATTATCTATTCTATATTTATCTTTATAACTTTAATAATGGAACATTAATTCTTCCTCCCAAATTACCGTTTTCAAAAAAAATCAGTTCAAAAGCAAAGGGATCAAGTAATGCTCAGAACCCTTAAAATGTCATTGTGTGAAACACAGTACTCAAGCATGTTCTGTGTATCTAACTAGTATATATTCAGCTCTATGCAACTATTCCACTGCACACATAAAATAACTTTTGAATGCGCGAATGAACTTCTCCTTCCTCTCCTTCCCTTGCACATCCCCTAAATCTGTTTTGGGAGTTCCTGCAACCCTCCAGCAAAGATTTAGCAGTGAAGTGGGGGGCAGCGAAGTGAAGTTGTTCCACATACGCAGTTATTTAGTTGGGTACCTCAAACAGTCATGTACATATTTGCCAGACTAGACCACTGAACAGAAAAAATAAACATGACTGTAATCGTGTATTACCTGTAGCAGTTGTTATTGTAGTTGTTGTAGCTCCCTAAGGCTGTCAAGCACCCCAGGCAGATGGCATAAGAGAAAAATATTTGTGTTCCAGCATCCACCCAGACCTGCAAACACAAAAAATAACAATAATTATAAAAAGGTAAAAAAAAAAATCCTTGTTACTATAAGGTAAGCAGATCATAAATTATTAGAAGAAGCCTTGAAATTAGATTCTAGTGCTATCCAGTGGTGGGTTTTGTTTTTTTTCCAATTCACTTGAAATTGCAAAGATTACATTTTTTTCAGACCAGTGTAATAGACTTGAATGAGGAATTTCCTTCATGGCTATATAACGGTTATCATCATTCTGTTTCTGCTCATTCATTCTGCTGCTTGTCACCCATACAGTATCAGAACCGTACCATATCCAGCGGGTTCAAACAGCAGCGGGTTCTGTCACAGTTGACAGACCTATCCCTTGTGAATTTGTTTACATCTCAATTTAAAGTAATCTAAGCCAGAGGCTATTGCTACATCTTCTGGCAGTAAATTTCATAAACTTCTTTTACCTCTCCTGAATCTACTGCGAAGCCACTTCATCGGTTAACCCTGAATTCTAGTAGTGTGAGTCCAGGGTCGCAGGTTCGATCCCCATAAGGGTCAGCTGTATATTCCTGCATTCCTTCCAACTCTTATGATTTTATGAGTCACATAGATATACTCTACCCACTGCCTCCAGGCCATGCACTTCCCATCACCATTTCCCCATGGCAACTCCAGCCCCTTCTCCTTTATCATTTCAAGTTTAACTACACAGTGGTACCTTGGTACTTGAACGGCTTGGCTCCCAAACAAATCGGCTCCCAAACACTGCAAACCCAGAAGTGAGTGTTCCAGTTTGCGAACGTTTTTTCGGAAGCTGAACGTCCAATGTGGCTTCCACAGCTTCTGATTGAGTGCAGGAAGCTCCTGCAGCCAATCGGAAGCCGCACCTTGGTTTTCGAATGGTTCCGGGAGTCGAACGGACTCCTGGAACAGGTTAAGTTCAAGTGCAGATTAAGTTCAAGTACAGTGCCACTGTATTCTTTTTTTAGATGAAGCAACCACAACAGCATACAGCTAGGGGAGGACTTTGGTCTTTCAAATTTCAGTGGTGCCCTGTGCAAGGCCAAAATTTGGTGGCCCTTGTCTCTTGCCTTCTGTTCTGCGCAGTTCATTACATCATAGTTGTGAAACCCAGTGGTGCCCCCTAGGCTCAACCGGTTGTGCTACCCAAAAGCCAACTCTGACACAGCATTCCAGATGTGACTGAACTGTAACTTATTCTTTGATGAGTATAGTGAATGTAAAAGTTATGGTCAGCATCAATGAACTGTAAAACCATTTCTGCTTCTTTTGTCGATCACAGAAAACTGCATTTGGAACTACAGGGAGTTTCAAAAGCATTTTGCAACATTGCATACAGGTTAGCTACCCAGAGAGAAATCCAACCATGGATAATACTCCTATCTAGCAATTTATTCTGTTTGTAGATCATTTAACCGTTAAAATTTCACGACAAAATGCTTAATGCAAGATAGAAATTGGATTGAATTACCAGTTGTCTCATGGAACTCCAAATCATAAAAAAAGAAAAAAATGTATTTTACATGTAACTTCTAAGAGGCGCCGATTTCTCAAGTTGTTGAAAGCTGGAAGTGTTTCTGTTTTGAAGCACTAGTACGATCACATTTAATTTGTGTCACAAGTTAAAATGGTTTCACTGCTGTCATGATGAGTAAAATATAGCTGATTACATCTGTAAAATGTTCTACTTCATAGTGAGAAAAATGGATACGAAACACATTTTAACTAAGAAGTCTGGAGATCTCATTTCTTCAACAGCAGTTCTCTGCATTGCATGGCAAACCAAAATGGATTTTTAAAGATAATTTGTGGGCTAAAGTGGTCTCAAACTCTTGGAAATAGCATCTCACAATTCTTTCATTAGGTGGAATATTGCAGCAATGTTTTTTTTTTTACAATGCATTTTCAAACATACATCTTACCAATGCCATACTGAAGCTACTTTTGGAATTAACATTGGTATCCGTGGAGTAAAATTGATATGTCAGAATTGCTGTGATGTCATATTTGCCAAATAGCTAGAGGGACAGGAGAGGAAGATAATTGTTTTGTTTTGTTCTTGTTTTTATTACGTTGTATGCTTATTATGCTTTTTTAAAAAAATATATATTGTATTTTATGCTGTGAACTGCCCTGAGATCTACGGATGAAGGGCGGTATACTAATAATACTAATACTAATACTAATACTACTACTACTACTACTAATAATAATAATAAAATAAAAATAATGTCTGCATAGTCTATAAGGAGGACGGTATCTACTAGATCAACTTGATTCCATAAACCTTTGCTACTAGTCCAGAGACCACACTTTTGGAAGCTGAGAGAGCAATGAAATTAAACAAATCATTTTGAAGCCATTTTTGTCTAACTCTTTTCAGAGGGGGTACCAGCCTCAGAACTGAGAAGGGACATATGTACCTTCCATGGAAGAAAATGAGGAAGTTAAATACTTGGGGATTAACATGACAGCAAAAAATGGGAATTTATTTAAAGATAACTATGAAAAATGTTGGTCAGAAGTGAAAAAAGATTTAGAAATTTGGTCAAACCTGAAGCTTTCACTGCTAGGCCGTATTGCTGCGATAAAGATGTATGTACTGCCTAGAATGTTGTTTTTGTTTCAAACTTTGCAGATCGTGGACAAAATGGACTGTTTCAAGAGGTGGCAGAAAGACATTTCTAAATTTGTCTGGCAGGGCAAGAAACCTAGAATAAAATTTAAAATTTTAACAGATGCAAAAGAAAGAGGTGGATTTGCCCTGCCAGACCTTAAACTTTATTATGAATCAGCAGCTTTTTGCTGGTTGAAAGAATGGCTACTTCTTGAAAACACTGACATTTTGGATTTGGAAGGTTTTAATAACGTATTTGGATGGCATGCATATTTATGGTATGATAAGGTCAAAGCACACAAAGCATTTAAAAACCACATTGTCAGGAAAGCGCTATTTAATGTTTGGATAAGATATAAGGATTTGCTAGAAAATAAAACCCCAAGGTGGCTGTCACCAATGGAAGCGAAAGCCTTGAAATGGGTCAATATGGAGGTCAAATGGCCGAAATATTGGGAAATTTTGGAACAAGACGGAGATAGACTGAAATTGCAGAGTTTTGAAAAATTAAAAACAAAGTGCGAGACTGGCTTCATTATTATCAAATAATGGAGGCATTTAAATTAGACAGGAAAATTGGCTTCCAGGTGGAAAAATCGAAATTAGAAACAGAATTGTTAGAACCCAATACTAAGAATCTGTCAAGAATGTATAACTTGCTGCTGAAATGGAATACTCAAGATGAAACGGTAAAATCGGCTATGATTAAATGGGCACAGGACGTAGGACATAACATTATGTTTGCTGACTGGGAACAGTTATGGACCACTGGTATGAAATTTACGGCATGTAATGCCTTAAGAGAGAATATTATGAAAATGATATACAGGTGGTACATAACCCCAGTCAAGCTTGCGAAAATTTATCACTTGCCCGATAACAAATGTTGGAAATGTAAAGAAACTGAAGGTACATTTTTTCACCTTTGGTGGACGTGCCCAAAGATTAAGGTTTTCTGGGAAATGATATATAATGAATTAAAAAAGGTATTTAAGTATACCTTTCCCAAGAAACCAGAGGCCTTTCTCCTGGGCATAGTGGGCCAAATGGTGTTAAAAAGGATAGAACTTTCTTTATGTATGCAACAACAGCAGCAAGAATACTCATCGCAAAGTATTGGAAGACACAAGAACTTCCCACGCTGGAGGAATGGCAGATGAAACTTATGGACTATATGGAATTGGCGGAAATGACTGGCAGAATCTGTGACCAGGGAGAAGAGTCGATGGAGGAAGATTGGAAGAAATTCAAAGACTATCTTCAGAAACACTGCAAAATTAAGGAATGTTAGAGTGATGTTGGATTGAAAATAAGTGGTTTCCAGCTGTACAGGTTAAAGCTAGGATAGATTAAGATTAAAGATTAAGATTGGGAAAAATTTAAAGGTATATGACATTAAGAACAAGGATTATGTTTATGTTATATAGTTTAATATTTTATTAAATTAAAGATTGGGTTTAAAAAAAGTGGAAAAGAAATTGCTGGACAAATAATGTAGATTGGAATACAAAAGAGGGAGGTATGAGGAAGTCCAGAAAATAAGTAATTCAAAATTGGGAATGTAAAAGAGAGTTTGTTTTAAATTGTTATGTTGTGTGTTTTTATTGTTAAATTTTGTATTGTTTTTTTGTGTGTGTTGTTTTTTCTTTTTTCTTTGTTTAAAACTTTAATAAAAATTATTTAAAAAAAAAAAAAGAAAATGAGGAAGTTGACCACAGAGAATAATATCTCCATCAGGTCTGCTCCCCAGCCATACCCCCAGCTCACCTGCAATTGGCCTTACAAGTAAGTACCTAGCCACCAGTGCAGTGAGAGGAACCAGGAGCATCACCTCCCACTGTGCCAAAAGCTGAGGAAGGGAGATCAGCCCTGCCATGGCGTCACTGTGGCCCCAACCACCACACCCAGCAAAGGGCTTTGTGGGCTGAGTAGAGCCAGGAGCGGTGGTGCCATAGTGACATCAACAAATGACACAGGACAGGTGTGTTGGGATTGAAAAGGCCATAACTTTGTTAATTACAGATGTCAATTCATGATCCCCCAGGATCACCCAATGGGGCTGTTACATCCCGTTATGGAAAAAAACCACCGCCCAGGCTCCCTTAAGGTGATACTGCATGGCCGCAGGGGGAGAAGGGAGGAATCTCTGAAAACTCTGCATAAACTAATTCTCCAGGCAGGAGTTCAGTTTGGGGAGGAAGCCTCCACTCGGTTTTAAAGAATTTCCCCCTTCTAATCAGCCCACCATACCTCAGCTTCCCTCCCAATTCAGCAGGGTTCCTGAATCCTCACGGTGGGGTTTTGGAAGCTGCTATGAAGAGGATGGGATGAGGAAGTCTGTTCACACCTACCCTGTAGATTTTACCATTTTAACGTAGGTTTGGAAAGAGCAAAAACTATTGTATATAATATTTTGAAGCTCCAGAGAAAGGGGGTGGTAAAAATAAGTCATTCAAAACTTTTTTTATATAAAAAAGAGATCACAACAAAGCTGCAAATTACAAAGTTGGAACTACAATGGATCTATTGAATGTAATGAAGTGACTTGAAGAGATGAAGTGATATCTTTGAAACATGCCATCATTGCCAGCTGCTTTATATATCATGGTTGTAAAATACTAGAAACAGGGAAATCTAGCAGATCTAACAAATTTATCAAGCGTGTTATTGGAATGTACATTTGATGGTGTTGATCGCAAAGATCAGAAAGCAATGCTCACAAATACATTCCTCAGTGAGTATAAGAATCTACAAAGGGTCAATATAATAAAGGAAGGATTCTTATGTGATGAAGCGATGTTCATTTGGTATGGTTGCCATATTTTGAAGAGCAAAAAAGAGGACACTAGCTGACTTCCACTTTTAACTATGGATCGCTATGACAACTCTCAATTTACATACCCATGAAAAAGAGGATGTGTCCTGGAAAAGGAGGACATATGGCAACCCTATACTATTAAGCCAAACTAATCAGAAATTAATAGTTTACAACAACCGGAACTGTGAATAATTTGCCATTTCCAAAGATTTCCTAGTGATTTCCTGTTTACTTTTCTCTCTCTCACCCACCATGCCTAAATAATAACTCTAGGAATTATGAATCACAACAAAGAATTCTGTGACAAAATTTTGCAGTGTGAAGTATCTTCAGGATACTCCATTTCCCACCGGGTTTCCCAACCCTCCTCCCAAAAAACAGTCAACGTTCTCATTGGAGATTTGGAGTCTGCTGGTGAGTTCCTCTTGTGTTATTATATCTGATTTATTCCCGAAGAATAAAGGTTGAATAGAGATGACTCTATCCAATTTATGAGATAAAGACTCTGGGGTTGCGGATCTCATCTTGCTTTATTGGTCGAGGGAGCCGGCGTACAGATCATGTGGCCAGCATGATTCTGGCGAACCAGAGCAGCGCACGGAAACGCCGTTTACCTTCCCGCCGAAGCAGTACCTATTTATCTACTTGCACTTTGACGTGCTTTTGAACTGCTAGGTTGGCAGGAGCAGGGACTGAGCAACGGGAGCTCACCCCCGCCTCAGGGATTTGAACCGCCGACCTTCTGATCAGCAAGCCCTAGGCTCTGTGGTTTAGACCACAGCGCCACCTGCGTCCCTAAATTTATGAGATACTATAAAGCGTGTTCTCCTTCATGGAGAGCACGTGTTGTGGTGGGGTCTGACAGGCCACCCCCTCAGTTGCTGGGTGGGATCATTTAGATGGTCATTGGCAGTGATTGGGCTGTTTGGGTTACTGGGCTAATTTTGATGTTGCCAATTTGTGGGATGGACCAAAGGTTTTATATGCAGGGCATGCAGCATTGAGCATTCTCTTTTGCAGCTTGTACCGGATCACTCGCCCACCCTCCCTAATTTAGGGCTCTTGCGTCTGACCTTGCTATGCCTGTCATGGGGTCGTCTGCTTTTCGGGCAGGGGCCTGGTAGGAATTTTGTCCATTTGGTTGATTGGCTGGTGCCATTCGGCTCACTGGAAGGACAGATCGTGAAGCTGAGGCTCCAATACTTTGGCCACCTCATGAGAAGAGAAGACTCCCTGGGAAAGACCCTGATGTTGGGAAAGATTGAGGGCACAAGGAGAAGGGGACGACAGAGGACAAGATGGTTGGACAGTGTTCTTGAAGCTACCAGCATGAATTTGACCAAACTGCGGGAGGCAGTGGAAGACAGGAGTGCCTGGCGTGCTCTGGTCCATGGGGTCACGAAGAGTCGGACACGACTAAACGACTAAACAACAAAATTCGGTTTTTGCCTACTGCGTAGCAAATCATCACAACTTGTAAGGTTGTGTTTAGGCATTGGTTAATTTTTGGTTGGTGGAGGGGATGTGGTTGGCAGTGCCTGCCCCTCCAATGCTGCTGCTGCAAGGGAATTCTGTTAAAGGAATCCAGGGGCTCGCCATGCTTTCGTCCAAATCCTTGGCATGGGGCTTGGGCCGCGCAAGCCCCTGGGAGCATGCAGGGAGAGGTGAGGGTGTGGTGCCCGGCTCCATTTTCTCCCCAATATTGTTTTCCCTTACTGGCTTTCGCTGGAATCCGAAGTCAGTTCTGTCCCTGGACGGGGACAGATAGTCGGAACCAGTGCCTAAGCAACCACTCACATTTATGTATTTTAATAAAGTTGTGGCCAAAATTATGCCAAAAACCTTAAACAAAAATTCTGTGTGAATTATGATTTATTTGGGGGTGGCTTGGGGACCTCGACACACAACACAATTCTGGCATAACTGATCAAGATTTTTGTACTGGGAAAGGTTCCACCACACCCCAGTTTTACAATAGAAAAGAAGGGAAATAGAGAACCTGCTCTCTTTGACTTTTGTTTCAGTTAAAAGTCAGCAAATATTTCGGAAGAGGGTATGATGAACATGACTTTGCTAAAACTGAAAGGTGAGATACAAGGACATTGTTGCAGTTGTGGAACAAGCTCTACTTGTACAATGGGACTTCCCCCCTAAATCTGCTCTGGAGAGATGGGCAAACCCTCACAACAGGTCAGGTGCAGGAAAAGGAGAGTGAGGCAAAGTCCTACTGCATGAGCACCAAGTTCCTCATGTGCATTCCCCACTCAGTGCTACATTGAATTCCTCCCTATGAGTTTAAGTATAACATAAAGGTAAAGGGTAAAGGGACCCCTGACCATTAGGTCCAGTCGCGAACGACTCTGGGGTTGTGGTGCTCATCTCGCTTTACTGACTGAGGGAGCTGGCGTACAGCTTCCGGGTCATGTGGCCAGCATGACTAAGCCGCTTCTGGCGAACCAGAGCAGTGCACGGAAACACCGTTTACCTTCCCGCTGGACCTATTTATCTACTTGCACTTTGACGTGCTTTCAAACTGCTAGGTTGGCAGGAGCAGGGACCGAGCAATGGGAGCTCACCCCGTCACGGGGATTCAAACTGCCGACCTTCTGATCGGCAAGTCCTAGGCTCTGTGGTTTAACCCACAGTGCCACCCGCATCCCTTTAACATATAAGTATAACATGCATTGCATTAAATTGAATACTATGATTTCTGGTGACTGATAACAACTTCTTACAGTTAAATGTGTGATTCAGAAATTTGCTGAAGCCATTAAAATTTTGAGTTTCAATACAACAGAGAACAACCTCTATATTTTAAATGTATAATTAATTACTTTATAGATTGATTATACTATTTCTACTAAGTAGTGCTTGCTCTGAAGCACACTTCCTCTGCAGTATTCAACTATCAGTCACACACAAGAAATGTTTGAGAAAAAGTTCCCTGCATATTAGTGGCTATACAGATGTTTTAGCCCAACTACAGCATTTCCCTCCCCCTCCCCCAGAGCACTTATAATGAAATTCAGATCTACTACTATATAAAACAGACTCTTCCAGATACAGAAAGCTGTTTACTATGCTTATTTTCATCAAGGAATGAATAATCATTTTATAGTTGAAGACTGACATAAATTATGCATTATTGTTGATGAGTGTTGGCATTATTTACATTTTAAATAGCAATTTTCCTGAAGTTGAAAACAAAACTCTGTTTTTGAAAATTCTTTGATACTTCTGAGCTTTTCTCTAAGTTTGGGAGGAAGGAAGTAGACATGTTGCTGAGATGTTACACAATTTATGGGCTGGTTGTTGTTGCTGTTGTTGTTTTGTTTTGTTTTAAAGGTCCCAGAGTAGACTACAATGTAAAATACTGTTTAAACAGATAAAAAACTTACAATTAAAAATATCACAAAAATAGAGTGGGTCCTAAAAAATGAACATCTCAGTGGACAAAGGTCAGGGTAAAGAGGCGCATCTGCAGCACCAATGAAAACTGTACAATGACATTGCCAGACAGACCTCTGTAGGCAAGGAGTTCCACAACTCAGGGACTGCCCAAGAATTAATCTCACAAGCAAACAAGACTTAAATTGTGCCTTCTGTGGCATCTTAAGTGCAGAAAGTGCTCCAGTATGATCAAATATAAGTATGTTTAACCTTTCACCACAGTAATCCAAGCTTTTCATTACTACGTGTACATAGAATCTTATTACACCTTCAGTTTGTCTCGCCCTTAAATGCTGCGATTCAACAGGAAAATAAAGCAACACAAAATATGAACTCTACATTGTGTATATAAATAGCAGCAAATGTGCAGTATTTGGATACCGGACTCATTTTGTTTCTGAGGTTTTACTACCCAGGGGTTTTCAACAACACAGCTTCTGTAAGCAGAGGCTTCATTAGGGGAGAAAACAGAACTTAAATGGTTAGGCATAAAATGGCTGAATTAAGCCCTTTCTTTCCCCCTCTTTTAATGGAAGTGATTCTCAAAAGATTAAAAGTAGGTTAGGGGAATAATAAAACAGCTATGTTTCTAGTGTCTACCTGACAACAGCTTTTGTAGCAGTGAATAATTACATGAAAATCACTTCCTTTCCACCTCTCTTTGGGATTTCTGTGGGTTGCTAAGCAGTCCCTCTCCTACCTTCTGCTAATGTTACTTACAGACGCCAATGAATACAGCATATTCATTATGAGAAAAGGGAACTGAGGGATAGAAGGGCCTAAATACTTGAAGTTTTTTTTGTTTTTGTTTATTCACTGCTGCCTCCAGCACCAAGCACTATAGCTCAAAATACTTTACACATATTTAAATGCTAATTTGTCCAGGCATGATTAGTAGGAACCTATCTCTCTTTAAATGAAGCAAAAAAAAAACTTTATTGGAAGAAAAGTCACACTTGTGTCATGTTTTTGTGGTGCCAACCAATGTAGGAAGTCAGTTGCCAGCTTGACTGTGTCTAGCGAAAAAAGGGGGGAACTTCTTTATGTAGCCCTTCTGCAATCCTATGTTCTAGCCATTTACCCTGAAGATGCATCAACATTTTTTCTTTAAAATGTCTAGCATAAACCAGGAATACTTGACTAGGGATTGAAAGACCGGTCAATTTCAGTTCTCTTCATTTTTCTAATCTTAAATTCAGTTCTCCACATTTCACAGCAATTTGTGGTTTGGGGTTTGTTTGTTTGTTTTAAAAATTCCTAATGAAAATCCACCAGCATTTTAGTGCAAACTTCTCCTAATAAGCACATTTTTATTTGCAGTTTTTGCAAGCAATTTCTCCTAATGTAATGCTATGTCTTTTCCACCAATATATTCATTTTCAGCAATACTTTCTCTTAATGAAAGCATTTTTTTAAACGATGGTTGGCGAACTGGGATACTAAAATTCAGACAAGTGCAAATTTTAAAGCATGGGGGATTGCATATCCTTCTGGAAAGTGTGAATTTGATAGATTCGGCTTTAAATGAGACCTGAATCAAATTTTTCCCACATCTCTACCCCTGATAGCTATATGGGTCACACAGGGAAACAAGAAAGTAGGCTGTTCATTGGCCAGACTATAAAAAAAAGCATTCTAAACCAAAACCTTACCAGTGGCAAGACAGAAATTTATAACATTCTTATTTTGGATGTTTGAGCTTGGCACAAGCTAGGCTGTCATACCACGCAAAAATGTACTGATCTGAGGAACCTAGGAAGCTGCCTTATACTGAGACAGACAACTGGTCTATCTAGCCCAATGTCTTGAGTATTTGTAAAGAGATAAATGAAGTGTTTTAAACCCGCTTTTGAAACTGTAAAAGTTTGACAAGAGGCGCTACAACCAACAAAATTCACAACTACAGCGGTACCTCAGTTTACGAACTTAATCTGTTCCGGAAGTCCGTTCTTAAACCGAAACCGTTCTTAAACCAAGGTGCGCTTTCCCTAATGAGGCCTCCCGCCGCCGGTGCCCTTCCACCATTCGGCTTCTGTTCATAGACCAAGGTAGAGTTCGCTAACCAGGACACTACTTCTGGTTTTGTGGAGTTCGTATACTGAATAGTTCGTAAACAGGGCTGTTCTTAAACCGAGGTACCACTGTACTTATTTGAGGTAGGAGAGGCAGATTGCCTTTTCAACAATTTGTGCAAGTTTCCTCTGACTGTCATGTTCCCTCACATGCAGACTTCCAGGGGATGCATGCCAGTGGAGGGTGGAGCCAGAAGCCAGAGGCAAAACTGGGCAGAGAAATGGCTATGGCTTTCACCTTTGCATAGCAGGCTACATTCCAACCACACAAAAGTCAGGTTTACATACCTATACATGGCACGTGTGCATGCACACACTTTTCAGGCAGCCAAAAGGCAAAAGGCATTAACACAGTTCAATAAGACATTTCAGTCAGGTAAAAGCACTTACAAGGGCTGCTGAGCAGGGCCAGTGAGAACTGTAGCCAAGAGCTGGATAGAGAGGCTTGGAAAATGACATATGGTTCCCCAGCCCTGCTTTAGAGGAACAGGCTGCCGCGGAAGGTGGTGAACTCTCCTTTCACTTTTAAAAGGTGAGGCTGGATTGACACATATCGGAGTTTCTGTAGCAGTGGATTTCCTGCACCAGCTGTTTGCTGGGCTAGATCAGGGTTTTCCAAACTTGGGTCTCCAGCTGTATTTGGACTACAACTCCCATCATCTCTAGCTAGCAGGACCAGTGTTCAGGGATGATGGGAATTGTAGTCCCAAAACAGCTGGAGACCCAAGTTTGAGGTCTCATCTAGCTCTATGATTCTGTTCTTATACCTTGTCTCAAGGGCTCCACATTCAAAACGCAGCCCCAGCCCCAGCTAGGGATGCATGCAAAGAAGAGTACATCACACAGGTACAAAAGGAAAGAGGGAGCTCCATGCTGCAAAATGTAACTGCTTTAACTACTTTTCATTTATTTCCCCATCCCCTTACTACATTCCTTGCCACTTTCTTCATGAGCAGAAGCTGAGAGCAGTGCCTACCACACGGGTTAAGCAATCCTCCCTGCATGCAGACAAGCTTTCCATCGGTGAATCGGAGGCATTCCATTTCTGTCACTACCACTACTGGCCACAGACTCACAAGCAATTTCGCTTTGCAGAATCATAGACCAGATGCAGAACAAACCATTACTGCACACAAGGGTGTATGTGGCTGTAGTTCCTTCCCCTCAGTGGGGTGAGAGGCTGAGCCAGGAGCACTGGCAGAGCTGTAGTTTCTATCTAAACCATCCTCAGAAGTAGTACAACTTTTAATACACTGTAGTAGCAGAGTGTAGCCCACTGAAGCAGGGGAATCTTCCTCCAAATAGGACTGCAGCTGGACCACCATCCAATTTAGCCAATGTTGCACCTGAGTAGTGCTGCATTGCTCATAATGGGTCTAACCTTCATCTCTGAAATAAACTTAAAGGTGCTTTTCTTTTCCTGATATGAAAAGAATGCCCACCACTTCATCTTTGGAGAGAATGCCTGAGGTGAAAGGCAGGCTTTTTGCTTAACTGGGAATTAGAAGAAAAAGCATACATGAAAGGGGGGGGGGTGTCTACGAAGCCCAAATGTTTGAAGAGTTGCTGGCACTTACTGAGATTCAGTTCTTTTCACCACTTCTTCAAATAGAAGGTTCATTTCAGCTCACCAAAACAAACTGAGCCATTCCTCTGGGAGGAGGCCGAGACTAGCTTAGCTCTACAGTCGCTGATCTACTTTGACAGACAACTAACCTTCGTGTGTTTCTAGCTGCCTGATGAAATTTTAAAGAAACACTGAAAGCATAGGAAAACCTTACCCACATAGCAAAAGCCGTTTTCACCATCATTCACATAGTTTATTGTTGCAAATATACTAATTGCACTGTAAATGGTTAATGGGACTATAACAAAATACGGATATCAACAATGAAGGTCTGAAGTCTACCACAACGGTTGTAAACAAGGGAATGATCTGCAAAAGGTGCTGCTAAGCAGCCACACAACAGCTTTGCCTCCTCCTTACCAACCATATTTCCAAGAGAACTTACTTGCTAAATCCATTTCATTTTTAAAAGGATATAACAAAATAGGAAACTGTTGATTCCATTTTGAAGCAATGATTAGAGGAAAACAATTTACACCAAACCAAAGGAAGTTTCAATACAGTTGAGGAGCGAAGAAATGGGGAGACAAGGAAGGCACATAATGGGACAGGGGCGATACCCTGGTGAGGAAGAAAGTGAATATAAAATGTCTAGTTAAAACAAGCCAGGTTCTTGCCCCATTGCTTGAAGTTGGCTCATTTCGCAGCTAACCATTGTTTCTTGTTACACTGGTTAGCAAGTGACATGTTTCACTCTTTCAAAGCACTCTTTTCTCCCAGTTCAGCTGGGGAGGGGTAATAACTTACTCCTCCTTTTATATCATCAGGGGAGCAATTACTGCCTAAAGCTCTGTCAGAGCATTCAACTCACTGATGACACTAGCAACACTTGCAAAATGTACACAGGCATGAAGAAAGCCTTTGGACCAACAGGAAAACTGCACCTCTGAAAACCTTCTCAGGAGGGAGCATCACAGACCACAGCAAGCAGATGAAGTGATGAGCCGAGCACTATCTAGAACTGTACTTACAGGAAAGCATGGTCTCTGACATAGCAACTGACAGTATCCAGACTCTCCCTTGATGAGCCATCAACTCTCAGGCATGAGGTAAAGCCCCAGGGCAGGACAGAATCACGGAAAGCCAGCTTCAATTCCTCCCTCATGACATAACTCCACAGCCCCCTCTTGCAATGTTGGGAACAAAGATTCATGCCACAAGACACGCATGACTCCAGCATTGTGACCTTCTACAACAGGGGTCAGCAACCTTTTTCAGCCGTGGATCGTCCACCGTCCCTCGGATCTGTATGGGGGGCGGCGGGAATGAACGAATTCCTATGCCCCACAAATAACCCAGAGATGCATTTTAAATAAAAGGACACATTCTACTCATGTAAAAACATGCTGATCCCTGGATTGTTTGCGGGCTGGATTGAGAAGGCGATTGAGAGGCATTAGGTTGCCTACCCCTGCTCTACAAGAACAAATATGACCACCATGACTTTAACAACTACCATAGGATCTCCCTGCTGAGTACTGTGGGGAAAACCTTCAGCCATGTAGTTCTCAACAGATTGCAGTCACTCATTGACACAATGCAGCTTTAGAGCTCAGAGATCAACAGTTGACATGATTTTCTCGCTGTGCCAACTGCAGGAGACATGCCGAGAGCAGAGATGCCCCTTATACAGCGCTTTCATGGACAAGGCCTTTGATCTCATTAGCCAAAAAGGACTAAACAAGATAGCATGCCCACCTGAGCTTCACAAGATGATTGTGTTCTTCCATGAAAACATGCACAGCACCGTCTAATATGACAGCTGATCCTCAGATGCCTTCCCTATAAGGAGCCGTGTGAAACAGGGCTGTGTTCTCAACCCCAAGTCTCTTTGGCATATTCTTCTCCCTGTTGCTCTCCTATGCCTTCAGCTCAACTGAAGATGGTGTGTACATCCATTCAACGAGTGATGGAGGTCTGTTCAACCTGGACCATCTCCACATCAAGACAAAAGTGTGGCGGGTCCTTATTTGAGAGATGTTGTATGCAGATGACACAGCCTTGACAATGCACTCCAAGGAAGCTCTTCAGAGACCCATCAACTGTTTTGCCCAAGGCTGCACTGAGTTCAGCCTGACGAGGACCAATATGTTGGGTCAGGACATCGCCAGCACTCCATGCACTCAGCATTACAAAGATGTCTGCAAATGTGGCATGGAAGCTGGGAACATCAACCTTGCCCTTGTAGATGACTGCAATGCCTGGAGACAGACAGACAGGTCGTGCATGTGACCAGTCAGTGACCAGAGGAGCAATGACCACTTGGTGGAGCTCAGAGAGAAGAAACACCATGGTGTATCTGTAGCAGCACAAATGGATGCTTTCATCTGCCCCAGCTGCAACAAAACATGTCTCTCCTGTATCAGGCTCTACAACCACAGCAGGTGCTGCAACCTTCCAACAGTTTGACTTCACCCCCAAAGATGCACTCCTCCACGGTCTTCCAAGACAGATGGATGCCACCTGAGCTATTAGAAATACCCATTACATATTGATGTTTGAATGACACTAACTTAGCAGCTGTATATTCTAATTCTAATTATATTCTAATTCTAATATTCTAATTACTTTAGCTCTTACAACTGCACTATGCATTTTAGTAGCTATATTACCTCTGTTTTATTCTTCTCCATTGTTAATTCCACAAGCCTCTCCAATGTTAATTCCTTGCTGCCCACGCTGGTGCACAAAGTATTTTGCCTCCTACCCACAGACATTTTACAAATCATAAAGCACCAGTACAATACAATAACTTAATCAAATCTAAGAAGGGGGAGCAAAGGGATCCATAGTCTGGATGCCAGCATACTTAGGATGGCAGCAACTAGTTGTCTCTTCCAAGGCTTTCCTTTGAAATATTCATCCTGTTTGTTTGTCCATACACACATATGAGGGAGGGAGGGCCTGGACCTGCTCTGGAGGGGAGAGTGTTGAATCAGCTGTATTCCCATTTATTTCCCATGCTGTTTGCAGTGTTTCTGCACACCAGGAAACTAGCAGGGAATCATGCTTGCCCTCTATTTAGCTCGCTTTGCTTTACATACCTTTTAACAATTCAAACAAAAGCATGCCTGCTAACAGTTCAAGCAGATCACATTAGCAACCAGCCCACTCCTCTCTGCCCCATCTCTTTGTGGGATGCTACCCCAATGCTAGAACTACAGAGCTTTCAACTTGTAGAAGGAAAGAGGGCTCATTGCCACTTATCCTGGAACTTTCCCCAAACTTCATCAGCTTGCCTTCCAGTGGTATGACAGTGACAGAATCCCAAGACTATCTTCATGTTGGAAGGAGTCTTATTGCAATCTCCAAGCCTTCTTGCTATTAATGTTCTGTCAATCAGCATTGGGATTTTGACCACAAGGAACATCTTTCATCTCAGCATGTCTAGAGCTGCCAATTCCTGTGGTCCAACAGTAAAAATTCTCTTGCTATTCACCCAAAAGCAGCAATGTCAACTTTGGACAGGCTAAAGTAAACAGAAGAGTAGCTGTGCAAAATTCCACAGGTCTAATGCCTGTACATGGGAGAAGTCTGCCTGTGTCTCTTGGCCATAACTCTAGTGGATTTCAATGGGCCATTCCGATCTACAGGTATCCATTGGACTCATGGAACCAGATGTAGATACCTAATAATACTGGCTTAAGGGCTCATAGCTTCTAATGACTTGCACACTTTCAAGGGCCTCTGTTAGTACTGCTTAATTCATTATAGGGGCAGCAGAATTTCAACAAAAACCGTTTCTGCTCTTCTGTGGATGTGCAAAAGATAACAGAAAGAAGCCTCTTTGGCAAAAGTCATAGACTTCAATCTTGTAGATACTTGGCATTTCAGTCCCCTAGCTGCAGATTAATCATGTGATAACATTTTATGAGTAAACCACACATTTCTGCGAGCCATGAGTCATTTTTCTTAGTAATTACTTCTTTTCATTCCTATCTGCCTTCTACCTTCAAGCATTGACTAAAAAGCTGCAGTCATATTGTGTAGTAGGTACCTGCATTCCCTCTAATCCTTTCCCTTTTCTCTGGCTCATTAATGCCAATGCGCTTTCTTCAGCTTTGGCATTGTTCACTGTTCTTGTTACTTTCATTCTCATTGTGATAAGAGCCACATGTTCTTTTGTTAATACCACTTTAGCGTCTTTCTAAACTAAAATTATTTCTAATTATTTGAATGAGCTGCTGAAGAGGTAAACGTTCATTGGCTGCTTTCCCCCAACAAACTAAGACTTCACATCTGAGGAAACAATGCATTATTTCACCTGTCAGAAGATGTTACCATTTATCTCACTTCTATCCAGACACAAACATTCCAGTAACTATTTATTACACTAACACTTCCTGTTCCTAAATCCCTAAATATGAGGTGTTTAATTGGGGGGGGGGCAGACAAAATCACTAATCACTTTTTAATCTTATAGACTAAAATGTGAAGTTATAATATATGGCCAAATACAGAATTTATTTGTCTGTGACATAACAGGATCTTTTTTAATCCTGGACAAATAATTTAACAGTAGTGATTAGCCAGTTGATGACATTTTAATAGGTCATATGCATACAAGTACTGTATACATTCCTGCTATGCAGACTTAGCTTATGTGTGTTTAGTAAATCCCATTGAGTTCAATGTGGTTCAGTATGAATTAATGACACAAGAATGCAGACTTAGTGTATTGATTTTATTTATAGAAATAATTACAAGCCCAGAAACCACAGCACTGTGGTGGGATCCAAATAAATAAAATATAGCAACTAACTAAATGAAGGCGTTTCATAACATAGACAACACAGATCTAACTGGGACTCATGCATGGAAATACTGTATGGGATAAATTTAACACTTATTATTATTATGCTGCTTTTATTTTTGATATTTTTATGTGGTAATTCATCATAATTATCCTATTTGGTAATTTGCAGGCCATTCTGAATTATAAAAAAGAGATGCATTACTCTGGGAGAGATTATGAGGTGATACAGACAGGAAGCTGGTGATTTTGTTCAAGATTTGTGACGCGGCAGCTAAAAAAGCCAATGCAATTCTGGGCTGCATCAATAAGAGTATAGCATCTAGATCAAGGGAAGTAATAGTGCCACTGTATTCTGCTCTGGTCAGACCTCACCTGGAGTACTGTGTCCAGTTCTGGGCACCACAGTTCAAAAAGGACATTGACAAACTGGAACGTGTCCAGAGGAGGGCAACCAAAATGGTCAAAGGCCTGGAAACGATGCCTTATGAGGAACGGCTAAGGGAGCTGGGCATGTTTAGCCTGGAGAAGAGGAGGTTAAGGGGTGATATGATAGCCATGTTCAAATATATAAAAGGATGTCACATAGAGGAGGGAGAAAGGTTGTTTTCTGCTGCTCCAGAGAAGCGGACACGGAGCAATGGATCCAAACTACAAGAAAGAAGATTCCACCTAAACATTAGGAAGAACTTCCTGACAGTAAGAGCTGTTTGACAGTGGAATTTGCTGCCAAGGAGTGTGGTGGAGTCTCCTTCTTTGGAGGTCTTTAAGCAGAGGCTTGACAACCATATGTCAGGAGTGCTCTGATGGTGTTTCCTGCTTGGCAGGGGGTTGGACTCGATGGCCCTTGTGGTCTCTTCCAACTTATGATTCTATGATTCTATGATTCTATGATTTGAAGCAGTTGTTGTTGTTGTTGTTGTTGTTGTTGTTGTTGTTATTTGAATTTATATACCACCCTTTGCCCAGAGGTCTCAGGGTGGTTCACAAAATAAAATCAAAATATAAAACCACAAAATACATAATCAAAATAAAAACAACCCAATACCCGCCCCCCCCAAAACCCCACCACATTTTAAAAGGGCATAGGATGTAAATCAAATCAACCAAAGGCCTGATTAAAAAGGAATGTCTTTGCCTTGTGCCTAAAGGTATCTAATGAAGGTGCCAGGCGAACTTCCCTGGGGAGAGCATTCCAGAAGGCCTGTTGTCATGTTGCCACCCTCTGGACTCTCAAGGAGGAGGCACATGGAGGAGGACCTTAGAAGATGATCTTAGGGTCCAGATAGGTTCATATGGAAAGATGAGGTCCTTGAGGAATTGCAGTCCTGAGCTGTTTAAGACTTTATAGGTCAAAACTAGCACTTTGAATTGGGCCAGCGCAGTCGGACCAGTTCTATGCTCCCTCCTCTGCACCCTTGGCCTCACTCACAAAAGTTGCCCTCTCTGTCTCTCTCTCTGTCTCTCTCTCACACACACACCAATTCCCCAGCCTTACCCATTTACATTTAGCTATAACAATTACCGTATTTTTCACTCTATAAAACGCACCAGACCACAAGACGCACCTAATTTTTGGAGGAGGAAAACAAGAAAAAAATATTCTGAATCTCAGAAGCCAGAACAGCTAGAGGGATCGCTGTGCAGTGAAAGCAGCAATCCCTCTTGCTGTTCTGGCTTCTGGGATAGCTGTGCAGCCTGCATTCGCTCCATAAGACGCACACACATTTCCCCTTACTTTTTAGGAGGGAAAAAGTGAGTCTTATAGAGCAAAAAATACGGTACATTAACCATGGGTTTAAGACAGTGCCACTTTAAGCTTTAGCTACAACTGATGTGTTCAGGTAGAAATGGAGAGGCATGAAAGAGGTCATGGAGTGACATGGAGTGCATGATCCCACAGCCTGCTCTTGATATCTTAACCATCATTAACTATTTGTCAGCCTTATGTCTCTTCTGGCTTAATGAATATGAGTATATGTGGGAGATGAATATGAATTAATGAATATGAGTATATGTGGGAGATTATGCAAGGGCAATAAAACTGTAAAAGGCTCTTTTGAAGAAATAATTGTCAGAGTATTGTAAAGAAAATTATCTTCCCTTTTTTAATGAGTAGTGATGTGAAATTGGAGGAGAGTATTATAGGACAGATATGCCCAGCCAGCTATAGCTCCACTAATCTGGTATAGGATACCAGCACATCATGCACTAAGGATAATGGTTGTGGTTCCAAGTAATAAAGCTGTATCAAAATACACCCTGGTAATAAACCACTGTTCCTATATTATAAAATGATACCAGCATAGGGCAGCATGGAAGAAATCACAAATGCACCAGCATATTTCCCCATTCACTTGCTATGCCAAGCTTGAAAAGGAAAATGTAGAGAAAGCCAAACAGCAATACCTAGTATGTTATAATGGTGTGACCTTGGGTCAGAAGGATGTGGTTGAGAATAAGTATGTAAGATATGTATTTGGAACCACTTCTGCACCTGAGACTTCAGACAAGAGCTGACTGAGGGACAATCTTTTACCCACTTACCTGTGAGTAAATCACATCCCATTTAACAAGAGTTACTTTTGAGTAGACATGTATAGTAATGAGCTGTTATGCTTGAAGGAGCTGTAACTGCAATGTGCCTATAAGTCAGATGAACAGCAGAGAGACTGCAGCAGATAATTATGTTTCATTATCCAGGTTTGGGGAAATTGTCAAATAATATTTCTATGTACAGGCTGCATTTGGAGAAAAATCAGTAGAGGAATATCTCTGAGTGACAAGACACAACATTAATTGAAATGGAAAACCCCATCCAGGGGTGCCAGTGAAAGCACAGTATTAAATGCACCATGCACTCTTATGTTGGCAAAAGAGGCATGCACCACTCTATGAATGCTGTTACTTTGAGTGCTACTAAGGAATTAACAAGAAATTCCAATAAAGCAACCTTCCTCTGTCACAAGCAATTGGTTATTTAACACAGGAAGAATTTTCATACTTAAGGCGTTACAAGAAATCTCTCACTCCCAGTTTCCACATGAGTGCACTGGTAACATTTTCAGCTGGCATTTAAAAACATCTGGAGAGACTGTTGCCCAGCATAGTTTTCGTCCTCCTAGGAGTATGAAGTATGCAAGATACACATCCTACATACTTCTGGGTTAGTAACAATAGGTCCTTACTGTCCTCTATCTCAGTAAGGCAAACTAACCAAGAGAAAATGCTCAGTTGAATTAGATTGTTGTTACCATTCTTATCTAAGAGAACAGCTGTGTAAGTCACAAAGCTGAATTCAGATAAGACAGAGGTCCTATGTGGGCAGAGTTGTCAGGTCCATGAGGTGCAGAGATGGCCTGTTTTGGGTGGAGTTTTACTCCCGCTGGAAGGAACAGGTGCATACCTTGGAGGTATTCCTTGAGACACTGTTGTTGCTTGAGGCCAAGTGAACTTGAAGGCTAGGAGTGCCTACTTCCAGCTTCAGCTGGTATGCAAGCAATGGCCCTTTCTTAACAGTAATGATTTGACCATTTTATTCCATGCTGTGATAACCTTCAGATTAGATTATTGCAATGCCCTCTATACGGGGCTGTCTAGTGCAGCTAGTGAACAATGTGGCACTCCTGTCTGGGACAACTTGTCAGGACAAGCGTAACACCTCCTAAAGCACTTATACAAACTGCCTATTCCCTTCCAAGCCCAATTCAAGGTGCTCACCTTGGGGTTTAAAGCCCTAAATGACTTGGGCCCCAAATACCTGCAAGAGTTCCTTCTGCTCTTTCTGCTGGTCAGAACATGGCAATCTACAGGAGGAGAGACAATTCTTATGGTGACATCTTCTTTGGCAGTATGAGGTGAGAGGGCTCATGAGACAGTCTTCTATGCAATGCCCGCAAAACTGTGGAACACCCTTGCTACAGAGGCACTGTCTCTTTATAGCTTCAGTAAGGTAATCTGGGGTGAAGTTGTTTAGGGCAGCATTTAACTAAGTTGTGTGCACAGAACAAGGTCCCCTGCCTCCCCCCTGGTGCCCCTCTAAATCTGGTGTGGAGGGTGGGGAAAGCCCCAGAATAGGATTCAGGCGCACACAGGGGAAAGTATAATTGCACAGGTAGACCTCATTCCCCACATTCACACCCTAATTAGCTGTATGGCAAATCTTCACCATGATCAACTCCCCACCCGGAAACCTATATCCCCACTTTGGAAGGATGTGTGGATCCGGAATTGGCTTCTACAGTCACTTACGGACTCACTATTAAGACTATGTTCATGGAAGACAATCTTACTCAGCCATGAGTGATCCCCAAACAAGAAGCAGCTCTATATGGAATTCCACCCTTTCCAAAATACCCTTTATCTTTTTTAAAAAAATGTAAACCATCTTGGGACCTTATGGCGAAGGGCAGGTGGCAATATTATTATTATTATTCACCCTTTCCAAAATACCCTTTATCTTTTTTTAAAAAATGTAAACCATCTTGGGACCTTATGGCGAAGGGCAGGTGGCAATATTATTATTATTATTATTATTATTATTATTATTATTATTATTATTATTACATTTCCCCCTTTTAAAGTGAAATTGAAATGTCCTTTTCATTTGGTCTGTGTTTTAACACATCTTTGCCTCAAGGTGGCAATGCTGCTTTCAAAAGATTGGGAGGTCGATTTAAATTGTGTTTTTAAAAGAGTTTTTTTAAAATGTAAATAAAGTGGCTAAGACAACACAAAAATGTATTCAACTTATAATTTCCAAAGCAGGAAAACACATATCCTCACATCTGCAGAGAGTCCAATGCTCACACTTAAATTCAAGCTACTCCCTTGAAGAAAACTATCTGCACATGCAGCCATTTCTGGATAACTATAGGTTGGCTACAATAATATTTGCTCTGCGTAATTTCCAGACTGGAACTATTTCAATGTGCTCTACATGTAACTGCCCTTGAATACTGTTTGGAAGCTGCAATTACTGCAAAATACAATGGCAAGGCTGCTGTTGGATGTCTCTGACAGGACACATTTTATGGGGATCTGCACTGATTGCTAATTCACTACCAATTTAAGATGATAAAATGACATATAATGCCTTCAATGACTTGGCCAACCAATATCAGAAGGACTACCTGTTTAAACTGTCAACTTTTTTTTGCAGAGGAGGGAGAAAGAGCTATAGGGCTCCCAACTGGAATGTGCTCCTGATTTAGATTGGGGTCTTGAGCCAGCATTCCATTGAAATGACCCCGACCCCCCGACTATAAGTTGCCCCGAATATGTTTTATGGCAAACAGTACCTTAAGCGGCAGAGAACTATGTAAAGTGGGGTAATCTTCAGCAAGAAATTGGTACAGGCCCCAGATTCAGACTGGGGGCTCCTTTTGGATCAAAGGGGGAGGGAGGCAATATTACAAATGACAGTGGAACACTTGGTACTATAATAGCCTAATTGATGCACAAGAAACTGAGGTGGTGCTGCAGAAACCTGCTAAAGGGCAGGAAACTACCAGAAGGAAACAGCTGGAGGGAATGACTTGCTGTTTTGGTTGTCTCTATACTAACCCACAGAGTATGGGAAACAAGTAAGAGGAATTGCTCTTAATATAGAATGGCAAATATGACCTAATAGGCATTACTGAAACCTGGTGGGATGCCCTCTTCTCCTGTCATCTCTGCTGCTGTATGAGGCCTCTGGAAGAGGAAGGGGCTCCAAGTCAGATGATTTCCAGGAAGGCTTGAGCACTACCATGTTAAGCACCGCCTTAAGGTCTGGTGGGAGCAAGAGAGGAAAAGATACCAGAGCAGACCAACAGTCTCTTTTATCCCCTAGTAACATCATGTCTCCATTTCCTCTTTCTTCCAAGCTGGCTTCTAGGAAATATGTGTGGCTTCTATGTTTTACTGATTATGCATTTCACACACTCACAGAACAGAGGCACTCTCAGGGCCTGGTTCCTCTGTGTCTAGGGATGTCAGAAAATTTCAGGCTAAACAGAAAGACATATGGAAATACCACCTGCATGTTCACTCAGTGTTCAGGACTGGAATTTAAGAGATTGCAATCCACATTCATCCACAGCAGGCTTTGGTTTTCTTTTAAGTCCATAAATTATACATAATTAATGTCACACTTTTTGACATGTCACTTCGCTTGATGTTTCCCCAGACGGCTACAATGAAGATCAATAGAGGTTTAGAACCCTGTGGTGAGATGGCTAATTGATGAGTGGCTAGCTGCTTCATTTACTTTGAAAGAGAACACAGACGGGGGAGTGAATAATGCAAGGTACTTGTTTTTGGCCGATAAAGGGGCTGCCAAGGTGTGAGAAAGTCACTGATGTACACAGGTGACTCTTTGCTTTTCATATTTCTGAAGTGCTGTGTGTTGCCAAAGGCAGTCTATATGCACTGCAGTCCTAACCATGCCTATTCAGAAGAAAATCCCACTGAATTCAGTGAGGCTTACTCACCAGTAACTGGGGTTAGAATTCCAGCCTTAATTTGCTTCCTATTGTGAATTTTTAAAAAACAACAATGGAATACATAGCTCATTATTGCTCTTACAGGTGGAAAGTAGTGGTGTCTCTTGCTACCTGTGAATTTTATCTGTGCTCCTCCATTAGTTCCAACCTCTTTGTAAAAGTGGGGAGAACTGTGGATTTAACCATTTTTACCACACCAGTAGGTGGCGCTGTGGGTTAAACTACAGAGCCTTGAATCCCCACGATGGGGTGAGCTCCCATTGCTCGGTCCCAGCTCCTGCCCACCTAGCAGTTCGAAAGCACGAAGTCCAAGTAGATAAATAGGTACTGCTCCAGTGGGAAGGGAAACGGCGTTTCCGTGCACTGCTCTGGTTCGCCAGAAGTGGCTTAGTCATGCTGGCCACATGACCCAGAAGCTGTACGCCGGCTTCCTCGGCCAGTAAAGCGAGATGAGCGCCGCATCCCCAGAGTCGGCCACGACTGCACCTGTCAGGGGTCCCTTTACCTTTACCACACCAATTATGTATTTTTAAAGTAAAATTAAGTTTAAAATTTCTTTACTTCTCCAAGCCCCTGCTACAGTTATATTGCCTTATAATGAAACTGTCCCTCCCTGATGCCTGAGGAAGGGAAATGACATAGGATGACAGATTTATACAGAATTGTGAAATCAAGGTAGTGAGAGTGGCTTCAATACTAACCCCACCCCTCTGGAAGTAAGCTTCTCTGACCTCAATGGGACTTGCTTATGAATAGAAGTGGTTAGGTTTGTAGCCATAGATTGCTTTGTGATGAGCGATGCCACAAGGCTGTTGGTTGAGTTTGCCTCTCTGGAAATTCACTAAACTTTGAAAGGGAATATACTGGGAAGGCAACTGAACTGTAAATTATAGTGTAATACAGCTATATTTCAGAATAAAATGATGCAGACCATAGCAAACAGCAGGATGGATAGCTATGTAATGGGTGGAAATGGAATGGCGGCAGAACAAAACCAGCTCGCTTTACAATGAACAAGCGACACAATGGACACTACTAATTTCATACTTCCCTACCTGTGTCCCCTGAATATCTGCTTCAGAGTGTTGGGGAACCTCTAGAACAGTATGAGAAATGGCCTAGGTGTGTGTGGGGGGTGACTCTAGTAGGAAAAAAAATAAGTGAAAACCATTCCCCACACTTCTGTAAACCAAAGCTTCCAAAGGATCCATTTCCCTTCTGTTCATGGAAGGGACCCTTCTTTCATTTATAGAAGGGAACCCTTTTGATCCAGTGTGTTCATATCTCTATACCAGCAAGGAAGGAATATGCAATCATAGCAAGGATTAAAGTGCAGGTAGGGTGCAGGTAGGATTCTGTTACAAATTGAGAATAATTATGTAGAATTGTCTCAGGTTGTAAACAGGAAAGAGATATGAAAGTCCAGAGATGCCAATTTTTGTACTTTTTATAAAAAAAAGTACAGGCAAACCATATTAATTTTATTTCAGTGAAGTGTGTATAGCCTTATAACTTGCTGGTGACTGTAATGGTGGAAGTTGTGGCAATCTGATATCCAAAAACTGAATGCTTTCTAGTATGGTACAGAAATGCATTAGTTAATTTACTGTCTTGACTATATAGCAACCCTATCATTTAATCCCCCCGCCTTCTTAACAAGTTTATGTCTATGAAATGGTATATAATATGAGGGCAGCATAAGATTGTTTGGGTCACTGTGAAATGTTGCTTGGACTCTGAAAAAACTTTTTACTGTTTTGCATTGTTGTTTTTTAAATCTGTTTCACCTTTCCTCAAAAGGTTCAAGGCTGTTAACAACAAATGACCATAGCAATAATGACAGTAAAAGCAGAAAAGCAAAAGCACTATCTGTCCATAAAACTCTAACAAAAAAATGGTCCACACAAGACTGTCAACCAATTAAACCATGTTCAGTTTGTACAGCATGTGCCTTTTAACCAATTAATTGAACAACAAATTATATTTAAATAAAAACCCATATTACCAAAATCTCAATAGAATGATGTCTTTGAGACACTGGAATAACTGTAAGGTAACTCACAAAAGCCACCTCCTCATTCTTTGAAGAATGGCAATCTTGAATAGTTTCTTTTCCAACACAGTAAAAAAATAGCCTCAAAAATCCAAGGATACCCTTTACTCATAGCCCAACCAATTAAAAATTGCCCTCACCAATTAAAACAGACCTCCATCAATTAATAAATGAAAGCTTGACTTGATTAATCTAACACTGAAACCAATTAAAACTGACAGCCCTCCTGTATACCCCAAAATAAAAACAAAAATAGCAATTCCCAAAGCTTCTACCCTAGTGCTTCTGAAACTGCTAAAATACATAATTTGGCAAAATAAAGTTACTAATGTAATTAGCCTATGCTTAAATGTAGGTGTGATGCTGACTTTAAAAGTAAACAAAAATTGTGATAAAGATTTCAAATGCAACCCTCCTTTTCAAGGTCCTATATCAGAATATTAGCAACATCTTATTGAATGGGAAAATGTGGAAGAAGAGAAATAGTGAGACATGCAAAGGGGATTTGAAAAAAGTCCTGCTTTTCAAAAGTTCTGACTGCTTGAACAAGAGAATGATTCATACAAATACTTAAAACACAGGATCGTATCTATCAAGAGTTTGCCAAATGAAATTTGTACATTTTAACAACTTCAGAAGTACTAGAGGAAAGGTTTGGGGGAATTGCTATATTACCTTAAAATGTACTTTTGCTGAGATGTTCACTGTTTATTTTATTAATTATTTATTTCAGAGTTGTCTATACCTCCCTTTGCCAGGAAGCCCTAGGATGGTTTACATAAATAACAACAGAAAACAATACAACAGAAACCCTATCACAGAGAAAAAGGGGGGAAATAGCATTAAATTATTCACCAATTCCATACAAATCCAATTATTAAAAAAAATCTTACACCACCATTTCCCCCAAAACTCCTCGAAACTCGAAAGAGGAGTTGCCACTAGACTCAGGCAGCTACTTAAAGAAATGAAGAGTGACAAACACCTCTTTTATTTATTTGACTCCGTCTAATTCCACCATAAACTTTATGTTTGATGAAGTCTTACAGTTATTAAGACATCGGCCTTGATAAAATAAATCACTTTCAATGGCCTTCATTTCCCGGCTCCCTTTTAAGTCCTTTTCTGACAAGTGGTGGAAAGTATACCAAATGCTCAGTTGTTGAATGGAATCCAGAATCTTCTAATAAGCAAGTGCTTTGTAACTAAAACCCAAAGCCCAGCACCCCTTTCTTTTCAGAATGCTGCTTTTCTGCCCAAAGAGTCCTATCTCCATGATTTCAAAAGCAAGCATCCACACAGGATGTACTTTGCCAAATCCAAATTAGAAACGTGTCCTCAGGTTTACACCAATTAAAGCCTCTTCCAGGGGCTTTAAACAGTATGTTAGGTATTGTCCTCTGTGCCTTTGTGCAGAATCTGACCCAGCCAGAGTCCTGTCTGAGTGGATCCCTGTGTCCACACAATCAAGCCCCTCACCTGAATATCAACAGATAAAGTGCAGTTTCCCGACAATGGTTCTATCACTTTTTGGAATGCTGGCTACAAATTGCCTGGGATGACACAGGCTGTTTTTCCATGACAGCTGAGGTTACTTTGTTAAGCCTGTCCTAGAAATTATATTGTTAGGTTGTTGTTTTCAAATCACAACTTTGTATTTTTTCTCCATTGTTTTATACTGTTTTAAATAAGTCTGCTGTTTTATTCTGAACGCTGGAGTTGATTAACCATTCACTGAGACTACAGTATGAAGTACTTGCAATTACTTACTGGTCTCTGGCTGCCTATAATCATAGCTGTCAACATTTCCCTTTTCTTAAGGGAAATTCCCTTATTCCGAATAGGATTCCTCAGAAGAAAAGGGAAAAGTTGACAGCTATGCCTATAATCAAGATGGGAGTGCTAACACAGTTCCCCCACTCAACCACCCACAAACATCACAAGTCTTGTTGTTGTTGTTTTGTCCAGATCTAGATAAAATAGAGTGAAAGAGCTACCCAGGACTTATTAACAAGTAAAGCAGGCACAGGCAAACTCCAGGCCTCCAGGCGTTTTGGACTACAACATCCCTGACCACTGGTCCTGTTAGCTAGGGATGATGGGAATTGTAGTCCCAAACATCTGCTGGGCCAGAGTTTGCCCATGCCTGAAATAAAGTGTCTCTAGGCCTGTTTTGCTTTGAAATAAAGGTGGTGTGGATGCTTCCATTTTACTACTAATTTTAGTATGGTGTGTGTGTGTGTGAAACTATTGACATTTAGAGTGGTTTAACTAATGTGGTTGCTTGACTATCAGATGCATATTGGATCGTGCCCACAGCATCCGTGCTGTCAAGCAGCACATCTCTATTTCAGGAGTAGGGCCTTCCATCCAGCTGCTGTTGGACCCCCATCATCCCTGAACATTGGCTATGCTGACAGGGGCTGATGGGAAATAAAGCTGCAGCTACTGATGGGGCCATGGAGTAGTCACCTGAGATTTAAACCAATTTGCTTGAAAAAGTAAAGAAATATAATACGGCAACAGTTGTTCCAGATATAAAATAAGCGAGTCTTGCTTTTAAGAAAATATACATAGGATTTCTCTGTAAATTTCATTAATATGCCAAGCAGTACAATCTGATATGCTAATTAAGTTATGAATGATACATTTTATGGCACTGAAGCAGTAAAACCAGTGTTGGTTTGATAACAGAGTATGTATTGCATATATTCCAAACATCTCTCCTAAATCCACCCCTCTCCCCGGAAAAAAATTAAGGAAATGGTATTCTTTTCATGGTTTCAAAATTCCTGAAATTTTTACATCTCTAGGTACAATTAAACACAGCACAAATGTTTCCAAACTGGCTTTGCTTACTTAACATCTAGTTGAAACTATAGGGATTTGCCCCTTGTTTCAACCTGAAATAAAAACACAGAAGACAAAAGTTTGGGGACATGATGGAAAACAACAATGCACTGAATGTTTACATTTTATTAGCTCCTACCTGTGGGTCAGAAAGTCGTGATAGGTCAGGGTACAAGTAGAATTTTATCCCTTCAGCTGCCCCAGGTAGTGTTACTCCTCGAACCAGCAGTACCAAGAGCATGATGTAAGGGAATGTAGCTGTTACATATACAACCTATGAAGAACAAGTGGGAGAAAACACATTATTTTAGCAACAAAAAGTTACATGTAAAATAATGTACTCAGCTGCAGTTCATAAATGGAGGATAATATTATGTATCCTTACTAATCCAGATGTCTATCAGGAGATCAACAGCAGGCGGGGTATATTGCCTATATGTCCTGCTTGTGGACTTCCCATAGGCTGTTGGTTGGCCCTGTGGAAACATGTTGGACTAGATAGGCCTTTAGTCTGATCTAGCAGGGTTCTTCTTATGTAATTTTCTTATGTTCATGATGATTCAGTATATAATAGAATCATAGAGTTGGAAGGGACCCTGAAGTTCATCTAGTCCAACCCATCTAGTGCAGGAATTCTGCCCACACTCATCCCTGGTTGGTTGAACCACCAACCTTCTGGTTAACAGCCAGATGCACTGACCCACTGCGCTTTCTGGGCAATGGAAGGCTTGTAGCTAGACTTTAGTTGCCAGGGAGCTGGATCTGGAGAGCTTGGTTCAAATCAATGAAGCTGTCTTATACTGTCAGACTATTGATATATCCAGCTCAGTATTGAGCTGACTGGCAGCAGCTCTCCAGGGTTTCAGACAAAACTTATTCATACTCTGACCTGGAGATGCTGGGTATTAAACTGAAACCTTCTATATCCAAAGCATGAACTACCACTATCCCAAAATTGGCCTTGGCAGGCCTTTGTCAACCGGGTACCCTTCAGATGTTTCAGTACAATTTCCATCAGTCCCAGCTGACTCAAGCTGATGGGAGGTATAGTCCAAAACCTCTGGAAGATATTGTGTTGACAAAGGCTGATCTAAGGGGAGGAAGTTCCAAAGCCTTGGTGTAGCAACCGAGAAGGCAGTTAAGTTGAACACCAGGTCCACATATAGACTCAGGAGTATTATCAGACTCTGAACCAAAAGTTTCAAGGGAAATAGTACCCACCCAAGATAGGCTGAACTCCAATTTTCAGATCAATTCTACTCATCTACTTCCAACTTTGTCTTGCCTGGAAAGACAGGCATTTGCTTCCATCTAGTCCAAAGGTTCCCAAGTGCAGGTCCGTGAACCCCAGAGGGTTTGCATAACCCACCCAAGGGTCTGTGGCAACATTCACATAACAAAATCTACCACAGAGATACCAAAATTTTCAAAAGTAGGGGGTCCATGCCTTGGCTTTTGAAAAATAGGGGGTCCGCAGTACTGAGCTAGTTGGGAACCACTAATCTAGTCCATTACTAAGTTCAAACATCAGTTTAGCTCCTCAAAAGCCACCCTAAAATGCGATGGAAAGGAGAAGCAGAGCTGAATGTTATCAACATATTGGTGCTACGACACTCCATATCCATGCATGGTTTCCCCCCATAGTTTTTGGTAGATGTTAAATTTCTTGAGGGGACAGGATGGACCCTGAGGAACCCCACAGACCCAAGCATGCCTCTGAATAACCATTGCTGTAAATCAAAATCAAAAGTGTGGAGAATGCTGTTGCACCCAGGTTTCATTTAGGCAGTTAGTTGTCTGCAAGAACAGGATGCTTGACTAGATGGGCCTTTGGCTTGTTCAGCAGGGGTATTCTAATTTACCTAAGAGACCCTCACAACCACTGCTAGAAACTGCCCCTTCAAGAAGGACTGGAGCCAGATTGAAGCAGTGCATCCCAGTCTAATCTATGGTCAAGAAGAATATGGTAGTCAATGGTATCAAAAGCTACTGGAGGAACCAGTTGAATCTATAGGGACACATTTCTCCCTGTACATTTTTTGGCATATAAATTTCAATACAGCAACCAAGCCCATTACATAATCAGGCCCAGATTAAGATGGAACCAACTAATCCTTATTTGTAAAATTCAAGATGAGGCATCATTACCGTATGGCTAAAATATCATGCACACATATGTATCAATCATACTTCAATAAGGTATAAGTAGAAAGAGTTAACCTAAGATTTAACTCAGAAAAATAGCTAAAGGTGATTACAGAAAAGCAAAAATAATTTTTGACATGGATGCATTTATGCCTGGGCAAAATTTTAAATAGGAAGTCGATGGGCACAGGTTTCAGCAGGAAATATGGTTAGATCAGGCTACAGTTAGAAGTCTATATGTACCGATGAAGAGTAAATGATTAGGCAATATGTTCTTGTCTAGAAATGGGAAAACAGAGGAATATTTTAGGGAACAGGGAAGTAAGAATTAGAATTCAAATTGAAAAGACACTCTGCATGTGTCCAGAATATATAGACACCAATGAGAATACTGGCATGCCCATCGTTACCATATATGGAAACCCAAAAACCGTATAAAAGAGGTTGGGAAGTTAAGCTTGGGATGGAATTTTAGCTTGGACTCTGGTGGCCCATTATGTTGCATTAATGTTAGGTAACTCTGTTGGACTGTGCTGATGGGCCACCTCCACAAGTAGACTGACATGTCTTTGGAAGTGTAAGAAACTATTTGCTTTCTTTGAAGCTGTGTATGTCTGTGTGCGCAGATTCAATTTTTAAAAAATTGTTAAACTTGAAACTCAGTTATGTCGACTCTACAATATTGAGTTCATTGGATAAATAAATCCCCAAAGCCAGGAAAGTAAAACAGTAAGACAGTTGTAGGGTACCTCCAGCCTTAGAAAATTTGCCACCCTCATTACCCACTTGATGATTCTTCCTTTGGCTGCTCTTATCAGCCAGGAAGGGCAAGGGTGGAGGAGCATACCAGTGGTTGGTCTCACACCTCCAAAAATCCCATCTGCATCCTTCATAAACTATCCAAAACAAAAGGTCAAGCCATTTCCACAGTTGCATTAACTGTGGTATCCCAAGCAAAATGATTACAAGTTGTATATATTTGCACTGAATTTTTCTTCTACTCATCCATAAATCAAACACAAGAAAGTTCAAGGCTAAATTTAGACTGCAAATAAAGCTGCATTTATATAAACAGAAGCAAATGTATAAACATAAAGAACTTTCATTGAAGTGTTGTAAAATTAGAATGTTAAATACAGAAGGGTCTTTATGCAGCCTGTTTTCTGGCAGCACATTCATGCTCCCTTAAATTATTATTAGTATTATATTTATACCCCACCTTTTTCCCTGACAGGGACTCAAGGTGGCTTACAGATAAAAGAAGAACAGCTTAAAAACATACAGGGATTTTAAAAAAATTATTGAATTATAACTATATATAAATATAAAAAATTAAAAACATAACAATAATATAATGAAAACAGCACTGCACCAGCCCTTTCATTAAAATTCCCAAAAGCTGGTTGGAATGAGAAGGCCTTCATCTGCTGGCAGAAGGCACACTTCAACTGTGCAAATGCACTCCTGGCCACTGCAGAGACTTGGGCATCCATGCTGAGAGCTAAACCCAGGAGCAGGCCCAAACTGTGAACCAGTGTCTTCACGAGGAGAGTTGCCCCATGCAGCACAGGTTGAATCCCTATTCCCTGTTTTGCCTTCTGACTGACCAAGAGCACCTCTGTCTTGCCATTTGTTCACCCTCATCCAGTCCATTACTGATGTCAGACAGCAGTTTAGAAATGAGAAGAGCCTCCATGGATTTAGGTGGAAAGGAGAAACAGAGCTGAGTGTTCTCAGCATACTGGTGACACTAAACCCGGAAACTTCAGACAACTCCTCCCAGCAGTTTCATGTAAAGGTTAAATAGCATGGGGGACAGAAAAGAACTCTGAGGGGCCCCGCAGGTCAACAGCAAAGGCATTAAACAGGAGTCCCCAGCACCATGTTCTGGGTTCACCCCTCCAAGGAGAAACAGAGCCACTGTCTCATCCCAAGTCCCACCCCAGCAAGGCAGTCCAGAAGGATACCATGGTCTATGCTATTGAAAGCTTCCGAAATGTCCAGCAGAACCTACAGGGACACACTTCCAATGTCCCACTCCCCCAAGGTGGCCAAAGCCATCTCTGTCCCATAACCAAGCCTGAAACCACACTGAAATGGATCTCAACCAGTCCCCCGCTGGCCTTTTTGATGAGCCGGTAAAAGCAAGGCTCTAGTATACCTATGTGAGCAATCACATTTCCAAGGATCCTGCCCACATCCTTGAGCCCATATCCAGCAAGCAGAGGCCAAAGTTTAAATTCACTGGACCTGTATCAACTATAGTGTCCAAGTCAGAAAGGATTGATTTTGTCAACGAAGTGCTAAGCTGATTGTTCCCAGCAGGCTGCCAAGTGGTCTAAATCATGGGTAGGCAAACTAAGGCCCAGGGGCCAGATCCAGCCCAATCGCCTTCTAAATCCGGCCTGCGGACGGTCTGGGAATCAGTGTGTTTTTACATGAGTAGAATGTGTCCTTTTATTTAAAATGCATCTCTGGGTTATTTGTGGGGCATAGGAATTCGTTCATTTTTTCCCTTCAAAATATAGTCTGCCCCCCCAATGTCTGAGGGACAGTGGACCGGCCCACTGCTGAAAAAGTTTGCTCACCCCTGGTCTAAATTCTCTCCTGGGCCAGAGTGTAAAAGACCACTGACAACTTGAAAGAGCTCTGCTGGACAGCTCCTTGCTGATGCAATGGAAATGGGGTGGGGTGGGGTGGGGTAATCTTGCTCCCTTTGTTGTTGTTGTTTAGTCGTTTAGTCGAGTCCGACTCTTCGTGACCCCATGGACCAGAGCACGCCAGGCACTCCTGTCTTCCACTGCCTCCTGCAGTTTTGCTCCCTACATTTTGCACTGCCTCCTGCAGTTTTGCTCCCTACATTTTGCTCCCTACACTGCCACAAAACAGATCTTCAAATAGGCCCCAACCTGTGTTCAGCCTGATTCATTCCGAGCTTTCTGCCTATGTTGCTCTAGTCACCATCTCACGTGTTTCATCATCACTAGCTCTATAGAGGACCAAGGGGTTGGATTGACTCCACTCCATGAGAGGAGATGCCTCAAGAGCCACTCCAAAGGCTGAGTGGTTTTGTGGAAATGTAGAGAATTTTTCCTGGGAGAGAAATGGATGATCACCCTTGTAATTGCCCTCCAGCCTTGCATGGAGATGAACTTGCAGTATCAATTAAACAGTACATTTATATTAGTCTGCACTGCAGAATTACTGGTAATATTTTGGGTGCATTGGCTCCCATTTACAATACATTAAATTTGAGTCACGCATACTATGCATTAACATTCAGTGTTGTACTATCCCCATCCTTAAATACAACTTCTGCCCTTTGATTCCCCACTTAATGACCTGGAACCTTATGTTAACTTGTACCGTCATTATGGAGCTTTGTTGCTGTTATTATTACTGGGTACATCTCAAAAACCATTGCAAGCTTCCTGTACTTTTTCTTTTCTTTTCTCCAACATGTCAAACTTCTCTGAATAAAACAAGGACAACATCGTTTCTAATTACACTAGATCCTGTTTTAATTGCCTCTAATTGCCTAGTGTATTAATTTGCATACCAATGCTCAAAATAGTTCCTCCACATCACTGCTATGCCCCAGCAATGTCAGCGTGCTGAGAAAACAAAACAAATATCTAGCCTATCTGTTTGGACTGCAAGTTTGAGTCATTACATAAACTGAGACTTCTGATCAGAAAATCACAGTATATACAGTTTGCAATGCAGCAAGCTTAACTCTGGAGAGGCAGTACAGAAGTAAGGCAAACCTCAGGAGGAACAATACAGTTTATCTTTAACCTGTTGAGACAGAATAGGAAGCACTCAGCATAGCGAATTTAGCTGGAAAAGTTAAAAATAGATTTCCCAGGCTGCTGCTACAACACAGCATGTCAGTTTAATGTTCACACACTATATCACCACAACTTCGAGATGAATCAGAAAAAAGAGTTGGCTGTAGTGAACCTTACTCCTTTGCTTTACTTGTATTGTGCGTATACCATGTTATTTGTTAGCTGATCAACATTTTTTTGCAAAAATGTGCCCCTCCAGACTGCTATTTTATTGAAGGTATATTCTGCTAAATGTTCTTGACACAATAGCAGTGCATTAAAAAGGTAAAGGGGACCCCTACCATTAGGTCCAGTCGTGACCGACTCTGGGGTTGTGGCGCTCATCTCGCTTTATTGGCCTAGGGAGCCGGATCATGTGGCCAGCATGACTAAGCCGCTTCTGGCGAACCAGAGCAGCGCACGGAAATGCCGTTTACCTTCCCGCCGGAGTGGTACCTATTTATCTACTTGCACTTTTACATGCTTTTGAACTGCTAGGTTGGCAGGAGCAGGGACCAAGCAACGGGAGCTCACCCCGTCACGGGGATTCGAACTGCCGACCTTCTGATCGGCAAGTCCTAGGCTCAGTGGTTTAACCCATAGCGCCACCCTCTGCTTTATTAGTTGTTCCGTGGTGCTACCCCAAATGCTGCCACATTATTGCTGTCCAGTGGGGCTATAGCACAACAAACATGTGACCAAAAAAAGAAAGAAAAAGGCCAGAGTATTTGTAATATAAGAAGTTACGGGATTTCAGCAGGGATATGCACCGACTGGAAACAAAACATTATAGCCACCCCAAAACATTTGTAGGGGCAAACAGTCCTGAAAAATTGGATGACAAATGACCATCCCAATAACATAAAGTGCATGAATCATCATGAACGTGCAAAGAAAAGGATGTCTGAAGGCCCCCAGTCTCTTACAGTGAGACTTTTCTCACTGCAGTTTAACAATTATGGTTGCATTTTGGTTTAATGTTTTACAACTGCCATGAGAACTTTGCCCAGATTTACCGAAACACATTTTGCTTTCCTCAAGATTCTTTGAACGTTGGCCTGACTAGAAATCTCCATACCCATTTAGAAATTCTGCTTAAATCTAAATTTAGTGGCACCTGAGGGGATGTTTGGCCACATACCAACACACACCTGCACATGAGTTTTTACTAGTGTTATTTAAATTATTTATTCCTTCCACTGGGATTCTTCAGATGCTTGACCTGTGCAATGACTTAAAAAATATTTTATGTGAAATTAAGAGGGGATTCAACAACAGAAAAAAACAATGTTTAAAATGTATGAGTGAATGGAATCAGTTATGAAGACTGATATTCATCTCAATTGTCAGATTTGGGATTACATTAAAGGCTGCACAATTGCCATTAAAGTTTTAACATAATTTCAAAATGAGTCTGGGTTTTTGGATTTTTATTTTTATTTTTTGCCTTAGATGCAAAAAGTCATTCAGCTATCTGCATAACTCTTTACAGAGTCTACTGGCAAACTCAAATTGTCTGCAAAAGTTTTTCACGGCCACCCCTTTTTTATCTAAAGTGGCTAAAATGTGATTCTGGCTATATGCGAAAAAATTAACAATCTGCACATACATTTTCATTTGTATGAGATTATGTGAGTAATACAGATTGAATATGTCAAGTCATAAATTATTAACACTGAAATAATCACTGTAGTTGTGCATAAAAATATTTGTCTTTTTATTTTATCAGTCATTTACTTACCTAGTATTATTAAGTCGCTTCCCTGTACTACCGTTTTAAAAATAGACAGGGTGGAGGAAAAATCAGAAGCTCTGATTGTAAAAAAGGAAATATTAAATTCAGGTGATGAGGCCACTTGTATAACTGAGACTGAAAACTACCCTACGTTATCTCTCACATGGGAATGACCCTCAAGTTCCTCAATGTATGCATTGTCACAGCCCAAAAAATCCTGCTTAATTTTTAGGGTGAAGCTGAATTCCTTTTCATGTCTATTAGACTGAAGCCTAATCTAGTCTCCGGTGCCAATTAAAGATATCTGTAACAGAAAACCACGTGGGATGAGGGATTAAACAGTTTGTTTTTATTGCAATTCCATGCTGATTGCAGTTGCATGTGAAATACATTGCAGTGCTGCAGAAAGACTTCTGAAGCTGCTCTGAGATTTCCTTAAATCCTCACCAATGTGTTAAGAGAAGAAGAAGAAAACATTTTTCAGTGTTTTAAAACTTCAACGAGAAAAGGCAGGAAAGCCTAAAACTCTGCATGCATCTCATGAACGTTCTACTTTCCTCCTCTGAATACAGAGATCAATCTTGGGCTGCATGTTAAAGCCTCACTATGAAGGACTATTCTCTGCTATTACTTCAAGCTGAAACAAAAGACACTTCAGGAGATATAATCATTGCTGCCTAGTTCCCTTTCCTAAAGACTTACAATGGTCCCCAGTTCCTTTCTTTTTTCGCACATCTTTCTCTTTTATTTTCCTCTGCTGTCCCTTTACACTTTTTCTTTATGCCTCATTGAATCCATTAGACTCCTTATTCAGTCTACTATTGAAAAAAATAAATTTTCTGTGTGGAACTACTGACTGAGTCTTAACTGCTGGCAAGTACAGCTTAACTCCTTCTGATGAGTTTACTTTAGAGTTAGAAGGTGAAAGGTACACAGGCACTGTTCCTTAACTTTATGAACATGTGCACATGTTATGTTGGCTTAACTTCACCTCTGCATGAGAGCTTTCTTATCCTCACTCTCCTCTAAACAAGCAAAAAAAAAATTGGTGATAAGTGACTGGCAAGTCTGCCAGTAGCAGCAGGATGAACTGCCGGTTTCTGCATCTTACTCTCAGTGTTCCAACTGAATTTGTAATGTTATTGTCAGTTTGAGAATTTCAGTCAAAGGATGAATACACCACTGCCAGATGTTACTATCTCCAGAAATGAGCAATACATTCTGGCTCAAAACATTTCAGGATAAGAAAAATGGCAGAAATCCAAAGCATTTGGAAAGTCCACGTAGCAGGAGATGTGGCACAAAAACAATGTACTAGCTTGGTATTTCATGTAACTTCATAATTTCATAATTCTGGTCAGATGAAGAGCAGGGTTGTCCCCCGTCCCCCCCAGCAGGATCTGACTAGAGCTCAGCTCCGGCACCTCTCAGGTGGGCACTATTTCCATTCTAAGAGGAAGAAGTTCATGGTGAGCTCCAGAACCTCTTTTTCTAGAAAAATAGCACTGATGAAGAGGGTTTAATATTAATGAATCTTTGAGGATGTGCGTACAAAGAACCTGCCTTTTGGCATCTGATCTGCTGAATGCTGCCACCAATGTGCAGAATGTTTTATGTTCTGAGCCAGAAAATAGTTTTGGTGAAATGCTCCTTGATTTAATATGTTATAGCATTATGAACTGTCTAGATTTATTAGCAAACCAAGTAGCTGTAAACTTTGGTGATGCACCTAGCACCCGCTGAGATCTCAGCTTGACAAACATGGTTTAGCAAGACATGAATATTATGTCCCAAAGGGCCCCAGTCAGCACCCAGCCTAACAGAGTACGCACTCAAAAATAATCATCAGAAATCTCTGCAACAAGTAGGTATTTCTTGGTCAGCATGCAAAGGTTTTCATGAAAGAAGAAAATGTGAAAAACTCTGCCAGACAACATCAGTAGACAGAATCAAATAGGGGAAGGCAAATTTTCACAGAGAATATTTTTTTGCAGTTCATATAATGACTCCTACCTTTCCAACTTTTTCACTGATTGGTTGGAACTGCTTTAGGAAACAGTGTTAGCTGTCTTGAGAATGCTAGACAGTTCTGCCTACCAGTTGCTGGGAATACCAAATGGTAAAAAAGTAAAGGTAAAGGACCCCTGGATGGTTAAATCTACTAAAGGTGACTATGGGGTGTGGCGCTCATCTCACTTTTCAGGCTGAGGGTGATGGCGTTTGTCTACAGACAATTTTCCAGGTCACATGACCAGCATGACAAAACTGTTTCTGGCACAATGGGACACCATGGCGAGTGCTAGTGCATGGAAATGCTGTTTACCTTCCCGCCACAGCGATACCTATTTATCGACTTGTACTGGTATGCTTTAAAACTGCTAGGTTGGCAGAAACAGGGAGAGCGCAATAGGAGCTCACCCCGTCACGTGGATTTGAAACGCTGACCTTCTGACTGGCAAGCCCAAGAGGCTCAGTGGTTTAGACTACAGCACCACCCATGTTTCTATACCAAATGGAGATAGTGCTATTGTACTCTGGTACTGCTCATTAGTTTCCTAAAGGCATCTGGTTGGCCAGTATGAGAACAAGATGCTGAACTAGATAGGCCTTTAGCCTGATCAAGCAGCCACTTATGTTCTTAAAGTTCTGTGATTAAATAAGGCATACCATAGCTATGTACTTTAACACATACTAATCACATACACACACCACAGCACTTATGAGCCTCACTGGAAAGTACAGCAATGGAATTTTGAACAATTTGCTACTTTTCAGTAAGCAAAAGTTACCTTTTCCATTCCCACTGATTATGTATTCTAGTACAACTATATGTAAGGAGAATCTGTTGACTCTGAACAATGCAAAAGCAAGATTAGGTTACAGTTTCATGTTTTGAAGCTTTTTTCACATCAGTAAACCATAATGATGGTCTTTCAAAAGGCCAATTTACAGAATCAAAAACTTTTTTTTTTTTGCATGATGAGTTTCTTACAGAGCTAGCAACACTGTGCAATGGTCATTTGATTGTTTAAATACTTATGATAAGCATCTCCCCACTACATCTTAATGAAGGCTTAACACTACTCTGACAGCACAATAAAATGATTCCTCCATTGCAGAATCATGGCAAGTTTTGGTTGTATGACGTAGTATTTCAGGCTTTAATCAACTATTAATTTAAGTGGTTTCTTTGGAGAGTAATAAAGCATGTCCACTTCTCATATGCAATGCTAAGCTAAGGCTTTTGCTTCTCCTTGCTCCAGGCAGAGCAAAGCAAAGCAGGAGCAACCAATAAGCTTGTACCAGCATAGCAAGCCCCCTTTCCTTTTTTACTGTGGCTCACTGTGATGTGTGAACCAGTCTAGTATTTGGTATACATTTTTTTTTTTAGCAAGAATAACCTTAGATCAGTCTTCTTCAAACTGGTCCCTCCACCTGTGATGGCCAGGGCGAATGGGAATTTTAGTCTAAAACATCTAGAAGACACCATGTTCAGGAAAGGTCACTTAGAAAGTAAGGATTCTAAGTGAAGTGGGTGGCCATTTTTTTTAACCTATTTATTAAAATGATGTATACCCTGTCCTTCAATCAAATTCCCAAAATTTACAAAATTTCAGATCCAAATAAACCAAGTTAAAAATAAACAAAAAATACACTAAAGCAGCAAAATCTATAAGAGCAGTATGCACAAAGGTCCTATGCACACTTTCCTAAGTGTAAGCCCCTCTGAATTCATTAGGGTTTACTACTGAGTAGACAAGCAACAGCTTGTACTGCAAATTAAATTAAAAGGCTTGACAAATTAATACTTCAATCACCTAGTATTCATAAAGTCCAGTGTACAAAACTTTCAGACCCAGACTATTACTGGGGGGGGGGGGTCAAACCAGTTCAGGCACTTTGGAATCCATTTTTAAAAGACCACATTAATAATAATTTTATTTGAGATGTTAAAGTAACAAACAAATCCAAAAGTATGCCAGCATGATTAAAATAATGGATTTAAGGAGCTTGCAATTGTAAGTTGCTTTGAGACATTTTATATAATAAGCATCAAATAAAAGCAATGAAAATAAAAGTGCCCCACATTGCCACATTTCTCCCCACACTGCTCTCATGTAGATGTGCCTTGCATTTACACATATCAAACTATTTTGAAGAAAACATTTTGTGATATGTGACAGTCAGCTTTTCATAGAAAAGAAATTTCTGTGAGCACACACACACAAGTCCTTCAGAAACCTTGAAGTAGGTATTTGGATATCATTGGGTGACTAGGAGCACTGAGGATTCAGCAGTGTACAATGGCTTCCTGTGCTCAAAAGCAGGCTATCTTGTACTCAGAGCCAGCCAGATTATGAGGCAGGATGAAGCAGCTGCCTAAGGTGGCACCTTGTTCTCAGTTTTGCCACCAGTCTGCCCAGCCTCAATGGGCCTCCCATCTGCTGACACCTCCCCATCTGCTGAGTCAATGAGAGGGGAGGCATTCCACCACCCAGCTTTGCCACTGAGAGATTTTCTCCCCACTCCAATTTGCTGCTGGGTGGGTGAAGTGAATCCAGAATTGATCTCTTCCCTCTGCCACCTGGTGGGGAAGACTCTGCAACAACTTCTTGAGGAGAAACTCTTAAGGAGAAACTCATCATGGGGGTAGGAGTGAGGTGTTTCACCTCAGGTGCCCAAATGCCACAGACCACCCCTGCTTGTACTTTGAGAAAAGCCTGTGGGTTTTGTTAAGGATCTTAACTGCATTGAGATGCAGTAGAAAAAAACAGTATTATAATTTGCTGGCTTTGAATCTTTGAAATTCACTGTACTCTGAATGCGGGTAAATATTCATTTCTGCATTAACAGAAATGTCAAGAATAGTGTTTCTAAATAAATGCTGCCTAAATTCTGTGAACACAATGAACTTGACATTTCATAGCAAATCACAGCCCTATCAACTTACATTTACATGATTTCTGTGGCTGGCCTCATCTTGTGTGTTTACCAAAACAGTACTGTACATAAATTTCTCATTCCTTTCTACTGATTAGACGAGCTTGCCTTTCCAGAAATCTTAAGCTGTTTTGCAAAAGACAAGTTTCATATATGTGAAAGATACTGCTATTGTTTGTTTATTCATACTAACAGTGTGAAGTTATACACATCTGCTCAGAAGTAAGCCCTTTTGGCTTTAATATAACTTACTCCCAGATAATAGTGCATAGGTTTTCAGCCTAAATAATATTACAGTTTCAATACAGTGGGTTGTATTGAAAGCTGTGGTAGCAGACATCTGCTGGTGCAAAGGGACTTCCACATGCTCTCCTCTCCACACCAAAATCTGCTCTGGAGGGTCCCTCAGCCCCCTGGAGCTGATTTGGGGGGCACATGTTGCTGGAAGAGACAGGAGAGGAAGCAGCAGCTCTGTTGTGTCGTGGGAGGCCTTTTGTGCTAATGGGGCTGCAATGGTAGGATTCAGTCCAGTATGACAAGCTATCATAAGCTTACATAGTATATAGAACCATTACTTTTACCTTGCCAGTTGACTTGGTTCCTTTCCATATGCAAAAATAGCAAATAGTCCAGGCTGCCAAAAGACATAGTGCCAGCTCCCAGCGGAGATTCCCAATGTGTTCAATTCCATCAGATATGGCCAACACCCTGCGTCTGCACAAGAATGAAAGAAGCCATAAATTGCTGGAAACTTTTAATGAAGTCTAGAGAAAGTTTGAAAGAAAGAGGGCAAAAGAATTGCTGGAAATCTATCAATGTGCTAAACAAGGATCATTATCAATTATTATGATACCTTTCACACTGGCTAGTGTTACAATTAGTATAACAACAAGGTAATCTGTAAAACTGCCAACTAAATGTGGAAAGTGACAAGTGTCAAAAGTTGTTTCCCATTCATACAACAGCTTCATACACTCAGAACAAGCACAAAAAGGCAACTGCTCTGTGACCACTTTTATGTGCAGTGCATACTCTGTAAACTAAGACAAATTGCTTGTGGTAGAAATTGTACCATCAAACCAAAGGCAACCTATTCCATTTAGCTGCTATCTTGATTCAAGTCTGGTACACATTTACCAGACATACAATATATTCAGTAAAAAAGTAACCACAGTCAGGTCCCCACATTGGCCTGATATGTACCATGGAAACAATCTGGCTGGATCAAACACAATTCTAGCATGACACAAAAAATAAATTTTATAAGGCTTTAAGATGTTTTATTCTTGAATGTTGCTGAGGTTCACCCCCCCCCAAAAAAAAAGGCTTTGCAGACCACATGTGGACCACAGGCAGCAAGCTGGATGACCCTATCATAGAGGAATGTTTTCACATGGCGCCTAACAGTATGTAATGAAAGCACCAGGCAAGCCTCCCTGAGGGAGCCACTGCAGAAAAAAAATCTACTCTTGTGTTGCCACCCTCCGAACCTCTTGTGGAGGAGCCACATGAAGAAGGGCCTCAGATGATGGTTGCAGGGTGCAGTTCAGTTCAAATGAAGAGAGGCAGTCCTCAAAATATTGTGGTCTTGAGCTGCTTAAGGCTTTATAGATCAAAACTAGCACCTTGAGTTGGGCCAGAAAACTGATTGGCAGCTAGTGCAGTGGTGCCAGGATTGGCATTATATGGTCAAACTATTTTGCCCTGGGGAGCAACCAAGCTGCCAAGTGTTGCACCAGCTGCAGAGGAAGCCCCACATATAACACATTGCAGTAATCTAATCTAGAGGTTAGCAGAGCTGAGGCTATCCCTGTACAGATGAGGTGCAGCTGGGCCACCAGCCAAAGCTTATGGAAGGCACTCCAAACCACCTGAGCCTCAAGCATTCTGTGACAGCAAATTCTTGAAGCCAGGTGGGCAGGCTGGATGGTAGGTGGGGGAGAAAGATAAATGAATTCACCCACCCGAGCTCTCTGCAGATTTCTGTACAGAGTCTACATGTACAGAAATTGTATATTCAAGGATGGCAAAAGCCAGTTTCCACTCCTATCTCGTTCTCTTTCAAATTTTATTTGTAGTGCCATGCCTGTAGCCTGCAAAGCAGTGCCAGCAGAACAGTGGAGAACTCAAGGCACGGGACAGCCTGATTGGTACTTACCCTTATTCTGAATTTTTGCTGCTCCCCAACACACATTAAAAATCCACACATTAAAAATATCATAACATGTAACAATTTTTATATACCATATACATTAAGAAAACTCTCAAAGCAGTTTACAAAAGTATGTTTATTAAAACAACAACAACAACAGAATTTAGGGTGCTACTCATATGTAACATCTAGGTTAACATGAATAACCTGGATATAAGCATGCTAAACACCATTCTTATCATTCCTTGAATATTAATATTTGTGGCTACCTACCAAATACAGGCATTTCAATTTTACTTGATGAAAATAATACACTGTAGTTTGCCCAAAACTTGCTTTGGCCTATGAGTCATGGACATTTCATCTTTGCTTGCAGCTTTGATTTAGAGAGGGTGCAGCTGGGTCAAGGCAGAGTAAAGCAGAAAGGAACAACAAGTGAAGCAGAGAAAACAGAGCAGTATGCAGTTTTCCTCCAGTGCCATAATTAAGCTGCAATCAGCCATGTGGACAGAAACAGTTTACTTCTGTTTTGGGGAAACAGTTACCGCACTACCTAGTTTGATCATAAAAGTAAGTCTTAAATTTGTTTTATTCTAACAAGCCAGGATCATAAAGTGGTTTAAAGTTGGCTCATTTGGCCAAATCAGTTTGTGCACAAGTCCACACTCCTTATGCTCACACTGTAGTGGTGGGGGTGGGGGTGTGTACACACACACTTCATGCCTCCCACAGGGTACTCTCATAACCCTGAATTATGCACTTTTAATTCTTGCACTGTGCTCATTGCAAAACAGCTAGGCACATTTCACTAAAAGTTTTGGGTTAGGGTTTGGATGACCTATGTTAACCTGCTATCATGCCTAGATATACTACTGCCTGATGGCAGGGTACTTGTTAGCACATGGAATACTTGAACACTGTATGGGTTCTGTCTCTTTAATTCTGGCCTTTGTCCCCAAATACATGGTCTCCACTATTAATGCTGTCAGATTCTGCCCATTACTCCACCTGGCTCTGCTTCTCCCTCTCCTCTTGCATCCAGGCCAGGTATGACAATTTTGCTTTTCAAGAGCTGGCAACAGGAAACAGGAGGCATGGGCAGCAATATCAGTGAGCAATGGCTGCAGTGTTAATAAGCAGAAGCAAATAAAATGTTTTTCTCTTAATTAAATACTTTCCTGCAGGAACCTTGCCTCTTGATTATTTGATATTTATTTTTATTTGATATTGATTATTATAAATATTTGCTACCTGCCCTACACACACACACACACACACACACACACACACACACACACACAATTCCCAATGTATGGTCTAAGAAGACAAAAAATACAATCATATCTAAAATAAAAAGCATAAAACACCTGTCCAAAGTAAAAGCAATACAGCGTCAGATACAGAGAGGAAAACTCACATTCAGTCATTCTCAAAGCCTAGGTGAAAAGATGCATCATAGCATGCTGCCAAAATGTGTACAATTTAAGTGCGCATCCAGACGGAGGAAGTTACAGATCTTGGGGACCTTTATGAAGAAGGTTCTTACACCTTCAGCCACACTTTGAACCCCTGAGGATGAACAGCTTCTAACAGAGCCCCCTCCCCCCATGGACACAGCTCCCAATTGGGATGACTTGTGTAAGTGGAGTGGATCTTTCAGGTATGTGAGACCCAAGTTGTTTAGGCTTCATATGCCAAAGACAAACCTTAAATGGAAGCAAACAGGCAGCCAGTGCATTCTCCCATAATAGGAACTGCATGAGATCTCCCACTCACACTTGCATGTATTCAGCTGCGTTCTGCTTCTAATTGCAGCTTCCAACCCATCTTCAAGAGAAGCACCACATACAATACATTGCAGTAATCCAGATGGAAGGTTACTAGGATACAATTGCATAGCCTTATCTTTCTGGTACAGTCCATAGCTGGTGAACCAGCTGCAACTGGAAATAGGAACTCATTGCCAAATATGGCCTCAAATGATAAAACTGGACAAAGCTACAGATGTGCCCTTTCCAGGAAAGTGTGACCCATGTAAGACAGTCTTCCAGACTCAGTAACCCAGACCACATAACCTTTCCATCTTGTCTGGATTCAGGTTCAATTTATTGACCCTCATGCAGCCCATTAATACATCCAATCATTGGTCCAGAACCTGAACTGCCTCTCTTGATTCAGATGGAATGGAGATAGACCTGTGTATGATCAGCATGCTGATCACTCCAAATACCCTGATGACAGCTTCCTACAGCTTCATAAGGATGTTAAACTGGGTGAAAGATGGAGTATGGCAGGACAGAACAGATATATTTCCATGGTGCTGAACAGTGTCCTCCATTGTTTTGACTGGAACCAGTCCCCTAAGTAGCATAACCATGGTTCCTACCACACCCATGGCCAACTGTATCAAAAAACCAGGGAGAAGTTAAGGAGAATAAATAGGGTTGCACTCTTCCTGTCTCTCTCTTCCCCACCACAAGTCATCAACCAGTTTTGGTTCTAAATCTCAGCCTAAAGCCAAATTGAAATGAATCCAGATAATCCACTTTCTTTAAGCATGCCTACAGCTGTGTCACTGCTACCCTCTTGAGCTCCTTGCCTATGGAGGGTATATTTACGACTGGGTGATATTTATTTGTTATTTAACAGTTCTGTGGCTGGTGAGATCCTCTTATGGAGGGAGCACTCTTTCAAGGCAGGTGGCAGCTCACCATCCCATAGTGAGGCATCATTAACCCAGCATGTCAATTCCCTCAGCTGGTTTTTAATATGCCACAATGATCAAGAAGAGAGGAGGTACCTGGTTAGCTGATACAAGAAGGCTGTCCACATGCATCCCACAGATACAAGCAGCATCTCCACATCATCAACAACAATTAAAAACTGATTCTCTGGAGAATAGCCTGCTGGATCAGGCCAATAGCCCATCTAGTCCAGCATCCTGTTCTCACAGTGATCAATCAGATATCTGTGAGGAACTAGGGAGCAGAACATGAGTATAAGAGCACTTTCCCCTCCCACGGTTTCCAGCAAGCATTACTGCCTCCAACTGTGGAGGTAGAGCACAGCCATCAAGGCTAGTAGCTATTGATAGCCCTCTCCTCCATGAATTTGTCTAATCCTCTTTTAAGGCCTCCAAGTTGGTGGTCATCATTGCCTCCTGGAGGAGTGAGTTCCATAGTTGCTGCATGAAGAAGTGCTTCCTTTTATCTGTCCTAAATTTTCCAACATTCAGCTTCATTGGACGTCCATGAGTTCTAGTGTTATGAGATGGGGGCGGGGGGGGCAGGTGCGCGGGATGACAACTTTTCTCTGTCACCTTCTCCATACGATGCATAATTTTATAATCTTCTATCATGTTGCCTTCATTAACCTTTTCTCTAAACTACAAAGTCCTTAATGCTGCAGCCTTTCTTTATAGGGGTGTTGCTTCATCCCATCCATTATTTTGGTGGCCCTTTTCTGAACGTTTGCCAGCTCTGCAATATCCTTTTTGAGATTAAGTGATGCGGGTGGCGCTGTGGTGCAAACCACTGAGCCTTGGGCTTGCCAATCAGAAGGTCGGCGGTTCTGTCCCAGCTCCTGCCCACCTAGCAGTTTGAAAGCACATCCAAGTGCGAGTAGATAAATAGGTACCGCTCCGGCGGGAAGGTAAAAGGCATTTCCGTGCGCTGCTCTGGTTTCGCCAGAAGCGGCTTAGTCATGCTGGCCACATGACCTGGAAAAACTGTCTGTGGACAAATGCCGACTCCCTCGGCCTGTATACGTAATCCCACCCTTGACTCCCCTCCACCACACCCCAATTTCTGTTTTATATTATGTTACATCCTTACATTGCATTTCTTATCTGAATTTCTTTCATATCTCATTTACACATCATTCTTCTTATAAATTCTACAGTCTTAATCTATACATATCAACGTATTATTTTGTGATCAGTTTATCTATATAATCTTCAAAGCATTTCCATTGTAGTCTTAACTTTTGATTTGACTGTGACCTTTTGGCTGCTGTTAATTTTGCCAAATGTATATAGTTACTCATTTTACATATTCACTCCTCTTTGGAGGGAATCAATTCACTTTTCCACTTGCTGGCTAATACTGTTCTGGTAGCTGTTGTAGCATTCAGGAAGATTACTTTCTTTTCTTGTGGAATAAAAAGGTAAAGGGACCCCTGACCATTAGGTCCAGTCGTGACCGACTCTGGGGTTGCGGCGCTCATCTCACTTTATTGGCCGAGGGAGCCGGCGTACAGCTTCCGGGTCATGTGGCCAGCATGACTAAGCCGCTTCTGGCGAACCAGAGCAGTGCACAGAAACGCCATTTACCTTCCCACCAGAGCAGTACCTATTTATCTACTTGCACTTTGACGTGCTTTCGAACTGCCAGGTTGGCAGGAGCAGGGACCGAGCAACGGGAGCTCACCCCATTGCGGAGATTCGAACCAGTGACCTTCTGATTGGCAAGTACTAGGCTCTGTGGTTTAACCCACAGCGCCACCCGCGTTCCCTTCTTGTGGAATATCTTTTTCCAAAAGACCCAATAAGTAGGCCTCGGGTTTCTTTTCTATGGGACTCCTTAACTTCTCCCCCCCTCCTTCATCATATTTTATCTTTTTGCAGCTCCACCAGATATGGTACATTGTCCCTTCCAATTCTTGACACTTCCAACCTATATTGGATTTTAATTTGTAAATTTTGGCTAGTTTCGATGGTGTCTAGTACCATCTAAAAAACATTTTCAAGAAGTTCTCTTTAATCGTATAACAGGCCTCCCTCGGCCTGTAAAGCAAGATGAGCGCCGCAACCCCAGAGTCGTTCATGACTGGACTTAACAGTCACAGGTCCTTTACCTTTACCTTTTTAGTATACACAGTTCTCCAAATGCTGTCGCACCATAGATTTGTATAAAAGCATAATGATAATGGCAGTTTTAGTTTCAATTCCCCTCCTAATGATACCCAGCATGGAATTTGCCTCTTTCATGACCGTTACACACTGGGCCCACATCTTCATCGAGCTATCTACTATGACTGCAATTACTATCCACTATGTAATTGTACGTACAAAAATGTGAGCAATTTTATCTTCCAATTGTTTTCCCAAATTGTTACAGCAGGCTGCTGAGACCTGCAGGAATGCTCTCCTGACACTGCAAGCTGGGCATAGATTATTAACTTATTCCCCATTTGAAAAAAGCTCTTCTGTACAGCTATCTGAGGGTACAAGATTGGCATAGAAGTACTGTACACTTTGTTTGCATAACAGTTTTTTGCCTCTAGAAACTAGAAGCCCTAGAAATGTTCTCCTGGGCACCTGCAAGAGGTCAGGACATACTGACAGAAGCTTTAGCACCCAAGAACTGCAATCTTTATTTTGCTAATTGTGCAGACAGTCTGATTAGAGATTTTATCTCTTTCTTATCAAGATAAACTCACCATGATTTAACTAAATTAGGCAGGAGTGTTGTGTGTTTTTCACTTTGAGGCTGTGGCTGTATTGTTTGAGCAAGAGACCAGACAAGCCACCAGAAGAATTTCCTCTAATAAGTTACCTAATTCACAGCTGAAGCTTTTCTGCCTAGGGAATGAATACAAGGAAAATTTACATCTGAGTGTTTAGCCTTCCTGTTCAAAGATATGTGCTGCCAATCACTTTGAATTAGTGGCATATGGTATTCAAAGCTTTTCAAATAAAAGAGGGGGAGGGACTTTGCTTTGGCCTCACTACCACCCTTTGGAGGCCAATGGTAGAAAGCAAGAAACATATAATCAATCCATAAAGTACAATGTTCCATGAACACTCTATGCAAAGAATACATGTAAGAAAAGAGAAAGGAGGCTCACACAGGGTCCAACAGTGATTTTCTCACCAGGCACAACACAGCTTTGCCTAATTCCTTCCCCTCAGCTCCCCTGCTGAGACTCTGGCTGCCCAGAGTCATGCCAGAAGCCTAGCCAGTTCTATTCTTGAAAATCTAAGGCACCATGCCCAGGATGCCCATTTTCTATTTTTATTCATCCGTACATTTCCTCCTTTCCCATTTTATCAGGTGAAATATATTAGCAGAAAAGTCAGAATTTCAGCTTCCTTAGAATGCATATGAGGCTGATTATCCACTGTACCAAAACCGTGTGACTGGATGCATTTAACGGGGAAAAGTGTGACACAAAGGCCCCTTGGATAAAGGTTGCTTGGCTCTCTGAAAAATATTTTATATAAAACGAACTCAACAGGCTTAGGCATCTCATTCAGAGACAGAGAGCATATCGGATTGAACCGCAAGAACATATTTTAGGTCTATAGCCACTGTGGTTGGTTGGTTAGTTGGTTGGTTGGTTGGTTGGTTGGTTGGATGGATGGTGGTGGTGGTGCTGTGGAAAACAGTGATCTGCTTTCATTCTTAAAGTGTTATATATTTATATAACTAATATTGTACATTTATTCATTTAACAAAATTTATATACTGCTTGATTGTAGTAAAGCTCTAAACAGTTTAGAATAATTAAAATTAGCCTCAAACTCTGCTTATCAGCTTCATGGTGCAACTGAATGCCACTGGGGAGCCAAGATACTGTGCTAGATGGACACTTGACCTGATCCAGTCCTGTTGCATCCAGACTGGTGAGGGCTCATCATCAAACCTACCTAGTGGCAGTGAAGGCAGCAAAGAAGGCATACTTTGTTGCCTCCATTGCACCTTCACTGCAGCTTTTCTGGGAAGTGCAGGGTCTCTTACAGACTGCTTCTCCCCTTCTGAACCAACACATATCCTGTGATCATCATCTGAGACCTTTCTTCATGTGCTTCGTCCACAAGAGGTTCAGAGGGTGGCAACAGAAGAACAGTGTTTTCCTGCAGCGGCTTCCTGTTTGTGGAATGCTCCCCCCAGGGCGGCTCACCTGGCACCTTCATTACATATCTTTAGACATCAGGTGAAAACGTTACTCTATAACCAAGCCTTCTGGTGATTAACATACTATGGTCTTTTAAATGTGTTTGTGGAAAGGTGTGTGGGGGGGTTATTGGTTGTTGTTTTTTAATGTGTACCTTATGTTCTCATTGTGTATTTTTCTGTTGTGAAACTCTCTAAAATCTTCAAAAGAAGGGTGGTATACAAATTTAATTAGTTAGTTAATTATGATAATAATATTCAAATAGACTCTCCCTGCCACTTTTAAAGAAAACATGGTTTCTTTCTGGTTTGCTGCATTTAGTTTTTTACTAACCTGTGAATACATCTCATTGATTCAAGAACCCAAGCAAACTCCACTATTCTGAAGCAGCAAGATTTTTAAAATTTCACATACTGTACTGTACAATGGCAGAAAAACAAACCATTTTTTGCTGCTGTCCTTCTGACAAAAAAGACTTCCAGAGTAAATCTTAATTAATAATAAAACCTTTAAAGTTTCTAAATCGACTACAGTGGTGCCTCTGGTTACGTACTTAATTCATTCTGGAGGTCTGTTCTTAACCTGAAGCTGTTCTTAACCTGAAGCACCACTTTAGCTAATGGGGCCTCCCGCTGCCGCACGATTTCTGTTCTCATCCTGAAGCAAAGTTCTTAATCTGAGGTACTATTTCTGGGTTAGTGGAGTCTGTAATCTGAAGCATATGTAACCTGAAGCGTATGTAACCTGAGGTACCACTGTATCTATTTTCCACATATGCATCACTGTCTCTTTGCACAGTGTCAACACAAGTCAAACCTTAGTATGCAAAGTCTAACCCTGTTCTGACTACACTTAGTCAAATTCTTATCTTTGTTCACACAGATCACTATAAATCACTTCCTATTACCAAACCTCCACACTTATTCTCAATTTATTATATTGCTTTTGGGGCAAGGGGTGGAGATACACAAAACATTTACTTAGCTCCTGCCTACCTAGCAGTTTGAAAGCACATCAAAGTGCAAGTAGATAAATAGGTACCGCTCTGGCGAGAAGGTAAACGGTATTTCCGCGTGCTGCTCTGGTTTCGCCAGAAGCGGCTTAGTCATGCTGGCCACATGACCGGGAAAAATGTCTGCGGACAAACGTCGGCTCCCTCAGCCAGTAAAGCGAGATGAGTGCCGCAGCCTCAGAGTCGTTCGCAACTGGACTTCACTGTCAGGGGTCCTTTACCTATTTTTTAAGGCTGTACTGTATTAATTACAGATGCACCTATTTTTCTCGGATTGGGAGAAAATAAGACAACCATTAGGAAATGGGATAAAGGGTCACTAAAGGAAATGGGAAAATGTGAACTCTTTAGGACCCAAGGATTTATATCTTCTGGTGTCAAAGCAACTCACTCATCAAGCTGACTGACTCATCTGCCTGCACATTTTGCCTCCTAACTTCATAGGTTGCCGACTGAGCTTTAAGGGTTTTTGTTTGTTTGTTTTAAAGTAAGTCAAAGCCTGGGGCCCATTGGGGATATGGGCTCTGGTGCAATCAGCAGCTAGGCAGGGAGGCTGAACAGACTAAACAAAGCCTCACTGTGCCTCTGGTCTCTTTGGGACTTTCTTTGCCTTCACTGAAGTCCTCTTTGGGTTCTGGGAAGAGTCTCCTCATGAGCCATGAGGACTTTCCAGCTCTCTCTCACCATTTCCTGGTTTGAATCTACGGTATTTATTTATTTCCCGATGCTGTGCATGTAAGGGGTCACTCATGAGTCGACTGCATGTAAGTGGGGGTATGCCTGAAAAAATTGGGCATGCCCTAATAATGTCCTCAGAAGGCTTCACAAAGCATAGAGATCAGATCTTCCAGAATGGTTCTTTCTGCCCAACACTCAGCGCTAGAATTCTGTATAGCCCACCAAAATTTTCTGCGCAACTTCCCCCCAATTAGAAATTAACATGCAATATATTCATCTGAATTCAAATGATTAGCACTTTGGAAGCCTGACAGTGTGTTTGCCTCATTTTACACAAGTGTACCCATTTTGGATGAAGTAGCTGCAGCATTACGTTTCCCATGGGCTTGGAGTACACTGAATTTTCCTGGGAAAGGGTTTCTTTAATAAAGCTTTCCAGCATGTAGGGCTGTAACACACTCCTGAATAGCAAGAGGTTTAATCACTGCCAACGTTTCATGGAAACGAATGTACCAGAGTACTTACTCCATTGTTTCATGGTTTGGAGAAGCTAAAGAACAAATTCAGTCTATTTGGGAAAGTCTTGTTGTGTCTGTTAACTATTTTAGAGCAGTATACAAGGTGTCTGTTAATCTGGGGACGAGGTCTTTAGAGTTTATTTCTCCTATTGCACCACTTGAAACAGCAATAAAAACACACACACACGTGGTAATACATGCTTTATCTGACCCAATTGGGTCCTAAACAATTTTATAGGAAGAATCTTTTTTTAATGCTTAACCTACATTCTATCCACAGCAGCCATTGAACAAAACAGTTTCCCCCTCATATGAAAAGCTGTGACTACCAAAAATTGGGCATAGCAAGAAATAAAATCTTCATACAATATGAGTTAGGTATCAGTGGACTGCTAATAAATTTCAAACTGAAAATAAGTAAGGGATTTATAACAGTCCTCGGACTGAAATTAAGTAACCTGCTTAAAAGGAAGGGGGATAATATCCCAGCCACTTCTAGCAAAATGTTACTCTCTCCACCACCAGGAGTGCCATACGGGAGCTTGCCAGATGTTTTGAATTACAGGTCCTGGGGCTGAGGGGTGCTGTATTCCAAAATATCACCAGGTTGACGAAGTGGTCCAATATGTAAGGAGTACAGAATAACCTCTAGCTGACTAGGTTACAATTTTACCTAAAAATAACAGAATGAAATTCTTCAGTCTTACACTGGCATCAGGCCTGGCCAGGGCCTTTTCATAAGAAAAATAAAAATTAGAGACTGGTACTCATCTCCTGATAAATTGTAAAACACCTATTCCTCTCCTTCTGTACTGACTTCAAAATGAACTTTCTATATAGTAATATTTATTTGAAACACCCTTGAAACTGCAAAAAAGTAGAAATCATAACCAAAGTGTGCAATTGTCATGAATAAAATGAACCAAATTCCTACATAATATGTCCTTCCTACTAAACTAGTAGAGACATATATTTGTTGAATATACTCTTTTGAAAAAATGAAAACAGCAGCTCGGGGATTTTTTCTGGTTGCTTTACCTTGACAAAGAGTATATTGAGGGAAGACAGATATGATCTGCTGATCCTCATTGAGGAGATCACACTACTAATTCTACAAACACATGCATAGTGATGTTGCTGCCTAACAACAAGGAACATTCCCCAGTTCTAGGAAAACTATTCAAGCTGGCTGCCTCACACTGTCTCTTGCACATGCACATTCAGCACAAACATGCCCTCACAGTATACTATCTATATATCTATGCATATCTCACAGGACAAATATACTTCTTCCACTCTCTCTCTCTCTGCCCAAGTGCATCTCACAGATACACACAGACTACAGACTTTCTTCCCCTTTCTCTTTCATATGCCCACCACACATACCTACAGACCTATTCGCCTACATATAACCCCTTTTGCACATACCTCATGTGCACACACACCCTCTCTTTCTCTCACATGCATGTACACACAAAGACAACACACATATGCCTTCGTTTCTCTCTTCTGCACACACAGACAGCGTATTGTGTGAACACGCATACATCCAATCACGAAGCAACTAACAAGCAAGGCAAATGGGATGATCCCTGATCCTTTCTCCTCTGCAACTATAAAAACAGCCCCTACACAGGGAGAAGGTAACACCTGCAGCCAGCTCTACCTGACTGGCAGGCAACAACACTTGGAACCTGCAGGGACATCCCTGCCATTTTTCTCCCTGCTTTTTAAAACAAGCCCCTACATGGGGTGAAGGAAGCTCTCACAGCCAGCAAGGGACTGAGAGTTTCCTTCCTCCCCCGACCCCAAGCAGACCAGAGTTTCTAAGGAGAGATGCAGGTCTTTCTTTCTTTCTTTTTTGATAAGATGTCACTCAAAGTAAAATTAAAAAGTGGCAGGGCATACTGAGGGGAGGGCAGCCCTGGGCCTGGTTTTTTCAGAAGCCCTGAGCTCCTTTGGGAGGAAGGGTGGGATATTAATTTCACTAATAATTAATAAATATGGAAAGCCCATTTAGGAGCATAGAAAGGGAAAAAAATTAGGGCTCACAGATTCCATACTGCTCTGGATATCAATTCAGGTCCCTTCTCTCATAAATTAATCAAAACTTACACTACACCTGTACTTGGAGTGAATAGAAAAGTGTTTCATGTACAAGGTATCTTCCCCACAATATAAAGAAAATGCAGGCAGCTCCCATGAAAACATATTTTAAGTATGCTTCATATTTCCAGTTTCACAGCAGCCCAAGGCACTGTTAAACTAGACAAAGCCAGGGGAGCATAGACTGGCATGCAAATCCTGGATTGAATCTTACCTGGGCCATAAATTCACTGAGGCTACAATTCCAACCCACTAATCAGTAAGTCCCACTCAGCACAATGGGTTTTACCCCTGACCAAACATGAACAGGACTGCCATGTAAGTGGCTTTAGGCAAGCCATTCTCTCTCAGTACCTCATCTATAATATAGGGAATAATAATGCTGGCCAACGTTATACGGCCGTTGTAAGGATTAAAGTTTGATAATGCATGTGAAGGGCTTTAAACTCCATACATGTGTTGATTATGGTTGTTCTCATTGTAATGTCTTGGGGATGGTATTTTATAACAATAATACTATGTGTAAAATTCAATATACAGTATTACCTACTATTCTCAGAGATCAGAGCAAAGCTGTAACTGCTCTCTTAAAATTCAATAATAAGACAGCTTAGTCTGGGCAGCTTCTTTGGGGACAGAATTCTATAACAGTGGTATAACTACTGTAAGAGCCCAGCTCTGAGCTTCTGAACAATAAACCGTTCTCATGAATGGTGCTTAAGAGCTAGGGATGAGCGGATTTCCTTCCGTTCCATTCCATTATTGTTTATCCAATTCTCTCTGCTCTGTCTTCCACTCCTCGTGAACTCCAGTTTAACTGGGAGAATCAAAATTAATTCTGCTATTGGAACAGACACTGTTTCCCACAGTTTTCAGTTCACCCAGTTTATTTTATTTCTCCACACACACATTGCTGACTTCCAGTTGATAAACAATGCATAATATTCTTCAATGCACTAATATTCTTTTGTGCAGTGTTGCTGATATACAAGTATGTACCTCATGCCAAATGGAAGTCCTTGCAAACTAAATCTTGATACAGTGGTCTACTTACTATCTATGATTGTTTTGCGACTGAACTTGTGTTTTTTCCCCTGAAAAATTACAAAAGAAAGAATATTGATGCAGTCATGCATACAATTACATTAAGGCCACTTTTAAAGTTTTATCATAGTGGTGCATAATGGGGAGGAGGACAGAACTGAGAGAACGTTGTGGCAAATTCTAGAGACACAGCTCTCTGTACAAAATTTAGAACCAAAAGAGAACAACCAATAATTCTTAGAACATCAGTTCCACTTCAGAGAGAAGTACATGTAATCTGGGAGACTCAGAAAGAAATAACGATGAAGATAATTTCAGAAGCATCTCTGTTTAAGGGAGAGCCTCTTCCACAGATCTCACTGTTGAGAGGTGGATGGACATTCACTGAAGTATGCTAAGCCCTACTGAGGCTCTTCCCAAACAAGATTCAAAATATGGAAAAGAAAGCTATGGTGTAGATTAATCAAGACTACCAAGTAGTCTTGATCTCCAGCACTTTTTGCACACCAAGCCTTTCTTTTAAACATTTTAAAGTGATACATGCATCTTCAATAATAGCAACTGTGTGTGAATGACTTACAAGGTAAATAGTTGCTGTCAGGTCCAACCTGGATTGAGCCCTCTGACATTGGGAGTAGGGAGCTTTAGTCTTGGTAAGCAACAAGGAATTGAAAATGTGACCTCATTCAAAATGCACAAATCCTGGCTTGCAAAGTCATATTTCTGCCCCCAGAAGAAATTCTGGGCAGAATATTCCAAGTGGTTCCCAGTGGTTGATGTTAATGGGAATGAAAAGCATTGTGCTCAGTTCTGATAAATATACCACTTCATAAAGATTTCTGTGACCTTCCTTTGTCAGTTACCAGAATGTAATACTTAAAAACTGAACTACCCTCATAGCTAAGGTCACTCTCACCATATTGGATCCTACTAAGGGAAGGATTTTTTTCCTTTAAAAGACTCAAGCAATAGAATTAGTCTTTGTTTCACTGAACCCTTATTGAAGATTCATTGAATTTGCATGAGCGCAAAGTGTTTTCTGGACTCATAATTCATTAAAATTGGCATTTCACTCACTCTGTTCTGCATCACTGGTACCCAAAGCCTAAATGCATTGGTTGTAATTATGTCTCACATATTCCAATAGTGTTTTTAGGACTACAGTCTCAAATTGCCTTGCCACTGCTGCCATAATCTGCAGTTGTTTTTCTCCAAGCCTGGAGAAATATAGTAAGAAACTTCCTTAGAGAATTTCATGAGCACAAATTTGATATTCCAAGCTCTTCTATTGTGTTTTCTTTTAAATTCAAAAGGTAAGAAAGCTATTTTTCAAGCCATTCATGTTGGCATTTGTTCAGAAGGCAGAAGCCTACTTTCATAATTTATTCTCCAAATAAAGAGAGAGATTCCTTTAGGTATAATCCTGTACCGATTATCTGCTGGTCCATCCTCCTACCAATCATCTGGTTTCATTACCTCAGGTGATTGACAGGTCAGTTGTCCCACCTACTGTGTTGGCCTGTAAAAGGGGAGGGAGATTCTTCACAAAGCAGTACCAATCTAGAAGTTACCAAGACCTGAACCACTATGTCCAAGCTATCCTTGACCAGGAATGGTCATAGCAAATACACTAGTTGAAGCCGGAAGAAAACAGTCTTAGCCTCTGTGTCTCCAGTGATGTGACAGATCTAAGAGTATTTCCAAGCTATGTATCTGCTCCTTCACGTGGAGTGCAATTTCATAAAGAATAGGCAAACTACCAGATTCTTAAATGCAGCCAGTTTAGTGCTCTGTGAAATATTTGCCAGAAATTGCTTGAGCCATCTAATTTGAAAAAAAACAGCTCCTGTCACTTTCATTAAAACGTCATCTAGTGTTGAAGTACATATTTTTCTTGGCTAGTTCCATTATGCTGTTGAGGATCTACACAGATGCATATTATTTCCCCATTTTCTTGATGACTGTGACCACCACTGTTGCACAACACAAAGTGCTAAGCAATTCCTTTAATTATGCCATGTTTCTTAATCTTTCCTAGCTCCGTTTTGATCTTGTGATGTAAGGGAATGGACTTCTATATGAAGTGTGAATTGTGATTTTGAGTCACATCAATTATTTAAAGGAGATATTGCTCTTAACACTTCATACTGAGTTGCACTCCACAGAAAACAGGGGGAGAAAGAGTCTTTATTATAGTAACCCACTTCATTCATTTTAATAATTTAAACTTGTCCATTTTAATCAAGTATTGGTTTTTATAACAGCTAATAGCCCTAGATCTAATGCATCCTTATACAATCATTCCTGAAAGAAAAATATATCATATAAAACAGGATACAAGAAATACATGGAATAACTGCATGTAACTGAACAACAGTATCTGTTTGTATCTTAAAAATCACTACAGCATTCCTAGGCAGCACCAATAAGTAGAGTTTCTTTAAGAGTCAAAATAAGAACCACATCTCACTAGTAATTCTATTAATTAAAGTTTAATTACCCTTGAGTAAACGTTTCTACATTCAGGCACATCAAGATTCAGCACATATTTTTACCAATTTTTCAATAAACTAATTACTAACATCCATTAACCTATTTTGCTTTCAATGTATAATTAACTACCCAGTTGTAATTCAAAAGCATTAGGCAGCAAAAGAACAAAATAGTGTTGATAGCGATAAATGCACATGCCACAGGCTGTCTTAGGTGCTGGTGAATTTGCCATCATTGGGCATATTTTAAGCTGAAGAAGTTTGACAGACCTCTGTAAGCAATGTGGCAGTTGCATTCTGCATTTAAGAGCCTGCATTGTGCAGGATATAGTCTCCAAAGTTCCCTCTAACTGTGATTCTATAGCACCCTTTTTGCATCATGCCAAAGTTGCCAAAATGAGATCTGACTAAAGCTGAAATCTTTACTCAAAAAACCATGGGGCGCTTTTATCCTGCAACAATATCACTTGAAGGATGCTGTGTTGTGTCATAGTGTCCCTCCACAAAGGTGCCATAACAGCAAAAAAGAAAAATGGGGGCAATGTTGTCTATACTACCAAGCATTCCAATTGTAAGTGCCTGCAAAAATTTAAGTCAATTTTTGCCACCTATTCTGAAACCATCCAAAAATGCCTCCTCATTTTTGTTACAAGATATAAAAGTAAGGAGTCACTTTTCACCATTTCCAGACAAGACACTCCGTGTCCTTGTATATAATCCCCCAAGGCACCTGCCATCATTCCGAATTACCAAACAGAAATAATGAAGAAATCCATGGTAAATGAATATTTTAAAAATCCCAAAGAAAGATGTATTCCAGGATGCATATTTTGGTTTAAATGTTGGCATTAAATGTTTTGCAAAAAAATTTTTCTGCCATGTTTGCTCAAAGTTCTGCTTTTGCAGGTAACATAATCTCTAGGGTGCATCATAGAAATAAATGATGCAGATTCCTCAAACTATTTAAAATTTTCTGGATTGATGCCTTATTATAACTCAGAACCTTGCCTAGTATCAAAGAGAAGGTGGCTCAGCCATGTTCAGTGCTTCCAAATAAAACCAAGCGAAGCTTGTGGTTTCGAGGCAGAACCCAGAGAAAAACTTGTGTTCATCCAAATGAAAGAATGTTTTCACACGGCCTTCTGTGAACTGAACACAAACCGACGAGTCTGGCACAGCAAAATGTTCTTCAAGTTGAGCACAAAAAAGGCCCAGTCCAGAGAGGAACTGAATAAGTGTGTGGGTGCTAAGTGCACCAGAATCAGGCCCAAACTTGCTAATGACTTTCCCTAGGATTGTGGGGATTAGTAACAATGTGTCTCCTGCAGTTATTTGCAACCTGAATAAAGCAGGAAAAACTCTTTTTGACTTTGTCAAGTTTTTTTTTTAACCTTTTCCTTCTACAGAGCATAGCTCATTTTCCTTTGAGAAAATGTTTTTCTCACTGGGCTTTACTTGAAAACACGAGGGATATGCCACCTTTTCCACTGAATGACAGGCTAACAACTAGGTCTTCTTTAGCAGAGGTCTGGGTTGTTACTTGCCTAACAAAGGAGACTATTGAGGTAGAAATAACTTCACCACCGTGTCACCTCCGTTTACCCAAATCCTTTTCTAAGAAGCAGCAAGCTGTATTTCTAAACCATGGTAAAAGACTTGAACAGAGCCAGTAAGCAAAAATTATATCAATGGGTTCCCTCAGCTGCACCCTTCTCATTTGATAGAAGATGATCTTCCCTGCTAAGAAGGTTTAGTTGTCAAGTAAGTCTCGTTCCCATTCTATCTAGCATGTACATTTCAACTGTTTCCAGCCTTTGGATCGATAAACCAGCATCATGGCTTAGATACATCAAGGAACTTCCACCACGATATTTATAGCATAACCAACATCACACAACAGCCCTACAGCACCACAGCTTATCAGAGAGGAAACTTCATACAGAGGCGTGGGGTTATTTTTTACATTTTGTGGCCTGCAGATTCAGACTGAGCTTTGCCACTTGCTTTCATTCCCTGTGCAACTAAGGGATCCCTAAAAATATACAGTTGTACCTTGGTTTTTGGACAGCTTAGTTCTCGAACGTTTTGGCTCCCAAACTCCACAAACCTGGAAGTGACTGTTCCAGTTTGCGAACTATTTTTGGAAGCTGAACATCTGATAGGAGCTTCCTGCAGCCAATCAGAAGCTGTGCTTTGGTTTCCGAATGTTTTGGAAGTTGAATGGACTTCCGGAACTGATTCTGTTTGACTTCCAAGGTACGACTGTAGTAGGTGTCCAGTTGTGTGCCTCTCAAATTCTCACAAGACATCAATGCCTGCCCAAATATGAGTACACACACACACACACACACACAATCATGCTGGCACCAGACACTCCCACATCATCTAGATATTCTCTCCCACAAGTGCCTACAACTAAAGATCTGAGTCAGTCAATAGGTAAAAAGGACTCATACGTTCAACAACATTATTATATATTTTGCATTACAATATTCTATAAGATTATTTAAAAGCTACGGTATAGTTATAACAAAATATAGCTGCTTTGAACTATATGAGGAAAGATGGGTATACATATTTAAATAACTGAAAGAATAAATCCCAGCTTTGCAACTTAACATAAAATGATGCCAGTTTCGCTCCATATCAAACCTGCTGCCCCATACTATGTCACGTATACCTGTACTGGCTATGTGTAAAACCAGTATTATTTGTAGTGGACGATAAGAAAAACTTTGTTGATGCAAATATAGTACTGTATATTGTGATAGTGAATTACAGTATTCCTGAATGCACAAGGGGCACATTTCTTGATTTTCAAAACTCCATACTTTGCCAAAATTTAGCATTTGCCAACAGGACCTAAAGTTCTCATTCTTCTCTTTTGGATTTGTGCATTTGTGAAACTGTAATGTGGGTAGGCATATGAACAGAAATTTGGCTGTCTGCATATCACATAGTATTTTTATTTTAAACAAAACCTGAAATCATAGTAAACACAGCATACAATGTATCCTTAGTTCTTTCTTCACACTTTCAAGCCCCGTGAACAATGGGAATAAGTTCATTTGAAAAGTGTAGGTATAGAAAATGTAACTCTAAGTGTTCAGTGGTATTCTTTCCTGCCATGTCAGAAAAAGCATTCCTCAGCACCCTCAGGCATCAAATATAGAAATATCATTGTGATATAAATATTATTCTGGAACTCCTAAACATGCTCCAGGGAGCAACATATTTAACTAATTAGATCTAATGCAAATATGCACTCTTTCATCCCTGATAAATTTCTAGTTCTCCTCAAACTTTTCAAAATCCACTAATGCAAGTATTAATATTCATTGCCACTGAATATGCTTCCATGCATTACAAATCCATCAGATGTCAAGATAGTGGTGAATGTTCAGTTCAACTCAGAAAACACTCCCCAACTTAAATGAACTCTGTCCTTTATTATAGTTAGTTAAACATCAAATTATTTCTTTCTCTCTTGGTCAACGACCCGTTCAAAGAATATGTCTTAATAAGAGTAGTAGACAATATATTTATTGGAGTGGCACAGAAATTTATTAATAAAGGCAATCCTAAAGAATGTTTGCAGGTGACTACTGCAGAATTTTAGTAGAAATGCAGCATTTACACTTTTAAAAGGAAAGACTCGGGTTCCTCTCTCTGATCTCTCTCAGTGTGTGTGTGTGCGTGCAGCTGGCCTCTGAGCACATCTATACTCTACCACATGCTACTTTGTTAATTTTGTTGCTTTGAACGCTTTTGCCTACAGAGCACAGCATGACTGATGGGGTTAAAAAACACAAGAGAACCTGCTCAACATTTGCTGAAATGAAAGCTTGGATTTCTCATCAATCATTTAAAAACAAGTCTTAGCGGCTTGTGCACACAAATTATTCCTCTTCCGAGGCACAGTTCTGCATCAAACAAATGCTTCAATGATTCAGTTTTTTCACAGGATAGTTATTTTGTACAAATAAATGCCCAGATAGCAAGGAAATTGGCTTAGCATAAATTATTTTTTATTACTTAGAAATTGGTAAGTTCTCATTTACCAGAATCATTGCCCACACTCCTACTTGGACTGAATGATTAATATTAGGATTCTAGGAAACTCCCAGACGCATGTGGTCGTGTCCAGTGATGCACAATCAGCATTCTATTATCACAACGTAACAGCTCTGTTTCCGCACACCCCCAAAATCTGCTTTGGAGGGTACCTGGACCCTCTGCAGCAAGGGAGAAAAGGCAAGTTTCATTGCATAAGCAGAAGTCTGTTGTTATGCAAATGGAGCAAGAGTGGTGGATACAATTCATGGTTAAGAGAGTTCTTATCAGGTCGCAGCTATTCAGGTGAACAATGCAACATCTCAGAAGCACCAGTGAAATCAATCCATTTTCCAGGTTCAGCCACGGATGATGTCCAGTTATGCAAGTTTTTTAAAAAATAAAATACAGGAAAAAATAGTAATTTGGGGGAAAACAATAAACTGCTTTGCCTGCCCAAAGATGACCAGGCACAAGCCCCCCGGTTATGTACAGTTATGGCAGAAAGGGATAGAGAAACTCCACTCAACACATTTGACCATGCAAATTTTGTGTCTCTGCATTTTAGATGCAATTACTCCCTACAAAATCTGTAGCAGCAGATGGTCAGAAGTATAAACACACATAAAGAGAACTCCTGTGCTTCCTTCTCCTAATGCTTAAAAATGCTGGGGAAAATTCACTAGATATTTTTGTGAACATTTTTCAGCCAGCATAGATAGCAAAGAAAAACATAACCAAAGAAAAAGTGAAGCACTGGGACCAAAACAAGCAAAGGAACACTCTCCCCCACCAAGTAATCATCACCACAATGAGAACACAACTGGAATATAACCTTAGCCAAAAACCAAACTAAGGGCAATACATTTCCTAAACATCAGGAAATGCTCAGATAAGGTATTATGTATGATATGCCATCTCCTACGCATTGATAATATTTGGCTGAGATTAGCAGTCCCTTCCAACAGAAATCTAGGTTTCAGGGCCCTGCTCAGGAAAGTCTTGCAACAAACTCTTACAGATAAGATTCCAAGGAAAACATTCCCATCCTCTCAACACACATGCATACACAAAAGACTAACCATCATGTGCAGAACAAAGTTTGATTTTAATGAGATGTGCTTTCAAGTAAATGTGTCTGGATTGCACATATTCATTCCCAAAGAAAATATATATTTTTATTTCCTATTATTATGGAAGAGTTCTTGGTGTCACCTATGTGAATTTTATGTAAAAACAGTTTGCTGCTGAAATTCTCACGTTGCCATAAGCTTACATTTAGCTATTATTGTTTGCTCCACACCTTTCATTTGAAGAGAGTAAATATTGTAATTAGTTTAGATTAAAAGTTTAGTTATACTTACTCCCAAAATTCCATGACTGGAGAAGTAGCATTCTGCAAATATTGTTGGGAACAGTTGCTCATATTAATTTTTTGAAATTCTACACAGTGTTCTGTAAAAGAATAAAAATAATAATGCTGTGGTTCACTTTGAATATGTTAAGATCATGGCCACAGAGATCTGAAAACAAGATTCAGTCACATGCTTTGATTACTAATTCATACTGGTTGTCCTCAGGAAGGTGTTCACTAGCTGCTTTTGGTTTGTCCTGTTACAACTGCAACAGCCAGACCAGTTGGAGGCAGCAGAAATAGGATAATTTCCTCTGATTGCTAGGGAGTTTAATCATGCATTGTGCTTGATTCAGTTGACCGCAGTTCAGTTCCTAATGCCTATCACTGGCTCGGGAATCTCTTTCTACCAGCAGGAAGGTGAACTTAATATGGCAAGTGGCAAAGCTACCATTTGGCACACTGTTATCTCTGGCATGAGAGAAATGGTAGAAAGAGATCAAAGCAGTTCTCCATTATTGAGTTGACACTTACTATTTGGACAGCATTGAATATTGGCTAGGCTTTCCTAAACAGATGCCAAAAAGGACACTGAAGCACTATCATTTCTGATGGACTTGATGCTAGACTTTTAATTTACCTAAACATCAATAGATTCAAGTAAGAGTCCCGAGCTGTTAAAATGAATAAAAGAATGAGGATGAAAGAGTACAATTCTCAATAAAAATTTTATTAGATGAGGTGAGGAATATGAAAAGAAAACCCTTACCATTTAAGAATTTATTATTTCCCTTTAAAGTGTAAGGAATTAATTCAATGTCCCCTTATACATCACCAAATAAAAGAGGTTATTGGTTTGTAGTTTATACTACATGTAAACTCATAAGAGAATTAATATTTGCCAAAGGTTAGTGTGAGGGGCTTTCCACTGGACTCAACAAAAAGAACCCACAAAAATTTCAAGAGATAAGACTGGAAGTGTAAACAGATTGGCAACCCTTCCAACACCTTTTGTTTTAGTGCACACATGTAACCCTTTCTGAATCTCTGCCTCCATATTTTCACACTTGCACACACTTTTCATTACAATGTTTAATGATTCACAATAGTATGCAAATGTGTCCATCTGTTGATGGAAAGCTGTTTGATCCAGCAGATAGCTGTGTGAATCAAAAAAATGTAAACTGTTTTGTCTTCAAGTTTACAGTGAGCTCAGATGTAAGTTTTTAAAATAAATAAAATAAAATAAAATAGTAATAATAATAATAATATACTAAATTCCATTACATAAGAGGTAAAAAAAAACCTACATATACCGTACTTTCTCTATGTTTAGTTTGCAAAGTTTTAATAAACAGTTAAGGAACATATTGTACCATCACTTTTCAAACCAGTATGTTTTAGAAGGGAAGATTTTCAAAAATAATACATGCTGTTTAAACCAGACTGTTTAATTCATGAAGCAAAATGATGTATGGGGGAAGATTTGAAGGCATTACTTTTATTATTGGAATAATCAACATTAATTATTGGGATTCATCCCTTTATCCCTTTGCATCATGTTTTGCAAATCTGAATTACGCTAATTTTCACCATTATCTTGTTTGGCCCCATAATCATTTAAATATTAAATCACTCTGCTGCTCTTTTAACATATTCATACAGATTGTATGTTCATTGTGCCCATACCTGTATTCCATTCATGCCCACATGTTGCCCAGGGGAGCTCCGTTGTAAAGCAGTTAAACAAATAGAAGATGGCCCATGCTAAAATGATGATGTAGTAAACATTCAAATGTGCCTCAATAACCTGGGTAGCATATCCGATACCTGCAAAGTACAAATACAGGAACTTGTTTCAGCATTGTTAAAGGAACAGGGAACGAGAGTCAGAAAGCAGTTTTTGTTCAGATTCTAAGATTGTCACTTGTTACAAAGAAAATCCTGAATATATAAATGTAAGGGCTGTAAGGGAAGAACTGGTCATGGGGGGAGCAGTCTTTGAATATGTGTGACAAACTGGATTGTGTAATGAAATAAGGCCAAGGCTGAGAACAGCAGGGCTATGCAATGGGTTCAAATGTAGGTAAAGCATGTTAAAGTGTTGGGGAAATGATTTTAGAGGTTCTATTTCAATGTATAGAGAAGAAGAAACATTCTAAGTTAACAACAAAGCATTTAACAACTTTTTCCTAAATTCTCCAGATATTTTGCATACATTATCTGGCTAATGGCTACCTGTAAGGTGATGTGGTATCATTAACTTTTGTGCTGTATCATTATCCCCATACTATAGACTGGGTGGGATAAAGCTAGGATTAAGAAAGTAGCTTGCCTAAGGTTATTCAATGAGTTCATGGTTAAAGTGGATTTGAACTGAGGATTCCTGAGTTTACTGGTCCTCTGATGTGCTGCACTGGTCAGGACTTGCTAACTAAGTTCCGAAAGCATCAGTAAGAAAGGTGTGTAGAATGGCGGGTGCAATGTTTTTGTTTTTGAAGGAAGCAGTAAAAAGTATGTTTGCTCCATTTGTAAGATATTTCCAAAACTCATGAATGTTTTGTGTGTTCACATGCATAGATAGACGCATACATGTTTATATATGGGAAACGAGAGAGAATTTGACATGTACCTTCAAATAGTGGACAAACTTTCCTCCAACATGTAATGCCTCCTTCGCTAGTAAACTGTCCCAAGGCAGTTTCCAGGAAAAACACTGGTATTCCACAGCAAATAAAGAAAATCACATAGGGTATGAGAAAAGCACCTAAAAGCAAGGATTGGATATGTATTATTTAGTTTGATCCAGGTCCTTAAAGATAAGTAGTAAGTTTAATTTCATGCACAAATTATTTATACAAGACTACCGTACATAACATCACTTTATTGTCTTATCTCAAACAACACTCTGGGCTCATCCACCCTTGAACTTGTGCCATGCCTAGAAAGTGTGGGTCTGAGTGGTTTTCCCCTTGCCCCACTCCTTCCCAATGGAAAAACCTCTCTATAGTGATAGATTGGAACAAATGGCAATCCGGGAGAAACCTTAATTAATTGCCATTTGCTTTGAGTGCTTTGAGTGCAGTTTCCTCTGGGGGAAAGGCAACAGGACAACAGGAATTATGGGTGAGCCCCTGTCTTGAATGTAGTATCGCTGATAGCAAAGGAATATTCATGCGGGTAAAGATGCATAGCTCTGGCCCCCGAGTTTTCAAAATTGATTTTTAAATGCCAACAATTTGTTATACCAACAAGCTTAATATTATCCAATACATATTTCAGGCTGATTTTTACTTACACTTGAGTCGCAGATCTAACATACTCTAGGACATGTACCCATGGTCTCTAAAAAGTTATTATAAATATGACCTATAATACGTAATTTTGTGCATGTGAGAATTAACCCACTCACAAAGCAAAGGCATTCACACACTATGGATAAGAAACTACTATAGTATCAATATTCGCAACCAGAAATATCAATGGAACTGACAATCCCAGTTAAATGCTTAAATGTTATTGACTTGGACCTGGTGTAGAGCACACAGTGCTAATGATGCAGTTAGGCAATCATAGATCCTGGACTTGATTGGGTGGGGGAGGTTGGGGGTGACTTCTTTAGATGGCTTTCTGTCTTCCTTCACTTACTTCAAAATGCAGTAAGCCAGCCCTGCTGAGTTTGGGGGCCCTTGACTTCTGTCCCAAACCCCTGACTTGATGACACCACTGTACAACACTTATGCCATTGGGATGTGACTCAAAATGACCTCCCTGTGGCAAGATACCTGCCAGGCCAAAGACATTTAGAAGCACTTACTGCATGGATTCTCAACCCGTCATGTGTTAAGCCTCCACAAACCCTTCAGTCATCACAAGGAATGTAGAAAGTGGGCAAGGAGACCCAAATCATTAAGGCTACAGTTCATTTCATAAGTGTTCCTATTACGGGTCAATCAGTCACCATATGGACTATATCTGCTGCAGCACCCCAATGGCAAATGTAACAAGAGAAGATACTTGAACAGTAGAGAAAATGTGTAGCATGGAAAATCTAACTAGTAAATGTATAACTTTTATTGTCTGGTTACATTGTATTGCACTTTGAATTACTTCGTTTTTTGCTTTTTATGCATTGCTTTTTACTATTGCAGTCGTACCTCAGAAGTTGAACAGAATCTGTTCCGGAAGTCCGTTTGACTTCTGAAATGTTTGACTTCCAAAGCGCGGCTTCTACAGCCAATTGGAAGCCGCGGAAGCCCCGTTGGAAGTTTGGCTTCCAAAAGAACAATCACTTCCAGTTTTCAATTGTTCAGGAGCCGGAATGTTCAACTCCCAAGGTGTTTGGGAGCCGAGGTATGACTGTATTTGTAAATTGCTTAGAGAAACTTGTATAAAGGGACTAATTACCTAAACAAATGATACTAAGAATAGTTCCAATTGCATAGTTCTAAGCTATTTTAACTTTAATTTGTCTATACTTTTAAAGTAACTAAACTTAACTGGTGAAACTAACAGTTAAATATTCTTGTATTGCCTTCCATTCGTGCAGCACACCAAAGCATATACTATGCTATTACTTAGCCCTGAAAATATAGCAGGTTTCCTTAAATAAGTTTGCAAACAAAATTATTTTATTTGGGTAGTAAATATGATCACAGTAATAGACATTCACTAAAAAGGGGGGGCACCCAACAGTGAAAGCTGAATATTTTTCATGTGCCATTAAGCAGTTTGGTAAAGTTTAGAAAATATTGCTGGATTGGTTCTAGAGAGCAAGTGGCATGCAGAAATTTTAAGAAACTGAATCTTCTTCCAATACAGTTTCACCTCTCTCATATACACCAGTGGACCTTAGTGACTGAAGCATTCTAATAATAATTTAATACATTAGGCAATGATATTCTAAGTACTGTACACCTACTTAAGAAAAATGCAACAGCATTTCAACATACACTTAATTTTTCAAGTCTTCCAAGGACAGCACAATCACACATAGAAATCTTTATTCAGGAACACCTTCAATTCTTGGTTTTCTTTTTGCAAATAAATTACATTGGCCATTTGCTGAAACCTATTGTTTCAAGCCTTTTCAGAATACCGAATTCTGGTGCTTTTCTAGATGAAAAAAAATCCTATGCAACTCCATTATTAAAGTTAAAGAGACAAATACAGTGGTACCACTGGTTACATACTTAATTCGTTCCAGAGATCCGTTCTTAACCTGAAACTGTTCTTAACATGAAGCACCACTTTAGCTAATGGGGCCTTCCGCTGTCGCCGTGCCGCCGGGGCACAATTTCTGTTCTCATCCTGAAGCAAAGTTCTTAACCCGAGGTACTATTTCTGGGTTAGCGGAGTCTGTAACCTGAAGCGTATGTAACCTGAGGTACCACTGTAAAGGGATAGTGAGTCTAAGTAACTAACTAACTAACTACCTAACTGAAGAAGAAGAGGAAGAAGAAGAAGAAGAAGAAGAAGAAGAAGAAGAAGAAGAGGAAGAAGAGGAAGAAGAGTTTGGATTTGATATCCCGCCTTTCACTCCCTTTAAGGAGTCTCAAAGCGGCTAACATTCTCCTTTCCCTTCCTCCCCCACAACAAACACTCTGTGAGGTGAGTGGGGCTGAGAGACTTCAGAGAAGTGTGACTAGCCCAAGGTCACCCAGCAGCTGCATGTGGAGGAGCGGAGACGCGAACCTGTTTCCCCAGATTACGAGACTACTGCTCTTAACCACTACACCACACTGGCTCTCAACTGCTGGCAAAAGAATCCTATAAGTATAGTTCTGCTACCAGGATGTTCACACCAGCTCGAGAAGGGAGGTGACTGACTTTCACCAATCTCTCATTCTCTCTCTAACCCCTTGAAAATCTGCTCTATCTCCATTGACTGAACCATGACATTCACATACCCAGTGCTTTCCAATGCTGTCGCAGTACATAAATGTAGATCCAAAGCACAAATCCATTGTAATTTATTTTATTTGTATTTGGGTACACTGTACTCTGGGTACACTGTGGGGTTTTTTGGTGGTTTTTGTCATCAGCCTTTGTAAAAATTATGAAGATCCATGAGGATCCCTTGTGGATCAATGCTTCTGTAGTGCTAGAAAACATCAGATCTGTGATTTTAACTGTGCAGTCTACCACTGCAAGCTTTAATTTTGTGGTTGTAGAGGATGCGTAAAATCATGCAAATTCAAGGTCTGTTTTAGTTCTACTAGATCAGACTTTTGCCTAGACCCCTTATAAAAGCAAGGACTTGTGTTCATGAGTGTCTGTCTGTCGAGAAGCAAGGAAGAGAGACACTGACCTGGGGAAATGGGGAGGAAAGCAACCAAAGTAGTGGTGTCAGAGTAATCTCTCAGAATTCCAAAAGGCCAGAAAGGATGGCAACCCTTGCTGCTTACCCAGAAATAAGACCCACTGAACTCAGTACGACTTACTTTTGAGTACAGATATACAGTGGTACCTCGGGTTACATATGCTTCAGGTTACATACGTTTCAGGTTACAGACTCCGCTAACCCAGAAATAGTGCTTCAGGTTAAGAACTTTGCTTCAGGATGAGAACAGAAATTGTGCTCTGGCGGCGAGGCAGCAGCAGGAGGCCCCATTAGCTAAAGTGGTGCTTCAGGTTAAGAACAGTTTCAGGTTAAGTACGGACCTCCGGAACAAATTAAGTACTTAACCCGAGGTACCACTGTATAGGATTGAAGTGTTTGGCCTTTATATATAAAAAAGCAAACAAACTTGTCTCTATGTCAAAAACAAGCATCAATTCTCAAAACACCTAAGCAAAAGCTATACATTTCCTACACCACCAATCATCAATGTATCATCAATGTGCATGCTCTAATATGCATGTGAACAAGAAAAGATAGATGATACTGTTCATTTTAGCACTCAACACTCATACCACACAAATTAATGATTTATGTAGAAACTGGTTCACTGGCATCTCCTAGATAAAATCCTAAATCCTCAAACCGTATTTTGCCCCACTTGATTCTGTGATTTGAACAATGATCAATTTGTTTCTTTTAAGTGTAAATGCAAATTTAATCATGGGCAGAATTCAATTGAATAGCTGTGCTAGCAGAAGTCTCACTAGCACAATGGGGCTTCCCCCCTTTCCTCCCCCTGTGCCCCCCCTCAAGTCTGGGGATACTGGGATAATCCCTATGTCATCATGTGGGGCAAGGAAAAGGAAGACCATTCCATCTGGCAAGAAGAAATGTGTGCGCTGATGGAATGATCATAATAGTGCAATGTTGACTTTGTCCCATGGTCTTTAATATCTCAACTAAATTTAAAATGGAAGAAGTGAAGGTGTGAGTCAGTATTGCACTAACCACTGAAAAGCAGTACTTAGACCCTCAAAATAATAATAATAATGAGCTTCTGTGTTCCTATGTAACATATTTCTTATTTTGCCCTGATGAACGTATACCTTGAAGTAGGAAATTTGCTTGATCATATGGCATAAAAATGACACCCCCAGCTTTGTCAACATCATGTAACAAAAACAGCATGAGGAATTGACTAACACTAACCAACAAGAATCATTGTTAATACAGAAGAGCTTGTTTTTCTGCCACTGTGTAGCAACAGACGACAATAAAGAAAAGCAAGTAAACCTACACACTGTGCTTTTAAGAGATGTAGCAAACCAAATGGGCCAAATTCATGATGGTGCTTCGCAGTACAGAAACACAAAATATTTTGGCCCTGAACTGTTGGCAGAGAAACAAGAAATAAAGATTCACACTTTCCGTGCTGCTTTGTAGACAGGCTACCCAACACAGTTTCCCTCATGTTGTCTAACGAACACAATCCCCATCTCTTTTGGCAGTGTTTGAATCTTTGCAGTATACTTGTTTACAAATGTCTTAGGTCAGGATAGAACTAGGCATTGTAAGTGTACTCAATAGGTTGAGCACACATCATAGTCCCTCCCACCGCTGCCAGCACCTCTACTTTTCCACGTTTGAAGAGCATCACCTCTATGCCAAAGCATAACCTACTAGCCATATAGTATGGGAGGTTACTCTTCAATGGACAATCCAAATCTCCCCCTGACCACATGGAACTGGTTGCACAATTGCTTAGATTCTGGTCTTAAAGCTTATCTGTAGATAAATTACTCTCATATTCAATGGCCTTAGTCCCAAAAGTGTGCTTAGAATTGTAGCCTTATAACTTTAAGGGAAGTGGAACTGTGTATAGCAAACTAGTGTCCATGGACCACCAGTGATCCACAAGTTTCATTCATGTGATCCACAACATGTCTCTGAATTTGTGGATGAAGATGGAAGGTAGCATATCCATCATTTTTAATATCTATGCTGATTATTAACTGTACTTTTCTTGTTTTATTTCTTCTATTGTACTTTATTGTATTGCAATTTGAATTCTGTGAAATTACAGTTGCTAAAAGAGGCAGAAAAATCATTAGGCGGTACACCAAAAATATAAGCAATGTCCAAATGGTCCGGGGGTGCTGGTTTGGGAACCACTAGAGCAGGGGGTTCCAAAATTGAGGTTCATGGACAATCAGTAGTCCATGAACTTCATTAAGGTGATACACAGTGCCTCTGCATTAAATATTAATTTACATTTTAAACTGTATTTTATTGCTTCTTATATATCTTATATTGTATTTATTGTATTGCAATTTCAGTTCAATGAAAATCAATCAGCATCTAGCTCAGTGCATTATAATCGCTACAACTGTCAGGAGCCTCAGCAATTTTCAAGTGGTTAATGATGGGGGCAGGGCAGGGGAGTTAGGGAACCAGTAGTCTAGAGAATGCATTTTCTTATCATTGATCATACGTGCATATAGGCATATATGTTTCTTGCATGGTATAGTTACTATTATGAATGTGATCCATAAATATATACCTAGAATAGATAATATCTAGAATATTTTGTCTTTTAATAATCTAAGGATAATACCTAATCCAAATTACATTTCATCCTGCCTCACAATATCACAGTACTGTACTGAATACTGTTTAGAGTTTGCTGTAACAGTATGTCCCTTCACCCTCCACCCTCTTTTCCTTTGAAAACATTGATCATATTTGCCTCCTTGTGCTATTACAGAGCAGAAGTTCATCAAGTTTAGCATTCAGGACAGGATCCAAAGAACCATGCTACTAGCTCTACTCATCCCAAACATCCTTAACTTGTGGTTCTCAAGAATCAGTCACCTCTCCCCCAAACACACACAGAGTAATGCAACATAGCAAAATACTATTGAAACACTTTCAAAAGCAGCATTTACTGTGGCATGACTTTAAGAATTACTGTCCAAATGTTTAAAAAGCGGAAAATTCAATCGATCCTCAGATATATTAACACCTGTTTACAATGAGCAAAGCAAAATAGAACTATCCATTCCATGTTGACTGTCCCAAAAACAGCATTCAGAGGTTCTTTCTGACACAGAGAATTGATGGTCTTATAAAAGCACTTCACTGTGTGTTGAATTGTGGTTGATGGTTATATTTCTGAATACTAACATAGCTAGTAGCCAATGGCAGACCTTAAAATCACTTTTAGAAGCTATTTAAAGCCGGTGGTCATCACAGAGCTCCATGGCAATACAAATGAAGTCTACCTAATTTGTAAAAAACAAAAACTTGAGGCTGCTTTGCCAACACCATGCCAAGACAGCATTGAACTCCATCTGAATAAATATGCTTAAGGTTGCACTGTGAGCATAACTTCAGTATGCAACATAAAATCTCTATAACTGTATAGAGTATAGTATACGTGACAGTATAACCGGTAATACTTTCCAAAGTTATATTACCAAAAAGTCTAGTGGCACCTTAAAGACTAGCAAATATATGTGCATGCACACACACAAACACACAAATGCAGTCAATATAACAGTTTCTTTCTTCACTGTCCGCCATGCAGTTAAAGAAGTGTGTTGCTGCCTATAAAAGATCTTGCACAATGCACATGTTATTTGGGTGCTTCTAGATAGGGGCTTAATTTGGAAATAGGCCATTGAGATTTGCAGATAGAATGTTAGCAACAAGTGTGTTGTTGTTAACATCGGATATCCCTTAGAAATTGTACATCTGGATTAAATGTGCAAAATATACAGTCTGACATTTTGAACCCAACATGTGAATGCTGCTAAATACCTGCATGTCTGAGGAACTCTAACCCCACAATAAACACCCATGTGGTAGCATTGTTTTGCTAGGAGACATTTAACATGGATTTTGTCTAAACTCTGTAATATTCACCAGCAACAAGCTTTAGGAAAAGAAACCTTCTGCCTGAGAACCAAAACTGATATTTGTCATTAAAGTTTTTTTTAAACAACAACACCAACACTTTCAAAGGGTTCAAAGGGGTTGCATGGTGTGTTTTCAATTCAGTCTAGCCAACAAACCTGTCCTTTTATCAACATCACTCTACACAGTCACTACATTAATCTAAATTCCATACTGCAGGTGGAGCATTTTACATGCCATGCTCACACCTGCCTGAATGCTAGCATACACTGAGAAAACCTCTTTTTCCTGACATTAAGCACACAGACCTTTCGGCGATTCCCTAGGGCATGAAAGCTATGCATTTACACATGATGCCATCTTACCTCCTCCATTTTTGTAGCAGAGATACGGGAATCGCCACACGTTTCCCAGCCCAATAATCTCCCCGGCCACAGAAAGCACAAATTCAACCTTATTGTTCCAGTGGCCTCTTTCATGCACTTTCTTATCGTTGCTGTGGACCAAGTTGGTACTTGAGGCTTCGGGGTCCAGAGCATCCTCTGGCTTGCCATTAATTATAGGAATAGTCTTTTCAGCTGTCATGACTCTTTCCAGCCTGAAGGAGAAGGAGAAAAGGGAGGGGAGATAGTAAGGAAGGTTTGGGTGTTGAGACATCCCTTTCTACTTGGTCAACACACCGTTTGCTTTGCATCTCCCCTGTTTCACAAAAGCCTCAAAAAAAAAAGCGCAGGAGATGCAAAACTTTGCCAGATCCCTGCTGCTGCTGCTGGGTTTATTTAGCGCGATAAATACAAACGGAGACAAGGAGCGTTGCGCTCCCTTTTCCCACAATCCCTCCCCTGACCAAATGCAGCAGCCTTGCAAACCTGCCATGCATCCCTGGGGCTGTCCTGCATCTTCCTAGGGTGAATGTAACGCGTGGGGAGGAGGCCGGATTCTTCGACTCACCCAGGACTCTGCCTGTGCTGTTGGGAGAGGGAAGAGGTCGGTGCCGGGCTCGACGCTGAACCTTCGGGCTGCGTCCCTCTTCGTCCTGTTGCGCCGTCAAACTGGGCAGAGGGGGCCCGCGGCGAGGCAGGCGTCCGCGGCGGAGGCGGCAACCGGGGCTGAGGGGGAAAGGCTCGTGATAGGCAGGGACGTCTGGTCTTCTCCCTGGCCGCTGTCGCTGCCTGGGAAAGGCTGGGGTGCTCCTGGGCTGGCCACGCTGCTGAGGGGAAATTTGCAACTGCTCGGCGGCGCTCGCGGAGGAAAACGCACAACACCCGCCCCCTCCACCCACCTCAGTCTGTCCCACCAGCTCTCCCGCCTCCCCTCCTCCTCCCCGCTTCGCTGCCAGCAGAACAGCACAAGCCCGCGCTCCACCTCCTCATAAACGACGACAAATATATATATGTCTATTCCCACCCGCCCCTCCACCTCCCATATCCTCCCCCCCGTTCCCGCCTTTAGGACATCTACGAGCTGAGGGAAGCAAGGGGCGAGGAGGCCAAGAGCTACTAGCCTTGGCCACATGGACGCGGGAAGCTGAAGCAAGCTAGCCCAGGGCGCCATGCGGCCGAGGGAGAAAACGAAGTCGTGGCCAAAATGCAGGCCAAGCTGGGCTGAGGGGCGAATGAGACAAAAAAAAAAAAAAGGCGGGAGAAGAAGCCAGAGGCCACCCGCGCAAGACACTGTGTGTGAAATGTTCCATGAGATTGCAATGGCCGAAAACGAGGGGCAACAATGTCATTAGCGTCGCCTTTGGGGCATCCTCAGCATTAGCAGAGGCAACTGGTGTTTGCCAGGGATGTGCAAACGGCTAGCCATAGTTTGCCGCTGAGCAGAGGTGCCAACGCACACCAGAATGAGGGGCCCCAGCATCATGCGCGTGTGTGATGTCATGTGGGCAACGCGCATCATGCGCCTGTGGTGTGACCCACACAACGTGCTCGGCCTCCGCCTGACCTGGCCCGCTGCCACACACACACACCTGCAAGTGTGTGCAGGCTGCCTCAGCCCACTGCCTCCTGCCAACTTACCATCCTGCACTTCCAGAAGTGAAGCCCGGCTTCCTGAAGTATGTCTGCTGCAGCAGTGGACCTCAATGGAGGCCTTGAGGTGGCGGAGGCCTTGGCCTTATCGCGGTGGCGAGCCAGCAAAGGTAAGGTTTCCAACAACCAGGGTTCAGAAGCATTGTTGCCTTAAACTGTGGAAGAAGAACATAGCCGTCATGGCTGATAGCCATTGATAGTCCTCTCGTGAATTGGTCTAATCTTGTTTTAAAGCCATCCAAGTTGGCAGCCGTTGCTGCTTCCTCTGGAGCAAGTTCCACAGGGCTCCTCAAATATTTTATTTGGGGGAGCTGAAGACCCCTCAGCCCCTAGGAGTTGGCTTCTATGCCAGCTAGTCAACAAGAGTTTTGAAGTGATCGCTAAGACCAGTCCTGTTGAAAGTGGCTGCTAGAATTGAACTCAGCACTTTTTTGGAGGAGCACCTTCCTGAGAAGGCAGCTCAAACTGCTTGTTGTGATCTAAGGATGCTGCTTCTACAGATGTTACAAGATTTAGAAACCCTAGAAATACAATGATAATATAAACAAATGAGTTGTGGTGCCTTTCTTGTGACCAGGCACGGAGGTCCAGAGTACTGCTGCGCCTGGTCCTGCTTTTCGAGAGGAGTACGTGAGCAGTGGCCAAGAACAGAAACCAAAAGTGGAGATGCAATAGGGATAGTGCTTCTCTAAAACATATGTTTTTTCATTGTCCTATATTAAAAGATTTTTGGCAGAAGGTAACTGAAACTAGCAACAGAACTGTATGGAACAACCTTACATTTACAGAGCAAAATATTCTTTTGAATTATATATTGAGCACATGGAACCGTACAAAAAGGACAATACGAGTGGACTCTCTGTGCCCTTACCACAGCAAAAAGACTGATACTGTACTGATGAACTGGAAAAATAAAAATGGGGCTCCCTTCTATGATTGGATTGAAGACGTGTACAAACTCGTAACATATGGACAACTTGCATATAAACACAGACTTGCCATGGACAAATTCAGTGATATTTGGAATCCATTCTTACAAATACTGTAATAGGTTACGATCTGGTGCAGTACAATAACAACTTTGTAAAGTACAGTGGTACCTCGGTTTTCGAATGTAATTCGTTCCGGAAGACTGTTCGAGTTCTGAAACGTTCAAAAACCGAAAACTCGATACGGAAGCCTCAATATAGAAAACTCAGTAAGGAAGCCACGTGGCACGTTTGACCTCCGAGGCTTGTTCGAAAACCAAAGCATTTACTTCCAGGTTTACGGTGTTCAAAAACCGAAATGTTCATCAACGGAGACGTTTGAAAACCGAGGTACGACTGTATACAATTTTGCCCTCCCCTTTATCTTCCCTTCTACACAGGTACTGTTGCTCTTTTTCTTTCTCTCTCTTTTATTTACGTCTCATTTTTTTAGTGCACATATAATTATGTCCTTTTTGAACTTTCAATAAACATGGGGAGAAAAGAAGAATAGAAACCAAAAGTAACCCAGGAAATAGAAACCAAAAGTGCTGAAAAGGTCCTCAGGAAATGGGTAGCAAATATCCTGCTCTGGTGCTACTGTTTTGATTGGATGAGGGTTGAAAGAAGGCACAAGGGTTTTCTATTTATGGTTGCTAGAGAGAAAAAGCAAAGAAGGAGAGCTGTTTCTATTTCTTTAGCTATGGATAGCAAATATTTCAAAAAGCAGAAGACACCAAGTGAGCCCCAGACACATGTTGAACATACTGCTTCACTGGATATCATGCAAGTAGCACCTAAAAGAGACAGAAAATATTGAGGTACTGGTGGGGGCAGGGCATGAGAACATCCCAAATGAAAATACTGAGGCAGCTACTAGAACTGTACAACCTGAATAAGAAAAAGCTGGATATAGGGAACTACCAAAAACAAATCCTGTATCAGGTGCTTTAGAGTGGTTTTCACAAATCTAGACCCCCTACAAAAAGTTGTGGATTTAAGCATCATAGTATGGGTCCAATAGCGTTTTGCCATGCATGACTTTCTAAATAGTCTCATTGGTTGGTATTCACTGCTGTTTTGAAAGGACCTATATGTCCAAGGGATACAGGACACATGTGTCAACTGAATAGCAAATGTGTCAATTGAACAGCAATTTAATAAGACATGTAAGAGCTAAATAGGAAAATAAACAGACACTGTACTGTATACAATCAACTCTTGTGTATTGTGGGTCACATAGCATTGTTCTTTAGACCATTACTTCTCTTTAGGGTAAGACCAGTACCACAGGTAACATGACAGACCTTTAACAGTTTCATGTTGAGTAAAGGGGTGGTGTATTTCAAAAAACCCTGGAAACTTGGGTGGGCAATGCTAAGTACCCCTCTGCAAGCACACAAAGCAAGTTAATCAAGTTGTGTGGCTGAATTTCAAGAGAGGATATTGTTGTGAAGACTGATGCTTCCACAAATTTCTCAGTTTTAGCAGATGAAACAGCAAATATTTCTTGCATACAACAACTCTCTTGAGGTGTAAGATTTGTGGAAGAAAGTGAGGAGAGTGCATCTGTACATGAGGAATTCATTGGGTTCATTTCAGTCTCAGGCCATATGATGGTTGTTCCACCATAGCAGAAAAATAAGGTGGGGCTCAAGCACCAGTTAGGGCAATCTACCTGCAGGCAACCTTTGCCCCCTACTCGGCCCATAAACTGAATTTCACTGGAAATGTACTGTATGTAATACAGGTATCACAATTAAAGCTATGATTAAAAAAATTCTGTGAGAGTATAATAGAATTATGTCTAATACCCAGCATAGCATTGCTGTTTGAAACACAGTGGACACACAAATACAGGAAAATCAGTTTGTTTGCAGAAAATTACCTAAGTATTCTTTTGCACGTAAAGCAATGATCAGGATCAAGCAACACACAAACAAGACAACTGTTGTAGCAGTTGTGTGCATCATTGACTTTTATTATTTGTCATGTGATCATAGGCAAATATTCTTCAGCTCTAGAGCCAATCACCCAAGAGCTACAATCTGAGATTCAGCATAACAGAAATGAAAGTGCACATACAAGAGTTGCTCGGAATAGAGGAACAACACAGGAAAGCTAGCAAAGAGATCTTTAGCACAATAACAATCATAGATTGTTTTGCAGCATGGTAAAAGCAAACAAAAATGATTCTCCAAAGTATCAGTTATACATTTCCAACCCACAAAGAATTGAAGTTTGAAAGCAAGAGTATTGCTTGTATGTACACATATCCCACTGTCCTATCTAATGAAATCTTTGTCAGATTTGCATGTTATTTCTAAGCCTAGACAAACCTTGTTTCTAAACAAGTCAAGCCCAAACTGAGATGAGGCAAGAACAAGACCTTGGGCAAGATTTGAAGTGTGGTAGGCTCTGATTGGCTAATTAAAAGGTCTTCATGTTAATTTGTATACTTTGACTTTAGCAAGGCTGGGGAGACAGAGGTGTTGTATGGCACATGTTATCAGAGTCTAAGGATGGTGGGAGAAAGTGCTATTTTTCTAGAAAAAGACATGCCAGAACTCACCCTTGTTCTCTTATAATAGCAATGGCCACCTGAGAGGTGCCAGAACTCAAAACCCTGGTAGGAGAATTGTATTCCTGTCACAGAGCCACTAATAAGATGTTGGTGTTTCTCCTTTCAAGGAAACAGCTGGACCTCATCATAGTCCTCTTCTGGACACGTCAAGATTCCCAGGTTATACACACTTAATATTAAATCCACAAGTGTGTATACAGTTTTTTAAAATGTTTTGTTTTATGTTTTTTCTTTTCTTTTTTAATGTAATGATTTTGTTTATTGTGAAAATTAATAAAAATATTATTTAAAAAAGATTCCCAGGTTATGACAGATAGGACAAAAGGAATACACCTGCATAATGCCTCCATCAAACTACTTCCAACTCCCTTTCAAACAATAGTCTTGTCTCCAGTCTACAACCTCAGGTGGCATTTTGAAATTACCTAGCTCTAGCCCATCAGATGAAATGGAAACAGTGGGTTCAGGGAACTAGTATGCTGCTGGCACAGATTTCCATACCCACACATTCATGTATACAGGAGAATAATAGCAGGCACGGGTGTTCAATTTGGTGTCCTAGTTTTCTAGCAATTGATGACATCTTCTTGAGCTGCCAAGCAGTGATAGCACACAATGGACAGATTTGCTGGCAACGTTTATGGCCCGAAAAGATAGGCTCCTGTTGAGTTTGGCACATGCTATTACAATATGCTTTGAGAATTGTAATGAAAATTATTTGTTGTCAAGATAATTCTCACAATTTTTTTCATCATTAAATATTTCTACAGTGTTGTTCCTGTATTGATCATAATCTACAAATAGAAACACTGGAACATGTCCATGCAGCTGGATACTGCCATCTTGCAAAAGTTTTAAAGGTTAGCATGCAATTTGAATACATTTAATGAAATAATGACAAAATTAAAAATAATATATGACAGTGGATCTGACCAGCAAAGTGGTATTCTGTATTCAACAGTGGTCTTGTAGGACTCTCATGAGCAGTATGAGTCCGATCAGAATCTGATGATCGGGGAATTTGTCTATGAAAATAGATATTTTGCACTATCGTTGCTAATATTTATATTTTGAAAGTTTCCTTGTGCCAGTTTATACAATTTGTCCATCTAGCCCAGAATTTTTAGTTTGTCTGGGAGCAGTCATCTAGGGTTCAAGGCTACAGGTTTGTTTTTATTGCTAATACATGCATGTAAATGTGGTTGGGGCGGGGCAGAATCCCAACTCAACCACAAAACTGACTGGTTGACCTTGGGCCAGTCATTGCCTCCCAGCCTAACCTATTTCACACAGGGTTGGTGTGAGGATAAAAGGGGATGGGGAACTATGAACACCTCCTTGTAGTAAAGATTAACAAGAAAGGAGATTCCAACTAAACATTCGGAAAAACGTTTTGACGGTAAGAGCTGTTCAACAGTGGAACAGACTCCCATGAGAGG